AACCCTGAAACCTGGGTACAGCATCTACCTATGGCAGAATTCGTGCATAACCACCGAAAGCACGATGCACGGAACGCATCACCGTTCTTCCTGATGATGGGCTATGAGCCTAGAGGTATACCCTACGCCTTTCCCCCTACCGACATCCCCGCGGCCGAGGACCGCGTTACCAACCTCCAGAAAATGAGAGAAGAAGCGGTGTCTTGCCACAACATCGCTATGCAACGAATGGCCGAAAGGACGCACAGGAAGAAGTATGAGCCATGGAAGATTGGAGATAAGGTCTGGTTGTCAGCGGAGCATTTACTGACGCACCTACCCTCGAAGAAGCTGGCGCCAAAGCGGCACGGCCCCTTTACCATTACCAAGGTGCTATCTCCCATCACCTTCACACTCCAACTCCCGGAACAATGGAAAGTCCACCCCACGTTCCACGCATCTGAGCTATCCTCCTATCGGGAGACAGAAGTCCACGGCCCGAATTTCATCGAACCCTCACCTGACATTATCAATGGGGTTGAGGAGTACGAAGTAGAAGCGATCCTCGCACACAAAGGAACAGCGGCACGCCGTCGCTATCTAGTATCCTGGAAAGGATACTCATCTGCCAGCAACGAATGGGTCAAAGAAGACGACCTAGAAAATTCCCAGACGCTTCTCAAAGCGTATAAGAAGAGAACGAAATTGGCTTGAAGGAGAACAAACCCAAGCAACCCTAGTCAAAGAAAATATGTCCACTGCCCCCTCCACTCTTACCCTCGACTCCGCCGAACTTCAGGAACATTTGTCCCTATTCTCAGACTGAACGTTTCGTGCTAGATGAGCACTCCTCCCTTGCGTCCTCCGTCTCCGACCCCTCATCGTCAGAGGATACCGACATATCACTTTCATCCTCTCTTTATTTCACCGTCATTGATCGTATTGAGGGAGACGCCCTCTTTGAAGCAACGATTCTATCAGAGCAACACGCACTCGAGCTGGAGAGAAAGCTCGCCGAACGCCCAGCAAGAAGTGCAGCAATAATTGCTGCCATCATTAACATCATCAGAACCACCCGCCTGATTGAACTATCTGCAAACCGAATCCCCCTCGCTTCTGCACAAGAAGCCCATGAAGTCATCCAGTGCCAGAGGCGCATCAGATCGATTGCGCTTCAGCTTCTCCCTGATAGCCTTAAGCCTGACTTGCTATCAGTTGTACACCTCATTGCCAATCGAACCGCGACTGAAGTCGCTCGTCCGCCTTCTCCTCCTCGTCCTCTCTCCCGTCATCAGTCACCAGATCATAACTCGCCTCCACTTCCGGTCAGAGCACCGCAACCGCAGGTTGCTTCCAGAGGAGGAAGACCTACCGGATACCAGATCGCTCGAAGGCGCTGTATGAGAGAGGATAAGAAGAAAGAAAGAGAGGTCATCGACCTCACATCCCCATCCCCACCTCCTCGCACCTTTGCTAAGAAACCAGGCTTTGACAACGTCAAATGCCGCGTATGTAAAGAATACGGGCACCGTCACAAGAATTGCCCTCAATACTCCTGCGTGGTATGCCATGCCATCGCCCCCGGACACCTCTCGGTCTATTGTAAAGACCTTAGAGGAACATATCCACTTCCGATCGTCTATACAGATGACGGATTCTATGAAGCCCTCCGCAATTGGGAGGCAGACCAGAAAGCATTCTATGAGCAAGAGTGCGAAGAGGCCGATGAAAACTATCGCAACCAGCCAAGTTCCTCAACGGACCTTGATGATTTTAACAACGCCGAAGCAGATCCCGTCTACTACGACGACGCTAGGATGGATTGAAGTCGGAGACTTCAACGGTTACACCGGGGTAATGTTACAATAACATTTACTCCTATTCCATTTTTCTTTTCTTGTAACCATGCCGCCGACTCTAGACTCATCTAGACTCGGCTATTCTCTTATCAAGCGGGCTGTCCGCACTTCTCTTCTATCTTGATTGTAACATAGATACTATCTTGTGCCGCATGGTAGTTTCACCTATCTTTGCTATCTGGATAGGTTGTACTCTTTTTCCTATCTTTGTTACCTTTCTTGTCGCGGCTATGCCGCTCCCTTTTTACCTATATAAACCCCATGTACCATAGATGTATTCCTTAACTTAATCTACTGGGTTTTCCCCTTGAAACCTGATCTACTAAGGTCTCCACCCTTAGTAGCCTGAACTCTGATTCTAAGACAGTCACTCACTGTCTTAGCCTGAAACCCTTGATTGCGGTAGAAGTGCTAAAACCACTCACCGCCTAGGCAGAAGTGCTAAAACCACTCGCCGCTGATCCTGCATAGAAGCCGCGGCTCGTGCAGTAGGAACCACCAGAAACCTTCCTTGTATTAGGAAGGCCGACGAACTGTTCGCCCGACAGGTCTATCTTGACCGGCAACAGCAGAACTATCCCAGTCGTAACAAATGTAAGACCACTGATGGAATCCCATGATCTGGTGCCACAGGCCTGCCTATGACCAAATTAGGTCGGTTTTTTTTTATATCTCAGCCGGTATTACACTACCCAGTATGGTAACATCAAATATTGAAGTGTAAATATCTCAATCAACAATTGACCGATTCACAATGGAAGACAACCAGTGGAATCCCATGATCCAGTGCTACAGGCCTCCTCATGACCGGACCAGGTTAGCTTTTTGTATCTCAGCCAGTAGTCCACTACCTGATATTATAACATCAAATCTTGAAGTGCAAATATCTCAATCGACAATTGACTGATTTACAATGTAAGACCACTGATGGAATCCCATGATCCAGTGCTACAGGCCTGCCTATGGCCGGATCAGGTCGGTTTTTTATATCTCAGCCGGTATTACACTACCCAGTATTGTAACATCAAATATCAAATATTGAAGTGTAAATCTCTCAATCAACAATTGACCAATTTACAATGTAAGACAACTGGTTGCATCCCATGATCCAGTGCTACAGGCCCACCTATGACCAGATCAGGTCAGCTTTGTTTTTTTTATCTCAGCCGGTATTGTAACACAGAATATTGAAGTACAAATATCTCAGTCAAATATTGACCGATTTACAAAGTGAGACAACCGGTGGCATCCCATGACCCGGTGCTACAAGCCTACCTATGACCGGATCCGGTTGGCTGGTATATTCCAGCCAGTATTTCACTACCTGGTATTCTAACATCAAATATTGAAGTAAAAATATCTCAGTCAAATGTTGACTGATTTACAAAGTGAGACAACCGGTGGCATCCCATGACCCGGTGCTACAAGCCTACCTATGACCGGATCCGGTTGGCTGGTATATTCTGGCCGGTATTTCACTACCTGGTATTCTAACATCAAATATTGAAGTAAAAATATCTCAGTCAAATATTGACCAATTTATGAAGTGAGACAACTGGTAGCATCCCATGATTCGGTGCTACAAGCCTACCTATGACCGGATCTGGTTGGCTGGTATATTCCGGCTGGTATTTCACTACCCAGTATTCTAACATCAAATATTAATGTGTAAATATCTCGGTCAAATGTTGACCGTTTTACAAAGTGAGACATCCAGTGACATGGCATGGACTGGTGCTACAGCCCTACCTATGACCGGATCCGGTTGGCACCTCCTTTTCCAGCCCACTATATTTCAGCCCATCCATCTCTATTGTACCTAATAATCCCTCAGCCCACTTGTCTCCATTGTATACTCCATTTACTATATTCAGCCCATCCCTTTCCATCAGGTACACTACACTCAGCCCATCCCTTTCAATCGGGTACACACTACCATCGGCCCATCCCTTTCAATTGGTTACACACTACACTCGGCCCATCCCTTTCAATCGGGTACACACTACCATCGGCCCATCCCTTTCAATTGGTTACACACTACACTGGGCCCACCCGTATATATAGGTACAATTTCAGCCATGGGCCCAGTGGGATGGCCCATCTGCCTTGGTACATTGTCACCCTTGGCTGCCCGTCTGAGACAGGATCCAGTTACTGTATTATGTGACTCTCTGTGGTGTTACAAGAACATCTAGACGCTTGGGCCCCTACTATTTTTCTCCTGATCCTCCTCGTATCAGCCCTCGCATCATACCCTTACCCCGACCTTACCCTTGTCATCCTCGTCATCCTCGCATTCCCTTTCGCCCTCTACCTGTCGCTTCAGCAGAGCCAGTACATTTGGCCGGATCCTTTCGCTGACGAAGCATACCCATGCTCCATTTCTCCACCTGACTGATCCTGTGGACAGTCCCCTTGCCTTTACCGTCCGGACGGTAACCTATGACACGATGCATGACGCATCCCCTTTGCCCTACTTTCCTTTATTAATCTCTGACTCAGTGCGCAGTCGCACATGCGATTTATACTTAGCTCCGCAGTTGCACGATCGTGCCCCTGCGTGTTTCACTTCTCATTCTGATCCTTGACTCACTTTCTTATCCAGCACGTTCTACCTAGATCGAACGTGCCTTCCTATTATGGTCTTACCCTTTACCGATTGCCTCTCCCGGTAGTACGAGTTATCATCCACTAATACGTCCCCTGTCCTCTATATAAACTCGCTACCATGTACCATATTCCCTAACTTGAATCTACTTGGTTCTTGACCTCCTACTCTCACCAGAGTGATCCTTCTGCCTCGCCAGCAGTCTATATTCTATCCTCTTATCTGCTCTTCGCAGATAAGCCTATAGTCTCGACCTTTACTCATCGACTTCGTCGACGAGCAAAGCCCCTGTTAACTAGTCGGACTTCTGTCCTTCTAATTAACGACGATCCTTACGATTAACCTTCGGGTGTCGTAAGCCTAGGCCGATATAGCTTATCATCTCGCACCCGCGTGACATAAGCTACCCGATTTGGACATAGGCGTCAAATCGTACTTGCCGAAGACACGCCAAGTACGACCCCTAACCTTGGGCTAGCCCAAGGACGTCCACAGACCGTTGACGACACGAGCTCTGTTTGAGCGTCGCCAACAGATACCATCCAAGTCGTAACATGTGGTATGTTTAATTTGTCACAGATTGTATACATACTTCTCATGTTGTGAATGTGCTAGGCCTCAAGTTCATCACAATTGGAGAATATTGTCCAGCTCAATTCTGGTGAATTTTGAGGCTATGTTGTGATGAATCTGCTTATTATTCATTATTTAGCTGCTGTCATTATATTCGAACACTCCTTCTACGTTTTCGACAAGGCACACTATCTTCAGGACGAGCAAAAGGGTGATCCCTCTTTTTATTTTGCTGTTGAGCAGTACATTGCGTCTTCACATGCAGCTGCTGTCAGGGAAGCTGTGAGTGCTGCCGTCCAGACACATCAAGAAGTGAAGCAATCCTTTAAATGCTCTGAGGAGAAGGAGAAAGAATCCTACTCTCGGGTGAAGACACAGTTGATCCATGCTGTTCTTGAAATCACTTTAAATAATCGCCTGTGTATGTTCCACCGCGATTTAGCAGTAATCCTGCTGATTCGCTTGTCTCCAGCCAGACCTTAATGCAACATAACATCATGATCAATGATGTTCCGGCTGAGGTATCTCAACTGCGAATGCAGGTTGCTTGAAAGGTTTCCCAAAGGAGTTTCAGGAGTTGGAACTGTATGAAATGGTTGTATGACTATGCAATATGATGCTTTCCCTGGTATGGTGTATGCGTATTTGAAGCACATTGGCACCCTCAGCCAAGACGGTGGTGAGATCGACTGAGCTTGATAAGTCAGAACAATCAATTATCCGACATGGCACAATATGGCCAGAACTTTGGATACCTGAAAGCTGAGATAAAATCCTGCCAAGAGGATGGGTTTGAAGCCAAGAACCGAGGCCATTTTCTGGAGTCAGGGACTAATAGTAAGTATATTGTGCAACGCTGACGCACACCTTGCCTATGTCTCAGGATTGCTTTTCACCCTTTTCTTCCAGCACTACTATGGGTTGGCATTCAAAATGCTTCTAGATACCAATACATCAATAAAATTACTGGAAGTACTAGCGGTTGACATCTATATGTCAATGATGTTCGATGCTCTATACTGTTCTGTCACCTCACTCATGGTATTTTCACAGGAATCACAACCTCTCCACGACAGCAGTCGTGCGTTAAAGCATCTTTACCGGTTGAGTGGACTAAGCAAACGAGGACAAAGTATGATAGTGCAAATATAGTATACTTTTATAATAAAGGGACACGAGAATGCCGAGAAAACCCAACGACCGAAGGTCATCGCTTATTAAGAGAGTGGGTGATCCGCCCTCGATCCAAGGGCCCCTCCACATCACGAAACACAAACACGATCCATCATCCGTTTGTTCGTCCATGGCTCGTGCTCCAAGGACGGCTTTCCTACGAGTTCTCAGTGCTCCCCCATAAGCCTTACACGCCCACGTAAGGAATACCATTTTACTAAATGGGCATGTAGCGATTCTACATCCGCAAAAGTTGGCAAGGGTGGGACACGCTCGTCAGGTGTATTGATGGCTTATGTGAGGTAAGGCTTAACGAATGAATTACTAAGAGCCGGAAAGACGTACAAAAATATGGTCCAGTTCTCTCACTTCAATCATGGCTTGCGTGTCTGTCTTCCTCGGAGGGCTTCGTGACCTCTACGAATTGTTGAGCAGGTGGCATTTCCAGCAAGTCTTCATACATTGACGATAGTTCCTCGTCCATATAACCAGGGAAAAACATTGAATCTGACCCGGGCTTGCTTCTGACTGAACAAAAAATAGGCTCACATAAGAAAGTGTACAGAAGGCTTAGATTCAAAACTGAAGGCACACCGACTGAGAGTGCATGGCATCCTACGGCACTTGCATAGTTTGTAATATAAGGGCTCTCCTTTCAAGCTCGGACATTGGGGATTGAAAAATTTTCAGCAGTAGGAGAAGAGTCCAAATCTCCATAGTCTCTGATTAACAAGGTGTTGGTGTTCTGCGGCATAGGCTGTGCCGCCCAGTGGGTTACATGAGCTAGGACAACTGACATATAACGACAACCTACCTAGAAAACACCAATCGAGCAGACCGAGGAACAGGATTGTAGTAGTACTTCTTTGGCATTCACGAAAATCCAACGCTAGAGATCACATGACTAGACATCAACGTTCTCTCTGTTCCCCCTTCATGATGCTTCATCCGACGAACCAAGTACTGAGATCGATCGTCTCACGGATATTCCTGCCAAAACGCTAGAGATCAAACGAGATTTTGGAGAAATCCCGATGGCGTTCCGGATATATAGCTAAATTAGGGTCACTTCCAATTTCCTGATGCATACAATTCTTGACAATCTACAACGATGAACTGTGCACTGCATTCTGAACAGGCTCTATTATATGACTCTCCCTCGATAACAATCAGAAAGAGTATTTCTAGGAATGGTGGACAACCATTTGAAGATTCCGATGTTCTCGTACTTTCCTCTCGGTCCACAAGCGACGCGCACTCCCAAGGTTCCACGCAACTGTGCCTCGACTTACGTCTCTCAAAGCCATTAAAACCGGACAGCACCATTCAATGGGGCTTTGCTGGAATCCGCGTTACGCTTTCTTCTACCCCATTGCGTTTCCGATGGAATCATTATATTGATTCCCAAGGACGAGATGGCCCTCCTGATGAAGGCACTATGACCTCATGCGATGGGGAAGAAGTAGAAACTGGAATTGGGATCAACCCCGAGACGGGAGAAGAGGAGAAGTATGAAGAACGCTGGATGTGAGCCCATAAACATCAATTGTCCTGAATAATCAGTTTCATGATTGTTGGATCATAGTGACCAACCTGTTACACCAGCCACATCGTTCGCATTCCTCACTTCCTCACGCGAACCAAGCGAATCGACCGGATTTATTGCTATTCTGGGGGATCATGCGCTTGCGATGCGCCAGAACTACTTTCCGGATGACGCTGAATTCCAAGCAGTGCGCATGCGCATCTCGACTTCATCGTCGTCCGAAGTTCTGTTCAAGCAGAATGCAGACACCCTCCTCCCACTATTAGAATATGCGCTCTCTAGTATTGATAGTTGGAAAGGATCCCCTTGGCAGCGTGGCCAAGAAATTACTTTACAGGAAGACCGCTGGACTGTGTGGGACGCTGGCATGACAGGGGAACATAACTACCTAATTTAAATTGCAGGCGAACATATTCATAGCATGATATCCAGCTGCGATGGATTTATAACATGTGTCCACCGCGCTACCTGGCCCTTAGTTTGATCTCTCATCGGCGAATGAGGCGCGGGGAACGTCAGATGCAGGACATACTGTTCATAATGACACTTCTTGACATGATATGACCCTAGGTGGTATGCAGCCTGTACGACTTATCTACCTTTGTAACATCCCTATATTTGGCTAGCTGGTGTGTAAATACATCGAGTGACTGCGCTTCGGCCGTCGTTTGGTGGCAATGTCTGGTCCCATATGACTTCAGGCACAAGCACCCTGTATTTCCACCTGTTGCAGTTTCCAGTAGCATGTTATTCTGGTCTGTGCATTAGACTTAGAGTATTGCTGATTGCGATCGCCCTGAGTTAACCAAGATGGGTTCTTACTCCAAACATGCAACTCGTGACAATTTAGCGTGAGGGGAGCCTATATACGACATGAAACAAGAGATCCGGGAGTGATTGTGAGAAACGTACATGTTACAAGTATACTCCGCTAAACTGACCACGAATGAAAGAGCGAGTCAGGACTCAGGCTCGTGTGCACGTTTGACACTGCCTGTGACGCGGCGATGACGGCAATACTTTGATGAGCCGAATTCGCTCAGTATGACGTAGACCAGGGAACGTCAAGGGCCGAGTATTACTTGATCAATGAGCGACACCGGATTGATCAGGCAACTCGGAGCTGATCATGTCTGCGCCTGGTCCGCGCCCAGAACCTCACCAGGAAGATCGGACAAACACACCGGATACTGCGCACGTCCCTTGAGTCAAAAATTGCCTAGAATGGTCGAAGAAGAGGGAAAGCGAGGACGAGAACGAAAACGAATTAGATCAAAAAGGCTGGGCAGAGGCTAATGGTGCGATGCTGATGGTACGATACTAGTTCAGAAATCCGAGCCGAACGATGTCCGATAAACAACGTTTTGGGTGGTCACTACTAATCGATTAGCAATGAAAACCACTTGTTGTCGCTGCTAAACTAAACCTGGGCACGACTGTGCACGTTTCTTAATTTTACAGCCCTTTAGCTGGCAACGGTGCTGAGAGAAGGACGGAGATATTGACTAACATGCCTACATGCGCGGTGCGAGCAGTGATTAGCAAATGCAAGAAACGTTTATTTTGGAGTGGTCTTCGGGGGTTTGCCGCTAGTTGACGTTATCGTATCAGTGCTGATTAGATTAACCCACCCAAATATTATCGATTATAAAAGGTTCATCTCACCTCCCGACATACCCGCATCCCTCCACTTCACCCCATCACTACAATCATCCCTCAGCCAACATGGTAAGTACATCATCGTCTAACAAGCACACGATCGGTTGCTGACAACATCGAACGTAGGTCAAAGTCGGTATCAATGGGTATGTTATCATTGTCGGTCGAGGCCTTCATCGTTAATCGGATAATGTCTTCTTTGTTGTTGTATAGTTTCGGTGAGTATATGCTCTTGATCCTTTACAATCGAATGCTTTTGACACGATATATTACGTTCAGGTCGTATTGGCCGTATCGTCATGCGTAATGCCCTCGAAAACCAGGACATCGAGGTCGTCGCCATCAATGAGTGGGTTCACCTCCTATTTTACAAAATTGTAGCTGATTCTTGTTTATAGTCCTTTCATCGAGTTAGACTACATGGTCAGTAGACGAGCTATCGTCATCCACCGAGTTCGATCTGATCGCTAGAAAATGTAGGTTTACATGTTCAAGTACGACACCGTCCACGGCCGCTTTAAGGGCGACGTCCACACCGCGGACGGAAAGCTCTACATCAACAACAAGCCTATCCACGTTTTCGGTGAGCGGGATCCCAGCAACATCAAGTGGGGTTCGGTCGGCGCTGACTACATCGTTGAGTCCACCGTAAGTTTCTCCACCGATCCTCCCTTCTTCAAGTTGAAAGCTGATTGGAACAACGCGAATAGGGTGTCTTCACTACCATCGATAAGTGAGAATCTCTTATCTTGGATTGAGTGCTTTTTAATAAGACTGCACCCAGGGCATCTGCTCATCTGAAGGGTGGTGCAAAGAAGGTCATCATCTCCGCCCCTTCGGCTGACGCACCTATGTTTGTCTGCGGTGTCAACCTCGAGGCTTATGACTCCAAGTACACCGTCATTTCTAACGCCTCTTGCACAACCAACTGCCTTGCGCCCCTCGCCAAGGTGATCGATGACAACTTCGGCATCGAGGAGGGTCTCATGTCGACCATCCACGCAACAACTGCTACTCAAAAGACTGTCGATGGTCCTTCCAACAAGGACTGGCGCGGTGGTCGTGCTGTCAACAACAACATTATCCCATCCTCCACGGGTGCTGCCAAGGCAGTCGGCAAGGTCATTCCTTCCCTAAACGGCAAGCTCACGTATGTGATATCGAACTTTTCCTATAACTTTAAGATGCTAAGTACGTCCTTGTAGTGGTCTTGCTTTCCGTGTTCCCACTTTGGATGTATCCGTTGTCGACCTTGTCGTGCGCCTCAAGAAGCCTGTCACCTATGATGACATCAAGAAGGTAGTTAAGTCTGCCGCTGACGGCCCTCTCAATGGCATCCTCGCCTACACCGATGAAAGCGTCGTGTCGACGGACTTCCTCGGTCACCCTGCATCGAGCATCTTCGATGCCAATGCTGGCATCATGCTCAACCAGCAGTTCGTGAAGTTGATCTCGTGGTACGATAACGAGTGGGGCTACTCGAAGCGTGTATGTGACTTGCTTGTGTATGCTGCCAAGGTGGATTCGGGCAACTGAAGGGCAAAGCTGTGAACGTTCAGAAAGTGAATACTGTAGTTTGAGGGCTTACCATACAAAACAAATGTTGTATTTCTTTAGGGACATTGATAGATCCGCTTATCTCTATGGCGTCTTCATGTTTGAGTAAGTGAATGACAAAAGTTTATCCAAGTAATGTCGGAGTCAACTGGGTGTCGTGTGACGGCCGAGTCGCCGAAGTGCAATCAAAAACATATGGCATCGAGTAGCACGAGATGTTTTCACTTGCCAAGACTTTCTATCTCCGGGTCCGTGAAGTTGTCAATGCACTGGCTCGGAGTTATCGCGCGAGTATAACTTCGCGGCGGTCTTTCGGCATCAAAAATAACACTCAGGTCAAACAAATCCACGCCGATTTTTCACAAACCACGAACGCCTCCCACACAGGACCCATGTGTAACGTTGGTCAGCCCGCCGCCCGCGCATAACCGTTACACCATGATGGGGAGCCGACATACTCCTCATACCAATGTTTGATGATTTATGTAGTACATAGACCAGGTTCCATGGCATAGGCACACCAATAAAAGGAAGGCAGTCATTCATTCCATCAAGACAATTGGTAGCAGGTGTTGGCACATGGCATGCGGTGCTATTGGGATCAACGCCGATGACGGCGCCTAATTAAATATGGAGTAAGGGTGTACCCACAGGAACATACATGTTTGAATAAGGAATTCAATTAATCAAGGGCTGGCGTGAATCCTGCCTGCGCCCATGACAAACTTGCATTTCGCTTAGTGTGTCGCAATATGCCGCATGAAAGCTAACGAGAACGGGTAGCGTTCAAAACATTTGGTGATAAGCCTCACGAGCCTGGAGGGTCGTGTACTAGCATTTATTATTGGCATCTAGTTTCGAGTAGACGTAAGTAGTCAAGTATGAACATGTGAGGAATATCAAGGTGGTGAAATACACGTCGTTATCATGCCCGGTTCACTTGCCGGGGGACGAGAGCTGATAGCATCAATGAACTACAGGTATGGCATCGCGTTAGAGGCATAACAAGGATACGAAAAGGATCATTAGAACACGCCCGGAATGAGTCTGTAGCGCACCCTCTTAGACCATCGGACCCATTCTCCCTCAAAACGCTTGCGAAGCATTGCATCTTCGCTGATGGCCCGTGCACAGCTTAGCACGCCGGACAGTATAACTTGAATTACCCATATTCCAAATACAACACGCCCAAAGTAAGTAGAGAGCCACCCAGATGACTGCGTAAACGATCCGGGGCTCGCATAAATGAGCGAGATCCCACACGAGGCGATCCAGCTGGCTGTATAGCTAGGATGGCGCACGATGCCATACGGGCCTGATGTGACAAGGGAGTGGTCCTTGCGCAAGCTGAGCTGGTGAGTGAAATGGCGTCCCATGACGCTAAAACACCATAGTCGCCCCATACCGCCCATGAAGGTGAGGATTGTTCCGAGTACGAAGTACCTATCTGGTACCATATCTGGAAGTTGTCCGGTATGAACTAGAGTAGATAGGATTCTAGACGAGATAGGCGACGGATAATGAGCCGCGAGTATGACGGCTATTTCAGCAACACAGGGTATCAAACCCGACAACTGTAACAAGATATTCGTTAATATGTGTCTAGACATTATTGGGAGTTCACGTACCCGTTGTAATATAGGGAAAATGACTGGGCAGATACGCTCATAGAGCGGGCCGCCGCTGATGGTTTCATCATCATTGGGCATTGGGGCTGGGGAGATGTACGCATTATTGAACACAAGGACAGATGGCACAAGAAACAGAAGTTTTATGAGAGTCATCGTGGAGATCGTCACTAGAGGTTGTGAGTTTAGTCAACTGCTCACACTACCCTTCTTATATACGCGTCCTCGCATAGACGCGCACCCACATAACCAAATTACCAGGTTATCGGCCATAGATCAAACAAATCCGCAAAGGGCAGCTACTATAGCATTACACGTGAGGTGCCAATAAGCCTCCCACGCTTCCCGAAGCCTACATAACATGGCCCGGAAGTCTGACCAAAATAACGCTGCGCCAAGGCTCAAATTGACAAAATGTTGTCTTCAGAAGCCTAGAAAGTTGGATGGCATGGCAGTGTAAAACACGCTAGGTAAAATTGAATCACATTACGCTGTTACGGCCACTCAAACTAGCCTCCGAATGATTCAGGGTGATACTAGTAGATTTTTGCTCCTTACGTTCACGGGCGTTCGAACAAAAGGCTAGAATCAACGAGTTACACCAGATTACGTTATCGCTCAACGTAGTGCGACTCCACAGACTGTTGGATATCTGGTTAGTGTCAGTGATATAATTGTTGGGTGGTCCAGGGTTGGACAATATTAAGATGAATTGTGAAACAGGTGAGTTGAGGGTTAGTTGCCCACCCAAACTGGATATAATATGATTACGTGACAGTGCACCTGACGGTTTCACTTCAACATACGATGTTGTCATCTCTCGTACTATCCGTTGACTCAGCTGCTACGTCGGGCCTTGCTAGTGGCGACATGACTTAATATGTGTACCGGTGCACGGCCTCGGCTGTAACTCTTGAACTTAACTCACTTGTCTGAGACAATGCAATCGTAAAGGCTCGTCCTCTTCGGACGCAGCATGTTAGCAGAGATCCATCTCTCCGTTCTATCTGCCATACATGGATTCATACGCCACTGAACAACAATTCCAGGTTTGTACACTGCACTACTCAGCGTTTTCTCTAGTTCTTTTCCACCCTCTGTCAACGTCTGAAACTGCTCATGGCGATGCTTACAACCTAGCACACGACATACTACTCGACAACCTGATGCACTGGCGCTCGTAAACCTGTGGCTGGCAAAATTCCTATGGTATATTATGCTATGTACGTACCTAATAGTTCCCAGAACATGTCCAGATTTCTCAATTTCAGATATTGGCACTTCCATGGGTGAGACTCCATTTATAGGTGAATCATGTCCGCTACGGCGTTCCGTTTACTCCCTAAATCTCATTTGCGAATGCCTTTCTAAATTCTGAATCTGATGTGACCAACTTAATGAACGAACGAATGTGGTCGATGTTCGAATCGGTAGAAACACGTAGAAAAGTGTTTATTGTTGAAGAACATGCTGCAAGAAAGAAACCCCGCACGCCAACATTTTATGCCCTGCTATCTCAAATCGCCAATTTTCGCTGATTGGCAGACGAGTCGGTGAGCGCCACGCCTTTGTTACTCCCAAATGCATAAATAACATAGATAACGTTTCCCTGCAGGTACGGGTCCCTTTCCACTTGCTTTCGGGGGATAGCTTCTTTGGATGACAAGTTACTAATGAATCCGCAACAATTTGACGTTCCACCTGCCTTTATAGTGTTACTTTATCACCGTCAATCGTAACTCTCTCATCATCATGGAGTCAGTACTTACTTGTTGTCATGTTGAGCGGACTCAGCGTGGAACATGCATCCGCATAATCCCGAAGGTCAGTCTTCCACCAACCCTACAAGGTGTTACGATTAAATCAAGGGACTTGCCTTACGATACTTGCGCAGCAGTGAGAAAAGTCTTCCTTGGTGTTGTCGGCGCATATCTTCAAGTTCTTTTAGTTGCGCACTAGCAATAGCTTTCATGCGGAGAGTGCTGGCGTTTTCTTCATGATAACATACCATAATTTATAAGATGACGGCTATTTTCCTGTGATAGAGATTGGATAGAGATATCCAACTTATCAGCGGGCTGGATTGTGCTACAGGGTGCTACAGAGTTCTGCCAACCGATCCGATACAATATCCGCGCGACGGTGTAACCTCTCAATTGAGACATTTGAAAACTCGGCGAGATTCGTTCAAACCTTTGACACCACAACACAAATAAATGCCACGGATGCTAAGAAGTCCACCTGCCATGATGGCATGCTCACATGCACACTCGTGAAGAAGTTGACGTTGCTGTCGAAATAGTGAAGCATCTTTCCCCTGGGCACCTTCAATCTGGACCGAGTCTCGTGATGCTTGTGACCTTTTTGCTGGTCCATACAGTATCTCGCCTGACAATATTGCTGCCGAATTTGCGGCTCTCGAAGAGTTAGAGAAGACTGAAGAAGTTCAGAACATTGACGAGATGGGTCGGGTGACTCGCCGGGTCGAACAAGGGATGATACCCAGTGAAAACCCACTATGGTGTGGCACGATGAGAACGGGCGTGATATGTTTTTTTTTTCTCACCTATGCACAAAATCAGAGACAGACATATGACGTCGGTAGGAATCACATATATTGCATGATGGGGCACGATCTCCTCCGACGACATAAGTTTTTCGTTCAATTTTCAGATAAAATCATATAACACCATATAATTTAGTACAGTAGAATACATGGATTGATATGACGAGAAACGACATGCTACGACAGTGTATGACATGAGTAGTACTAGGTATTGCGGCAGCATACAGGCAGGTGCAGGGCGCATAGCAGCTGGAACGTCCAGATGTGTAAACCTGTGGGTGTGGGCAGTCGTACTCGCACCTGTACCTGTTTCCCTGCGGATATCAACGGGTCACTGTAAAGAATATAGGAAACAATGTGTGCGTGAATCCATCGAAGATAGAGTGAAATATGGGGGAACGCTAAGTAGAGAGTCAGTGTTCGCTAAGAAGGCTCGGAAGACGAGATCACGCACCGTCTGAGAGCATGCCATGACCAGAGCAGAGCACCATCAGCGTCCAGTAAGCAGGCCAAAAGATGAGAGCAAGAAGACTCACACTGACAGCCTTTGGCGAAGAAAAGATGCCAGAGACCCTCCAATGACTCAGGTGGAACTGGCGGGTGCCCATGTGTGCTCTTCGAACGCATATACCCACCCTTTCGATTCCTGTTAAAAAAATCAAGCCTGTTTATGAATGATAACAATACCACTTACACGTATGGCCTTGGGAGACAAAAAAATTGGCGTAGGGAGGCTCCATAAAAAATGATGATAGTACAGAGGGAGACGACATTGTAGTAGTAAGAAGATAAGATGAAAATGACTAAGGCGTACGACTCAAATACAATGTTAATGATGATGTCATGCCACATTGTGTGAGAGTTCTGCAAATACAATGCAATGTGCGCGCGATACGATGCGAAGCTCCGAAGGATCGGAAGAAACGATGCAAAACGACAAACTGTAATGTAAGGACGATGCAAAGTGACGCAAGGAACGACGCTAAACAATTAATGTGGCTACAATTTGCTTTTCATAATCTACCCTATCAACGATGTTACAATCAGAAAATAATCAGATCCCATCGTGCCACGCCATAGTGGGTCTTCACTGGAGATGATACCGCAAGATGTAGTCGTTCACCAAACATTTTGATATCCGTCCAACTTCGACTGTTGTACTGACGAAAACGATCTGACGCGAAGGCTCCTGTGAGGTTGGGCTGAGTCCGAGTGTTAGCTCGGGCTGGACGCTGAAGGATTGAGCCGCTGGGTGGGCGGGCAAACGAACAGCGATTTGTGTGGAGCCTTGCGGAAGAACGATGGATAGATGAATAAGATGAATTGATGGTGCGAAAGAATCAATGGATGTAGCGGTGGGTGGGGTGGAACGAACTAACGTATGGTATGGTATTATGAATGTGAGGGGCGAGTAAACGAGAGGATAGTAATAGATATTCTGATACGCAGATACTACGATTCGAATAGTAACGAGAAGGTAGAAAGACCAAGCGTCACGCTCAGTTGGACGCGTGGTGCTGACTCTCCGGCAAGCTCCGAATCGGCACCTTGTCATTCCAACTTCGACTGTTGTACTGACGAAAACGATCTGACGCGAAGGCTCCTGTGAGGTTGGGCTGAGTCCGAGTGTTAGCTCGGGCTGGACGCTGAAGGATTGAGCCGCTTACCCACTGCTGGTGAGCTCCAACTGCGGCTGATCTCAGCGGCCAACCCAACAGAGCGATCTAGCTTATTAATGGTTTGTGTGGATATTTGCCAGGCCGCCGAGGTGTTGCGTTGCGACTTGCTCGAATGCCCTGATGTAAGTCTCATACGCTAGGGATTTCCATCGACCCGCTATGCGCACTATTTCTGGGTCTACTTTGTTAGCGAGGTAGAATGAGGCGCCGCCGATTCTAAATGAATGTCCAAACGTTGTTCCCCAGTTCCAGGCGGTTAATATGCTGTTGATGCTTTCGATGGCGCGAGTCTTGACCATTGGGCGAATGATTCCTTTGTTGTCCCTCCACGAGAATAATGGGTCGTCTGGTAGCGCTGGGACTACTTCTGCTAAGTTTCGCAATGCCTGAATTGGGCAGAGATCTCCTTGTTCTACAATGAAAACGGATTGAGGCTCTCCCGATTTTGCTGTCTTGGCTTGTGGGAGATCAAGTCTGGCATAAGGTTTCCCAGTCAGATCGAATCCGAGGTGAACATCTTTTCGCGTGATGTGTTTTGACTTGTCGAAACTTGCGCGAGTGTTGACTGCGACTTCCCCGAACCGCATCATCCCAAAGAAGGCACAGCTGGACATTGCCCATATGCACGCGTCAAATGGTTGATCTATTCGTAGGGTGGCCTTGATGGCAGCTAGCATATGGAGTGTGATTGGGGGTCGGATAGGTCTACGGCGAGTTCCTTGCAGGTTCTCCATTCCGCGAAGTGACCAGTTGATCCGCGTGAAGTGTTCTGGTGATAGCGGAGGTGGCCATCCTTGTGCCAAATGCCAGGCGCGGATTGCAGAGAGGTATTTTCTCGCGACTGATACGGAAACTGGCTCAAAGGGTACTGTTTCGGTTGTCGCAGACTCTAGAAAATGTTTTGTTGCGGAAGGATCGGAAACGGCCCAAAGGGCAAATGAGTGCAGCAGTTCGAAAGATGCTGGCAGACGGTCAGCTTCTGGGATGGAGAATATGTCGCAAAAAATGTGAAATTTTCTTAAACCCGAGCCATAGCTAGTCGTTTCTCGTAGCGATGCTTGGTTGGAGATGTTGGCGAGGAACTGTATGACTGGGTGGTCTATCGTTGACGGTGGAGGGGTGTTGATGCCACGCCAATGAAAAATACGTTCCTCAGCTGCACAGGGGGGGCGGAGGGGAGATTCTCGAAGGGATAATAAATTCTGGGGTGTGGGGGGTGTGGTTTCAATTGACGAGGAGGTCAGACTGTAACAAATGACATTTTGTCGCTGAGATGCGACGGGAGTGGAAAATCGGTCTTGAATGATGGGCCAGAAGAATTGCCTAGAAAGGTTTGAATGTCGCCTCGCGAGAGTGGATCTGAGATGTTGATTTGACCAGGTACGTGCTCGACTTTGAGATGTATCCCATGGTGCGCCTATATCAAGATAAGTAAGCTTGAAATCCATGCTCGTTGATATTACCTGTAGCAAATAGATTTCCTTGAGGATGATGTTTGTTGGCTGATTGCGTGAGCGGCCTTTGTTTATTGCCATGACTACTCCAGCATTGTCCGAACGGACTAGGATGGATTGGCCTTTCACATCTGCTCGTTCGGATAGCCCAAGATGGAGGGCTAACCTCAAACCTAGCTCTACTGCGGTAGCTTCGGCCCAGCCAATGTCGTGTTCGCAGCCTGGGCCCACCTTGAAACCCTCTTTCCATTTCCATGCTGCCCAATGCTGGCCGATCACGATGCCTACTCCGAAAGATGTGCTCGCATCGCCCCACCACTGGGGGTCGATTGGGTGTTGGGTGCGTAGAGGTCTTTCGCGTGGGGATACTGATAGGATCTCTGTTACCCAGTGTAAGTCGGCAGAAAGCGAGCTCGGTACATGAAGACGCGCTCGTCGTGATTTGAATTTGTTGGCGAAAAGGGCCACTGATCGAAGGAAAGGGCGAATCAGTGGGAATATCGATGATACATGGACTAGCTTGCCGTGCAGGCTTGCTGCTTCGTTTGCTGTGAAACGCGTGCCCTTTGCTAGCCACGATTGTAATAATGATAGGATTTTTTCCATTTTCTCTTCCGGGAGTGAGACTACTCTTCGTGATAAGTCCCAGTCGAAGCCAATGTAACGTTGGATAATTGCGAAGGCCCGCAGTTTCTCTAAGCTCCATGGTACTCCGAAGGCGGCTGACAGCTCGATGAATTCTTCTTCTGTCCACTTCTGGTGCGGGAGGCGGATGACGAAGAAGTCGTCTACCCATTTTCGAATTGGGCCGAAACCAGCTTTCTCGTATATGGCCACTAGCATGTCTGCTACTGAGCCGAAGACTCCTGCGCTTGAGCTTAAGCCAAACATGAGGGCTCGATCGACGTAAACCCGACCGCGCCATAGAATGCACAGGGCCCACTGTTGGCTGGGGTGGACCGGTATAATTCGGTACGCTGATGCGATGTCGAATGTCGCTGCGACACACCCATCTGGTAGCGAGAGAATCAACTCCACTACACTGTCGAATGTGCCCCATTCTGTTGGGAATGCGTCTGGGTCTATGCCTGCATTGACAGAGGGGCTTTCGGGATTGTCGCGTGGGTATGACATGTCTTGAACGAGTCTGAATTTCGTGGAATGAGGCTTCGGTACGAGGCCAAGTGGGGACGTGCGAAAAGGGCCGATTAAGGATTCTAGTTCCGAGATTGAGTATGCGCGAGAGTAACGCCCAGCGTTCTGCTCGCTGATTATATATTGGTCTATGATATCGACATTTAGTTGTGAAGATGTGTGGTTCTCGAAAGGATAGTGTGGTTTTCGGTGTTTCTCTGACTCCTACGTCGAAGCCTTCCTTTATATTGGATATCATATGTCCCCATTCCTCGTATATATTATATTCATATAGTAGTTCTTCGAGTTTCGATGTGATGAGGGGTGTCACCACCTGCCTAGGATCTAGGACGGACTGCTCTGCAGGTTCCTGCGCCATGGGCAGCATCTCCACAGATGCTGCATCCATGGTAATTGATGCATGCGTTGGCAAAGTGGCAACTGGAGAATCTCGCCCAGCTGATGCAGAAAATCTTTCCGCCCGGGGCTGCAAGGGCATGTGCGCTCTTAGCTGAGGTTGCAATTCGGGCCACTGGGTGCCCGGTGACGGTTGATTCTGCTGTGCAGTCGCCTGGTAAGTGGTCTGCTCCTCCACACCGAAAGCACTGCAGTCTGGCCTTCTTCTTCTGTGGATGATGGGATGGCGACGAGGATGGCGGAGATGGCCTCTTAAGTTGTGCTTGGCTGTACGATGCAGTGACGGCGGGTTGCCTGGTTACTATGCGAGTTGCAATGATGGTAAGTGCTTTGTCGTCTAGCTGGGATAGGTCGTGTTGCGGATGCTGTGCTACCGTTTCACGTTGTTGGATGTCATACTCGACTGCAATATCCCATGAGTGGGAGCGGCTCAAACCCAGGACTACACTGTGGTGGGCTTTCAGTGCCTTCGCGCGTGCGGCCCCGTGGTAATGACCCATGCGATCTTCTGCTGCATCAGCCGCTCCTATCCAGTCTGACAACGTTATGCTCCTCTCATTCCGGCGATCGAGCCCTTTGGCCATCAGCGAGCCTGACGCAGAGATGGTGAAGGCTTCTTCGCCAGTCCTAATCGCTTGCCATCGAGCCGACGAAGTGAGCGTACTGTATGGGACATATTTGAAGGCTTTGAACGCCTCGTCAACTTTGGGTGGAACGGCTGTAACAACGAGACTGGCATTAGCTCTCGAAATCCTCGGTAATGGCGAGGCGAACACGAAATTGTGGCAGCATTCAGCCCCGGACCACTCTATGGCCAGACAAAAGCTAGCTTGGCCTGCAGCCTGACGTAGCAAGTGGGTCGCCTTTAGCGACTGAGCCTATAGCTCTGATAATTCGCACTGGCCTTCAGCTCAGTGTTGAGATCGAGTGCGCTTGGATGCGCAGCTGCATCTGCATGCTTGGGTTAGAAGGTTGGGACCCAAGACGCTGAGCACTGCCTCCTTGGTGCGCGTAGCACGAAACTCGCAAATCTGGCTAAGAACGAGATAGAGATCCTCACCAGTGTCGAGGGGGTTTGCTTTGAAGCCTGGTACCACATCAGGGAGGGAGACCTTGGGCTCGTCCTTCTTGGCTTCGATGATGGCGGCCCTTGCTCTTTCTACTTCCTCTGGCGACGCAAACAATGGAAGTGCGGGAGCCTTAGCCTGAGGGAGGAGCTCAACGGGTTGTGTGGTCCTTATTGCTTGCTCTTGCTCGAGTTGAGCAATCCGGGCAAGCAGCGCTGCCACGTCAACCGTTTGCTGCACTGGTGTTGCGGCAGGTGGGTTCGGTGGACTTGGTGCAGATGGTGTGCTGGCCGGGGCTGGCTGCTTCGATGCTGCTTGCTTGGATGGCTGCTTAGCCGCTGGCTTGGCTGCTGGCTTGGCCGCCGGTTTGGCTGCGGCTGCGGCTGCAGCTGCGGCTCTGGCTGCTGGAGCGCCAGGGAGGGGTGTTACTCTGGGTGCGTTGCTTTGAGGCGCTGAATCGTCGTCTGCGTCGGCACCGACGCTAGCGAGTCTGGCTGACTGCCTTGTTGCTGCTGCTTTGGCGCGAGCCGCGCCTTGGCCTAGCTCTTCTGGAGGCTCTGCAGAGTCGGATGGATGCAGTGGCCCTACAGGTGCAGATGATCCTGAGGAACTGGCGTGAGGGGCCGGCAGGCCTGGAAGTTGCAGGTTTAGGTGCTGATGGGTTATTGATCAGGCGGATAAGACTGGATCAAGTGAGGTGCGATTATGATAGAAAGTAAGTGATAACGTATGGTATGGTATTATGAATGTGAGGGGCGAGTAAACGAGAGGATAGTAATAGATATTCTGATACGCAGATACTACGATTCGAATAGTAACGAGAAGGTAGAAAGACCAAGCGTCACGCTCAGTTGGACGCGTGGTGCTGACTCTCCGGCAAGCTCCGAATCGGCACCTTGTCATATCACTTTTCGCTTCGCAGATCATGCTATTCTCCTACTAGCCTCATTGTATCATTCTACTGTCAGCCCGAAAGCGTGATTTCTCTACATATGTAACCACAGAGTATTATCAAAAGTATGCACTGTCGTGATCCGCTACTACTTGAAGGGAAGGAATGAGGGAAACATATTCCGCTCGTTGCGCATCTGTTATCATCACTCGACCGCCAACAGTCAGGGTCTCCAGGGGACACTTTGACCGTACCAACAATGCCTTCATATCCTCATGAGGCCAAGATACATCGCGGCGAGCTTTAACTTCAAGCGTGCGCAAATTAGGAAGCGTTAGCGCATTGAGGAGGTCGGATAAAAGGCGCTTGGACAAAGTGCCATGAGGGATGCCTAAGGATTGTAATTTGGTGTGCGTGAATGAATTCAAGGATTCTTCTTGGTCGAGTACTACGTGGAAAGTTAGGGAGGAGAGGTTGGGACATAGCCGAAGCAAGTGGAGGGCTGCGTTCGGATTAAGTACGGTGATTTGCACATCCGTCAGGTGCGCCCATACAGGACTGAGAGAAGACAAGCGCTCGATGTCGAAAAACGGCCCCATGTCAATGAACTTGAGACTGCGCATAGTGGACGGCAGTCGGGAGATAAATTGTGCAATAGTTGGAATGTCAACATTTGTCATTCCTAGGATGGCCAGCTCCTGAAGTGCTGGGAGGTCTGTCAGAAAAAGCTGGGGCCATTCGCCCTGGGAGAAACAGGTAGAGACTCGGAGAGATGTGATATGAGTTATGTAAGGCTGAAGAAGGCTTCGTAATTTGGTCGAGTGGTAGCGCCCGAGTGCTAACGAGAGCGGACGTCCTCGCGAACGCTTGAGCCATAAATCATAACAGAAAGCTGCCTGCTCCCAGTCCCTATCGTCGACTTCTACATACAACCTGCACCATAAATCAGGCGTACCCAAAGTAACCTCCCTCCATCGTCGGCATATGCCTGTTAACAGCATGGGGGCTTTTAGGGTTGATGGGGACAACAACAATTTGGTTTCGGGGAGACAGTGGATAAATATTTGGGATAGGATTTCCGTTGGCAGCCGCCAAAGAGCCGATACAAGTCCCTTGTGTAGATTCATCGATTGCGTAATCTTCTCCTTCTTTTCAACGACTTGCTGATGAAAATTTTTGACATTATTCATGACGGCCTCCAGGCCTGAGATCTCTTGCAGAGCTGCATCCAATTGCTGCTGACGCTCGGCGATGATGTTTATAACGCTCTGGCCTTCGAGCCCGATGGTAGATCGGTCGGTATTTGGGAATCTAGAGTATGGAGTTTCAAGGTCTGGAAGCTAGTCATCGTTAGTAGCATGACATGTCACATGTCAGGATTGACCAAGGAGTCGACGCACAATCACCTGCGAGCGTGCAAGCTGGAATGGGCGGTTGTTATTATCGGCTGACACGTCAAGAAACTGGGCACTTACGATGTTTTGCAGTGCACCGATGATATCTGAAACCGATTCAGAGACATTGAATTTTGAGCAAGTTGTCTGCATGTTGTTCGCTAAGGTTCGAAAAGCAAAGTTGAAGAGTCAGAGGAAGAGATGTGATCCATCGATGCGGCTCGGAGCTTTCAGCTGCTTTAAGAGCATCATGATAGATCATCGATTGTTGAGGGATGGGAACTACTGAAAATACCATACCAATTCTAATTCGAAGTGGCGGCAAAGTACTGCTAGTGAGGCGGCGACATCCAAATTCAAAAAAACGACAAAAAACAGGGCCTTTGAAATGGAAGTGGATTTGGTCGAAGGCTTTGATTGACGACAATACTAGTCAGAAAGTGTCTACCTGACGTCAACCCCAAGCCCTTCCGCTTTTATGAATGATTAAGTAAGCCTGTGCTGGACGTCGGGTGGAGATGGGCTTTGCTAGACCCCGCATTCTAGGTCTCGTGCGAAAGCTGAAGTTCACCTGAACATGGTGCATGACTAGTGACTTCGAGCGGTTCTCTGCAGCTGGCAGACTGGTCCTATATACCATAATAGCTGACCCTCTTGTGTGTATTCAATGTGCGCTAAGCGTGAGTATCATGATCATACACCAAGTCATTCGGCGACTCAGCTAATTAGCCTGCTACAATCCACTTCAAATTTTCAAAAGATTCAAGCTGTCTTCCCGCATCTTCCTTCGCTTCAGCAGCCCAAATACTATCGCAGTTTTGCCAAATCTGAAGATACAATTAACGGGGTTATGCATGTACGCTATCGTGGTCTGACTTTGTGACGTTGCACTGATAACTCCAGCAGATCCTAAAATTGGCAATGTTCTTGGCGGCGCATTTCGGCGATATATATGTAGTTAAGCTCAAGAAAATAATGGTCTGGGGGTTCGACTGCAAGTGAATAGATAGTTCGGCTATAATCAGAGTTTGACTTTCAAATGGGGGTGAGTGCAGCACGTTGGCCCGGATAGCGGGATTTAACTTTTATTGGCTGACACACCGTTGATGTCACAGTATCCGATGACTATCCAAAGACATTGAGCCCGCTGTCATTTCGCACATAGTATATGCAGTGGCAAATGACGGGCAAGTCTGCGTTAATCACGGCAAAATCCTTGAACATACTCCGTAAAACGAGACCCTCGGGTTATCTGCGCACGGGTATTGGCAACACCGCTCTGTTTCGAATGTCGAGCACCGGGGCAATCAAGTATATATGCTTTTGATAACTGCGAAGGAGGCTATATACTATGGGTTCCCTATGTGGCTAAATGTTTTCAGATCCCCGATAGGCACCCTACCTTTCCCCCCACTATTATCCGTGTTCTCTATGCACGTTTGCAAGGCTGCAGCATCATAAACCCAAATAGCCCATACGCTTCCGCCATTCGCAAGTGGTGTGGGAACAGAATCATATTCTGTTGCATTTGCTATGACGTTGATTTATTTCTACTGAATAGGCTGCACTACTTTTCAATGGGCGTCCCACGGCGGAGGCACCCGCGAAGTGCATGAATATGATAAACAGTTCCCCGTCCAAAAACCCAGGTGCCACGTTGCATTTCTGTCAGCACTTGGTACATAAATCTCTCCTTCGCATATTGGTCTGCCGCCTCTTTCTCTTATTGTACTGCCACGATGAACTTCGAAGATGAAGTCAATGCTGACGCTGTCTCCCAGGCTGGGCTAGAGAAGCTGGGCTATAAGCAGGAGATGACACGGGTTTGTGCTTGTTTTTGCTCCTGTTCAATCAGCATGTAATGTTCGTGGTCGTCGCTAGTCTCGAGGTCGAGTACAGATACTGTTCAGTGAGTAGAGCGTTCCCTCCACCGTATCGCAGAAATTGAACGTTTCCAAGTGACGCTAGGTCAGTCTGTCGGCTTCAATGAAACTGATCACTGAGCTGTTGACTCGATGATGATTTGATTAGCTATCATGGCAGTCCGTATGTCTGAGCAGCGATTTGCTCAATATCGCGACTTACCCTCCTGTAGCATTTGGTATTTCATCACCTATAGCGACGTCACTCGTTGGAGGTGGTCCAGCGGTAATTATATGGGGGTAAATGCACATTTCCTACCTTATCTAGAACACGATTTTGACATGCTGTAGTTGGATCTTAGTTTCATTCCTGACCCAAACACTCGCTCTTTCACTGGCGGAGATATGCTCCAAATATCCTACATCAGCGGGGACATACTATTGGTGTTATCGACTTGCTTCCCCCCGCACGCGACTTCTCGCCTCCTGGATTAATGGCTGGTTAACAGTCGTTGGTGGTTGGACCGTGGATTTGAGTGTCAAATTTGGTATTTGTTCCTATGCACGTCACTCCGATTATCAGTGACGCATCTTCCCAGCAACTACTCAGCTTGTTGTTGCCGGTGCTGGAATATATTACTCTGAATGGAGCCCGACAACATTGCAAACATGTAAGGATCCTTCCGTGTAGCGATATTTGCGTTTGTTGGCCACTTAGTTCCCCGATGCAGACATGATTTTCCTCGGCATGATAACCATTGCTGGCATATTCTGCATTTTCTTTAACAGGCTCCTACCAACCATCGATGTAGGTACTCACCTGTTCGTTGTCTCCGAGATACTCATAGTTTACCAGATTATCTGTGCTTGCTGGACTGGTGTAGGCATCATCAGTACGTTTTACTGTAACTGCGCTCCGTCTGCCATCTTCCTGAATTTGATGTCTGAAGTTATCTCGACATGCTTGCTAGCCAAGGCTGCAGCAGGCCGTCACCCTGTCTTTTTCGCGCTCGGGAACTTTGATCCATCATTTTCAGGATGGACGCCTGGCTGGTCATTCTTCATTGGTATATTGCCGGTACGATTGCTGTTACTTATCGAAACTTGTACTCAATATTACCACATTGTATCGAAACAGCCTGGTAAGATATTAACGTACATTTATCACACCGGGATCGGGAGCTGAACCATGTCCCAGCATATACATTCTCCGCTATAGGAATGAGTACGTTTCTAACAATGGTCTTGGCCATATTCATTCGGCTGACACTCAAAAACCAGTTGCAAACATGGCCGAAGAAGTTCATAACCCTTCCAAAATACTTCCGAAAGCCATCATCTCATCTGTACCCATTGGGTCATTGACTGGCATGGTATTCCTTCTGCCAATCCTTTTCACGCTCCCAGATGTCGCCACATTACTTCAAGGTCAGTGTCACGTTGAGGTAACTCGTGCTCCTCATGTATATATGTCAACCAGTTTCTTCCGGTCAACCGATTGGTGTCATGTTTACATTGATCATGGGCTCCAAGGCTGGTGGTTTTGGGCTGGTGAGTTTCAATCGTAGCCTTCCGTCCGGCGCTGCGTCTCTGATTTGGCGGGGCATTCAGTGGTTCATTAGTATGTTACAACTGGTCTCCGCCAATTAACCTAACTTTCTCATGCCACCTTCACCTTCAAAGTATTCGGTATCGGTATGTTCTGTTCAATATCCACATCGTGTGCCAGTTCTCGTGCAACATGGGCGTTCGCACGCGACAAAGCAATCCCATTCCATCAGTTATTATCAAAGATCAGTCCACACCTCGACGATGTCCCCGTCAATGCACTCCTGCTCTCCACCGTCATCCAGATTCTCCTTGGACTTGTCTACCTCGGTTCCTCAGCTGCATTCAACGCTTTTGCAGGGGTCGCTGTCATGTGTCTTGGAGCATCCAACGCGATGCCTGTTGCCATCTTGTTAATGAACGCCCGGCGAGACATGCATGATGCCCCATTCAACCTTGGCAGGTTCGGTACCGTGATCAATGCAGTCGCAGTATTATGGATCATGTTTGTCACCGTTCTGTTCTCAATGCCTGCTGTCATCCCAGTAACGAGGTGGTCGATGAGTGAGTGGCTTTTGCTCATGTGAACGGGCTAAGGCACTCAACGTGTGCGGGTAGATTATGCTTCGGCAGTATTTGGAGGGTTTGGGGTGATTAGTGCAGTGTGGTATATGATCAGTGAATTACTTTTTTTTGCCGTTCTGGAACTTTATCCGAATGATGTCTTTAGGCGGCCAGTTTTACTATAGAGGACCTCCAATCCAGGAAGAGCCAACAAGTTCCTCCGGATCATCGGATTCTGCTTCGCTCTGAAATTATTTTGGGCGACAATCATGATAGAGATACTATCATCAAAGATGGTGGTCGAGATCAAGGTATCAGCGCATGTATACGTTATACAAGACTAGATGTCGTAAGGTGGTGTAGAACTCCATTTTTTTCAAAGTAAAAGCCTGTATGGTTTCGCTCCACCATCTTCACCATTAGGCGAAGGTGTGTTCTGGTCAGTGTCGAGTAAGTTGGTAGTAGATGACATATAGATCGAAGTGTTGGAGTGAATTTGTCGATTATCACGTGATGTTTGTTCGAGAAGGAAAGAACCAAGATAGAACACACCAGAAGGCATAGGTACCCTTACCGTGTAAAATTGGCTTGGTTCTCAACGTGATGCAAGGGACTAATATCCTCCATATATGTCAATCTTTTCTTTTCTTACCAATTTTGCCGCCCCCGCTCGCCTGTAGTATCATTGTCTACTGGTAGGTACACCCGGGCCATTAGTGTGGTTACAGCGTACTACATGGTGGTGTACGAACAGAATCTTTCAATTGTAATTCTTTTCATGCTGATTGAAAGGACACCTTTCTTATCAGCCGCTCATAAGGTTCTCCACAAGGCATCGAGTATGATAGGCAATATATATTCCCAAGGTATACTCGGCGTTCTGTTCGCATCCGCAGCAATATATGTTTCGCCCTTGCCGCATCTCGGGTGCCACTATCTTTCATTCCACTACCACGATGAGCGTGAAAGATTCAGTTGGTCATGATGTGGATGCTGTTGCCCGTGTCGGGCTTGAGAAGCTAGGCTACAAGCAGGAGATGACACGGGTCTGTGCTTGTTCTTGTTCGATTTGATTTGCATCTCATGTCTATGGTCGTCATTAGTCTAGGGGACTGATACATATATTATTCAGTGAGTGGGGCACCTTTCTCGCCGTGTCGCAGGAATTAACAAACATTCCAAAAAGTGACGTTAGGTCAGGATTCCGTTACCCAGTTCAAGCGAAAACACCCACTGAGATGTTGACTCAACGATTTAATTAGCTATCATGGCAGTCCGTGCGTTTAAGCAGTAATTTTGATCAACATCATAACTTACCCTCCTTCTAGCATATGGTCTTGCGGCTCCTATCGCGACGTCGCTCATTGGAGGTGGCCCAGCGGTAATGATATGGGGGTAAATCCACCCTTTCTGACTTATGCACAATTTGACGCGCTGCAGATGGATCCTGGTGTCAGTATTGACCCAAACACTCGCTCTTTCACTGGCGGAGATATGCTCCAAATATCCCACATCGGCAGGGGCATACTACTGGTGTTATCGTCTTGGATCTCCACACACGCGAGTTCTTGCCTCTTGGATCAATGGCTGGTTGACAGTCGTTGGCGTTTGGACAATTGCTCTGAGTGTCACATTTGGTATTCCTTCCTATATACACCTCTTCCGAGTATAACTAACGCAGTTTATCAGGAACCGCTCAACTTATTGTGGCTGGTGCCGGAATATACCACCCTGAATGGACTGCAACAGCGTGGCAAACATGCAAGGCTTCACCTATAGTCTATATCAATGTAGTTTTCTGACCAGTCTGTTACTATTCTAGATTTGATTTTCCTCGGCGTAACTGCTGTTGCCTGCCTGTTCTGCCTGTTCTTCAACAAGCACCTGCCGGTCATTGATGTAAGCTCTCATTTATGAATTTTGTCTGAAATTCATACGTTGCCAGATTATTTGTGCTTGCTGGACTGGCTTAGGCATAATCGGTATGTTTTGCATGCAATTCGTCCCTGTCCGCTAAGCTGAGTTGTATGAAGTAATCTTGATATGTGTATCCATCAAGGCTGCAGCAGGGCGTCATTCTATCTCTTTTGCGCTTGGACATTTCGATCCCTCTTATTCAGGATGGACGCCTGGGTGGTCTTTCTTCATTGGTACATTGCCGGTATGTTCAATATTAGATATTGAAACCCTTACCTAAATACTCACAATACATTCAACAGCCTGGTGAGAAGCTATTATTTATCGAGTTATGAGACTCGAAGCTGAACGACGTCCTAGCATATACATACTCTGCTATAGGAATGAGTACGTTAAGTGCCTATACATCGCGTTCACTGACTTGAAACACGAAATCAGTTACCAACATGGCCGAAGAGGTTCATAACCCTTCTGAAATACTGCCGAAGGCTATCACCTGGTCTATACCTATTGGCACCTTATCCGGCGTGGTATTCCTTCTGCCAATCCTTTTCACGCTCCCGGATGTTGCCACATTGCTTCAAGGTTAGTTTCACGTTGGAGCAACTCGTTCTTCTCATGAATATATGCCAACCAGTTTCTTCCGGTCAACCGATTGGTGTTATGTTTACTTTGATCATGGGCTCCAGGGCTGGTGGTTTTGGGCTGGTGAGTCTGCCATGGCCTTTCGTCTAGCGCTGCATCTCTGATTTGGATGCGTATTCAGTGGTTCATTGGTACGTCACAACTGGTCTCTACCAAGTAGCCTCGACTCTTAACCCACTGTCGAAGTATTTGGTATCGGTATGTTTTGTGCGATCTCCATCTCTTGCGCCGCTTCTCGCGCAACGTGGGCGTTCGCACGCGACAAAGCAATTCCATTTCATCAGTTATTCTCAAAGATCAGTCCATACCTTGACGATGTCCCCGTCAATGCACTCCTGCTCTCCACCGTCATCCAGATTCTCCTTGGACTCATCTACTTGGGCTCAACAGCTGCGTTCAACGCCTTCGTGGGCGTCGCCGTCATGTGCCTTGGAGCATCCTATGCCATGCCCGTTGCCATGTCGCTCATGAACTCCCGGCGAGACATGCATGATGCCCCATTCAACCTTGGCAGGTTCGGTACCGTGATCAATGCAATCGCAGTGCTGTGGATCATGTTCGCCATGGTTCTATTCTCCATGCCTGCTGTCATCCCAGTCACGAGGGTTTCGATGAGTGAGTGTCTTTGTCTTGTGTGTGCACTGAGGCGCTAAATAGAGCCGGTTAGACTATGCTTCGGTAGTATTTGTGGGCTTTGGTGTGATAAGCGCTGTGTGGTATTTGATCAGTAGGTTGTTTGTTTGCACCTCGGAAACTTGCTTACCGTGGTTCAGATGGTCGGTTGAACTATACGGGGCCTCCCACCCCAGAAGAGCCCACGGGGTCCTCGGAATCCAATCGGTCGGTCTCCCCACTTCGAAGGTGATCTGAAAGCCGAAAGGTCTATTATATCATGATCTCCACGCTATTACAACATCACGTCCAAACTATGTACAAAATTTCTTGGTGCCTGCTCCAGCATTGATTGCAATAAATCGCCCATTCAGATTCCTTCCGAAATAATAGTAGCAAGTATTAGAGGGTATGAGATATCATGCAACGAGTGTCAGCAGCAGGAAACATGGTATAACGATAGCAAGCGAGTGAAGTAAAATGATATGGTTTGCCGGGAGCAATCACGCCCCGTTTCACTACGCGCGTAGTTTCGGGATCACTTTGACCATCTGATCAATGTTGATGAACTGCACCCAAGCCTCTAAATCTTTCGCGTTATCATGCCAGATGAATTTAGACTCCTTCGTACCCCTGAAGAACGCGCATGCGCACTGATACGATTCCTCGAGCATGATCCCGCCCATGCGCTGTACGCCGAGTTGGGCTTTGAATACACGGAACTCCCACCCCTGCAGAGGGTGATCATCACCGCGCGCAGACTCTGAAGGAATGTTGAATTCGAGGCGTGACCAATCGAAAGCGGTGCTCTGGCCGACGGCTTTGATGTATGCCGCTTTAAGCGAGAGGAGGATGGAGAGGCGCCGCAGGACGACTTCGTCTCCGAGTTCAGGGTTGAGGAAGGTCATCTCTAGCGGGGTCAGCTGTGGTCGGTAGCTCGTCAGTCTTGGTGATACTCCGTGCCTGCATTTTGACTCACTTTATGTGCAAAGGATTCAGCGTAGGCTGCTACTGAGACGCCTTTTGGCTCCACGGAAATCTGTTTGATGCCCAAGCCGATGTTTATCACTTGGCGCTGCCGTCCTTGCGTCATCACCATGCCGCAGAGTGAGTTGTCATATGCGAGGTGGTATCCAATCATAGACTGTAGAAATTTTTCTGGAGGCATGTCATCCGGTGACTGTTGTAGGGGAGTACAATAAGCATCGATGAGTTATGCTACTCGATGACCACCACTCACCTGCTCGATCCAATGCTTTCCATTCGAGGTGACGCAGTCCTTCCATTTTGCGCGCGATATTCGTCGGTGGCGCATCATAAGCAGGGGTAACATGTGGCAAATAAGCTGTCCTGCTGAGCGTCAGAACCCAAACTAGGCGAGTAGTGGTGTGGTGCTCACGGAAGGAATCTATAGAAGTAGGCTGGTATGGCAGTCTGGCATGAGGGACGCAATCCTGCACAAGGTGAAAACATTTGTCGTATTCCTGCGGAGACAAGGTCAGGTATTGGATTATCAACAATAATATTTCGTCGAACCTCTGTCAACACATCACGATTCAGTGATAGCATCCAGACGAGAAGTGGACAGTCCATAGCCATTTGTTTCACAGAGTCTGGGAGAGGATTCAAATAGGTCTATTACTACGGGCGGTGGCGCAGCAAATGAATGGTTGCATGTAGCGCACCTGAGTGATCTTGGGCCTACAATTGGGCAGTAAAATTACAGGATCCTGGTGCTAGCCACGATACAAGTCTTCAAATTTATCCAGGAAGGAAGGTGGAGACCACGGAGGATACACAGCAATTGGGCACGCTCTGGCGCGGTAGGTTCATTATAAGGTGATCACTAGCCTAACCGTGACAAGCAAACCGCAGAATTTGGGTGGCCACGTGCCAGGCCACCAGAATCCTGTATCTTTTTTTTTTGAATGACTCGCAAGTCTCGTTTCACATGGACAACTCGAAGACACTCTCATCTCGGCCGTGCTGATCAGTACGTGTTTGACAGCTGTCGTCGACAATACTCAAGGACGTCGGAGATGAAGAATAATACTTTTTAGCTTATCTCTCGAGTTTGCAGTCGACCGCGTGCTGCATTCTGTCCCTTTCCGTCAGATCTGATTTCAAGAAGGCTGTCCTATGGAGAGACACGTCCTCCCATGATCTCCACTCGTTATTTGAACCCTAGCGCTGCCCATTACGGGAGGTTACAGGGTATCACCAGCTCTAATAGCTAGTCCCTCGCCCAAACAGAAAGGATCATAGAAGGCAACGCACGCAAATGGATTTTACTCCACCATCTACTCAGCTAGAAAGTTCGGGAGCTGCATGCATGATGAAAGGGGTAAAATGACCCTGAGGGGTTTCCAACTCATTTTAGTATACTATCTCCAAGTGACCTCATTGCGTCAGAAGCAAATACAGGAATTGTCCATGGCCTGCTCATTTATATGAACATCCTCACTGCCGCCAAATAGTCCACCTATTGTGCTGTATCCGCCGACAACAGCGGCGCCAGCTCCTTGACCGTCGGACTGACGTGCTGAGCCACATCCGTGGCGAATGGAGTAAAGCCACCTGCTTCTGAGGGTATCTTGCTAGATGCCCTAATCGTGATATCTGATGGTATCACGGAACGCGTGAAGTTCAGAAGCTTGATAGCAGGCTACAATCGAAATCAGGTGGGAAAACGTTTTGCTAGCCATTCAAACACACGTACGATGAGCTTAATATTTCCCTCCCTCGCGTCTTTGGCACTCAAATCAAACTTTTTAAGCCATACCAAAAATGGAACGAGAGGCAACGGGATGCTTGTGATCTCATGTTCCACACTGGCATGCACAACAGGCCGCATTACTGCCCCCCCCCCCACGCTATCGGCCTTGGGTGTACGAGATTAACCACAATGGGAGGCACTTCTTCCGCGAAAGCCACATCAAGAATAGCATTTTATACAGCGTGGGGAGGGATCCAGGTGAGAAGCTGAACCGTGTGTCGATGATAGGTACCCCCTGGGTACCTTCGGGAAAGATACGTATATCTACACTTGTCAGGCTTCCGGAAGCCCACCTAGACTGACAGACTCGACGATGATCGACAGTCGTTCTGTCGAGGACCAAGCTCCTCGTGGGGGCCCTCTGATCAATTTCAAACGAGGTTGCACTTGCCGGTAACTTGCTGACCTTGTTTGGCAGAGTTTGTCAGATTTGTACACTCCTAGAAGCAACCCTTTCACAAACGTATTCGCTCGCGGCACAGACAGATCCGGATTCTGCGACCATACACGCGCAACACTGCATCTCTTCCAGAAAAGGTCCATTCGTACTATTCCAACCTTGAGCAGTTGACGTAGAATAGGTGAACATGAAACCCACTTTGGATGGCGCGAAGAGGATAGTGCAAGGTCTATAAAATTCTCTATTCCCCTTGCTTGAGGCTCTGAGACGGAGCACCAATTACAGACGCGTGGATCTGCATTATGTTTGAATGGATTAAACGCGGGTCATCGTGAGAGATATCAGTTTCTACATGCACCAGCCCCCGACACAGAAGGGTGATATCCAAACCGCGTTTTTCGAAACCAGATTTCTGTCACTGTTTGACGCCGCCTCCTTTGATGCATGATTGAAGAGATATACACCAGACAGATCCCCGCCCAAGCAGAGATGAAAGGAGGTATGAGCCAAGACAACCCGTGGACCCAGTCAATATGGCCACACATGATCGCCTCGCCTGCGTTCGTCAATCAGAGTAACGAAGTCATCTCGATCTCGATGTCAGTTTTGGTTTTCGTGACGATATTCCATGGATGACGCTGCTCGCGAGCGAAGGATTTGAAAAGACAATCTTCTGCTTGATCCCTCAGCTGGAGAGCCGATGATGCGGTTTCTGAGGAATATCGTGGACAGACCAGACGTATAGTAGACCAGTAGAGAATAAGCCTTCATTCGCCCTCGACCCACCTGTCAAAGCCTTGGGTAAAGAAGTATCGACCACGTTGGCGGCATTCACAGCAGCAGCGTGTCATGAGCCAGCTCTAGACGTCAACCGTAGGCCAGTTCGTAAGCAAAGGCACATTAATGCCTGCTCTGGTGCTGCCCTCCACCTTTTCATACATGTCGTCTATGAATGCCATGTTTTCTTCGCGCATTGGCGGATGTAACAAGCTACTGATCTCCTCGTCGTACAGCTTGACATTTCCCTTTCCAGCTTGCAGTACGAGATTTCACTACGCGTGACAAGAATCGATCCTGCTGGAGGCAGAAATCTCCTGATTCACTTTCTCTATATCTGGCCTTCTCTGGCATTATCAGACTCGATAGCAGCAAGTGTATACGGCACGAGCTTATCAAACTCCATTCCTGAGCAGCTTCTCGTTATCGACGTCGAATTCATGACCCGCTCGTGGTTATGAGGATTCTGGAGTGGTCGCGTCACCTCGTTTAGAGAACCCCTGGCGATCGTAGGTTTATAGATTGTTCAAAGTTTAGCACCGGCATCTTGTCAAGCTGCAGGCTCGTTTCAGTGCCCTGAGACTGGAAATCAGCCTTGACCAGCCTTAGCCCCATCGGATAGGGAACCGAGGGAGTGGGGTTGTGATTAAACGATAGCAATTCGATTTCTGCCTCGTGTATATCTGCCGCTGGTAAGTTACGAGGCGACGTGGGGAATGGCTTAAAATAGCTGCAGTCAAAACATTGCTTAAGAAAACACATTCACATACACAGAAAAATGACCGAGTTCCCAACCAGAGTGACGATCTCCTTGTTTGCTCCTGCACGACCTGGTCTGATTTTAATGGGGGTGGCGCGATAAGTGTGTGTGTGATGGACACCCTGTTAGATTTGTCATAGATAAACAAAGTTATGAAACCCAAGATGGCATGGGGAGAATGTGTGCAGTGTGAAGAAACCATGATGGATGATATTTTTACAGTCACGAAGCTGGCTGTCGGGAAGACAGAACTCGAAGAGGGCATGGGGCCCGGGGGCCAGGTGGACGCAGTACTACTGGAGTATTTGTGTTATCATGAAAAAGAGTTTTTTGTGGGTACGATATCAGATAGTCCCAAGCCTCATTATGCCCGCCCCGAAGAAACGTTTACTTGCTGGATGGGGTATTTGACGCTGCCTTGATCCGTGAACGAAATGGGGAATTAAACCAAGCCGCCGAACCACGAAGACCTTTTGTAGCCGGCTGTCTGCATGCAACGAACGTCCACAAGGTTACACAAAATTGACCCTCCAGACTCTAGGGCCGGAGCACCTCGCAAAGCGCTGGCAGTATTAACGAGGTACGAACGTTTGTGACATCAATATTGGTGTTGCAAGAAAATCAGAGCATTTGAGCCTGTAAATAGCGAAGCGTCATGATCAGAAGCCGAGTATTGGAGAAGGTGCACCAGCCTGACATATTACAATGAGAACGATGATCCATCAACTTGATGTCACGTCGATTGGCCACTTAACATTTGTCCCACTTGGATTTGTGAATCAGAAAGCGTTGGCTTGACGCTGACCTAGGCGGTTGAGGGTCAACAAGTAACTCAGGTTACCATGTATGATTGGCGTATAAGGCGAACATTACGAAGTATTTCCAAGCGAATTTCGTAATGATTTGTTGAGTGTTCAACCGGAAATTTTCGCGAGCGTCCGTTCTAACTCCTCAGAGACCGATTAGCAAGAGTTCTACGGAACGAGACTGTCTTCCCGAGCTGGCTAAGGGAGACTCCAGAGGACCTGAACGGAAGTTTATAACCGAGGAGTGTTGGTGATTCGTTGCAGCACTGGTGGACCTCTGGGTAAGTCTCGAACAGTACTATTAACCATAACGATGATTGCTTACCTCAGGGCTTAGTACATATGGCTAGCTCTCATATTGGTCGGCTCTCGGACGACATCCTCTTTATGATCTTCAAGCTGGTGTGCGAAGAATACCAAGCTGCCTTGGATGATTATCTTCAGAAAGAAAATGTCCTCACTGACAGACATTGGGACGAATCACGATTGGGGAGAGGAATTTGAACGTAATTATAACCAGTGGCGAATCGACCTAGCAAGACGACTTAGAGCTGGCAATACCGATGACCCTCCTCCCCGATCACCGCTCTTGCAAGCTATGGGTGTGTGCTAGTGCTGCCGTGGTCCGGTTCGGTCCGGTTCAGAGGCAGTTTGATGGCTTGCACACAACTGTGTGCAAGCATCGGTACTCACTCGTATCACAGACTCCATCGATATGGACCGTACTGGAAATCTCCTTTCGCGAAGGTGCTGCAGCTCTTGAACATGCCCGGACATTTCTCCAGCGTAGCGGGTCATGTCTCATCCAAATCACACTTCTTTGGGACGACCCCACCTGGATTGTGCCAGTACTTGCAGAACAGGTTGATATGGGAGGATTTTCACTCCCATCGCGTGAAGAAATCATGGCCGGTATCCATCTTGGCTTGGTCATTCAGGAGCTATATGCCCATGTGCATCGTTGGCGCGAGTTTACGCTCAGGACGACCTCCACTGCCCACACATCAAGCGCTTTCGTTGATGTCACGCCCGTCCATCCATCCAGCCCATGGACTAGAAAACTGCATCTTCAATACATACACAATCCAAATCATGCAGTTCATCGTATCGGCGAACCATCGCTGTTCCCTGGTTCAGCGCCTCCCATTCGTGATCTTCTTTTTTTTGGCGTAAGTTGGGCTTGGCCATCATCGTCTATGTTGTCGTCCAATCTTGTGAACCTACGGATCCATTATAATGCCTACATAAACCAATTCAGAAATCCACGTCCGGGTCCTGAAGCAAAAATGTTGTCACAGTTCCTTGACGCACTCGTCAATCTTCGGACTCTGGCACTCGAGGTGGACCTTGGCTCTTTTGATACAGACACCATTAAGTTGCCTCGTTTGTATACCCTGGCTATCAAGTCGTGCACGATAACATTGTGGGCCGTGGAATTTCTCCAAAATGTTCAAATGCCCAACCTCCGGATCCTGACCTTGTGTGCAGCCACAGAAGAAACCACCTACATCAGTCTTGGAGATCTCCTCAACAAGTTGATCGATCTTACCGATCGTGAGGGTTCTGAGGATCTTCTGGAACTAGATGAACTCCACCTTTTTAATTTCGTAAACGGTGTAGATGATGAACCTCTTCATCGCTTGTATACCCAGATGCCCACCGTCAAAACATTGACATTGGGACCGGGGTCATATGCCAGTAATCTCAATCTGGCAATGGGACTGCTCCCCACATCCTATGGACTGTCAGATCTACAGGCTCTACCTGGACTTCGGACGCTTGTCGTGTTTGACATTCCAAAACAATTCATGCGACAACTCGTACTGAAACGACAGCTTCTCGCTGATCCGTTGGAGGAGCTTTACTGCCGTTACCCTGAAGATCATGATGCAGATGATTGGCAACATCAAGTCAAGAAATTCCATCGTATCGGTAGCCTGAAGTCTAATCGTTACACTGACGTGCTTGCCAGACGGTGGTCATATTTAGTCTAGTACATCATTCGCTTACCCGTATACTTCGGGGGTCGAAATAGTTAATGGACATTGTGATTCAGCCAAACTCATCTCATATGTCAACACGTTAAGTCGGTAAGTAAGCTCGTTTAGAGCTCAAGCGCTCATTGATCAGTACTGGTACTGAGCGGTGATCGCCCTGGTTTTGACCCGTTCGTCACGGTGCATGGGTTTTTCCGAATCTATAAATTAAAGGTCCATTTGATTCGGATCTTGTGGGACATGTAGATCGTGTCTTATCCTAATACATAGTACAACATAGCAGAAAATCCGATACTGAATTGGTAAAGATGATTGTGCATGGAAACCTGTCCACTAATAGTGTCGAAAAAAAGAGAAAGAAGCGGTACATATTCACGCCGCACAAGATGGCTCTTGCACGGATTTCACCTTGCATGTCAATGGTAGGTCCTCACCCACTATGTCGTTAGTCGAGGTGTGGTTAATTTGAGTAAAGTGGGATATATGGACCCGCAAAGGTTTCACAGAAGGCAAAGTTTCCTGTTCTGTCTCATCGGTCGCCCCTCTATGGAAAGTCGTCGAGAGGTAATCGTGAGCGTGTTTACTGATTGCGACACGAACGAGCACCATGTAGAAGGCAATCGAGATGATCGGCATGAGCTAGATGATCGGAGCTCAGTAATCCTCGATAACAGGTTTTAACGGCAGAATCACCATGTCTAGCATAACATACTGCCCATTGTTCGAACAGACGAAACAGACGAGTGTGGGGAAGAGCACCACAGAGTACAAAATGGCGGCATCCACAAGAACCCGTAGTACGGGGGTCAAAGATCTTTTCGAAGTGCGCATTGCAGAGACGTTACATTCAATCTTCCAGATGCGATATGCCAGTAACCCTGGTTACATTCAGGTTGGTATAAACCTCGACGTCGTACCGACACAGAAGCGTGCTTACCTGAGCTTATTAAATTGGTCGAAAGTGTCAAAGCGAAGAACGTCTGTCCAGTCGCCTTCGTGAAGATGTTTCCGGCATTGCTAGTGGCTTGCGAAACGCTGTAGACCGCAGAAAAACCAGTGACTGCAAAGCATCATTAGGGCACACTACTTTTTCAGCATGATTGTAAACTCACATGCACTACAGCACCACAACAAACTTGGTAGGATAATGATCTTGGCAGAATGCCAAACAACGTAACAACGGTATATCTTTGGTTGAAATTACATCTCCATAAGTCAAGAGGGTTCTAAGCTGGCAGTCAGAAAGTTGGACCCACCACAACCCCATCGCCAAGCAGAGTGTGCAAGATATATATCGCATTCTTGATCACATATGTAATTTGGGACACGTCCGCGAAGAATGCCGCAGGGCCGTCTGGAAATGTGTCGCGATACTTCACCAGTCCATCTTCGAGGCGAATGATGTCTACGATCATGTGCTTGGTGAACTTCAGCAGTTGATACAGCATATAAAGAAGCAAAAACACTAACTGCGGTACTTAGTATCAACAGCATGATGGTCACCGCAGCGATTAGGCGATTGATCTCCTGCAGGCGACGCTTGTAGGTCAACGCCCAGATGGTACCTATAAACATGAGGACGGAGAACCCTAGAGAACGATAGCTTAGTACTGGAGTGAACATGTGATGGATGAACCATTCTACTCGCCGTATAAGATGGCTTCCAGCACAGTTGACATTATAGCAGCCACATCGAGCGGGATGCCTCTTGAAGTCATGGTTGCAGTGTGAGGATGTACAAGGGGGTGAGGATGAATGTTGAACCTTCATCAGCTCCATGGATACGTCTTACTTAACTTTGTAGATCGATATCATGACGCTGAGGCAACTTTCGGTGATACCAAGAAGCAGATACTGTGGGCTATGTGACACCTCTCGGAAAGAACCTAACACAAGGGCCATGATAATGCCACAAGTTTAGTTAGTACCAGTTACGACTTGGCATCGAAAGACTATGCTGTGGCTGCGTTCAACGTAAAACGCAAGGCCGGGAACAATTACAAATGCCCCGTTGCAGCTATATATCTTCATTCATATCGATGAACCAGAATTTTTTTAAAATTCACTTACATAGCTTGTTAATTATTGGGACGACACCAGAGGCGATGCCAGCTACTTTTGTAAGTCATGCATCAGCGTCGTGCCTCATCGTTATCATCATTCCTGTTCATGCAAGCGCTCTTATGTCAAAGCACAGGGCCCGGGCTGCCTCCCACTAGTACGTGCCACTTTCAGCGATGTATCTCCCTGATGTTCTTGCAGGCCGACTCGATGCAGCCTATTCCACAGCAAGCGGAGGTCGCCGGTTCATCGCTCCTCACTAGACGACGACGGGAAACAATTACAGGACCATACCAGCGGTCCAAATGAGGATTTGACATGATAGCGTGAGAGGAATAGAGTTTTGATGTTCGTTGCGAGGAAGAGTATCACGTCAGCTGCTGCCAAGCTAATGCCCATTCATCATCCAGCCCGTCAATGCACGCTTGCGGCAAGCCCTTCCTGACCTCTTGTTTCATTAGACCCTGCTCTCTACCATCCCCTTCGTTCACTCACACAACCCGAATACTTGTATCGTCTACAACAAACGCCAGGGACCACTATCACGAATAGCACAACCACGGTCCCGTGAATTGGAAGATTTGCGCATCTAATGCGGTCGGCAGGAATGGCGGACTGACGGAAGTCGTCCCTGCACCAGGGCATTTCGTGCTTAATCTCCGTGCACTGGCTACCGATTAATGCAAATACACCCAAATTGCCCCTAAACGTCCTATATCTCATACAGGCAGAAATCGAGGGAACGGTTAGGGAGGCGCTTGCCGCGAGTTCTCTGTTGTTTATTGACTGCCAGTGAGCTCATCTTTAGTCATTTGTAACCTTCAAGACCACAGAAATCTGGCGCGTACAAGTGACAAATTGTGAATCCAGCATTAGCGTTCTGCCATGCAGCCATTATAGCGCACCTTTCAAGCAGTGCCTCTCTGTATTGGATTAGTATCCGAATCGGAAATTCCTTAGCTCGACTGTCAGTCCGTACTGCTGCCCCCTACGCTTCCATGGGAATAAAGTATATTCCATGCGGAAGCACCCACCCTTAACTTTGAAGCACGAGGCAGAATCCCAGAAGGCAGAATGAAATCTCTGTACGATGGCGATCCTCACGCGTCGACCTCCATATTGGACACACAGCTTATCGCTTCATTGTTGCAGACCAAGGCTGCACTCTTTCTACTTTGCATCTAGGTGTAGTCACGGTTTGTCGAAGCTGGTGGCTTCCCTATGATGACCCAGAGACATGGTGGTACGTTCTGAGTTTGTCTTCCCAGCGGTTCTGGTTCAATTGATTCTTAGGACCTGCTCTGGCGGCAAGATCGACGTGCAGAACCTCCTTGGCCCCTGCACCTCCAATTCCGTCTTTTCCGGGCGTGTCAGTAAACTATTGGGGTTTCATAGGCCTAAACGCTATAAAGGGGTCAATGACATCCTCTTTTCTGCATCGGACGCAGTAGTGAGGGTCAACTCGGTAGGATGGCAAGACAGCCCTCAAGAGCATCGAGCTCAACGGTCAAAATTGGAGCGGGTGTCTCGTCGGTTAAACACGCCTTGTTTAACCAGGTACCAGTCTTCTGCCACATGAACCATCTCGTATTTCTTTCCTGTGCATGTACATTGGAGACTCGTTGTCTGCTGTAAGTGCTTGAGGTATCACGCACACCTCAAGTATGCAAATTTACCGCAAAAAGGCCTAATACCTCCTGTTGGGTGTTGACCAAGCCTGACATTCCTTATATCGAAGTACTCTAGAAGTGAACATAACAGGCAGGCTCGACATGAAACTGCCCTCTCGGTCAGTCTACATTGCATCCATTCGGACTGATCAACGCACGCCGACGAGTTTGATCTCGTCACGGAATTTCCACGTTTAGCTTGTCCCTTTGTGTTCTTTGAACTCTATGTCCTCGTGGTGATGTCGAAGAAAAAAGATAGTGCATGGTAAATCTGATCTTCTCGAATTAATGTTACGCAAATCTCAGGCACGAGAACAGATCACTTGCACAACTACACAATACGGTCAACACCCCAGAACCTTTCAAGCGAGACTACCCCATGTCGTATGCATAATCGGGTAAGGCCCAATCTAGATCTTTGCTACCTCTTGCTTGCAACGTGGCCGCTAATAATGACACCGACCTTGATGCAGCTCCGGTTAGCGCTAAACGACAGCGGAAATAACATCACGGCGTCAGGATTATACACATCAGGTTCTTACCTTGCGTTCTGCTCATCCTCTCGTACTCGCTGACGTTGTTTTGTCCATAAGACCATAAACTTCCCGCATTACCTACCTCGTACGGCTCCTGTTCATCATTCTGATGTATGTAGCTCACATTCTTTGAACCCTGTATACTTATGTCAACAGCCTGGATTGACTTAGCGACGGAGCTGGCATATAACCCCGAAGGTCATCCTCGCTTTACTATGTGGTTGGCTATCAGCAGGCCGTAAACCACCGGTGGTGGCGTGAGTTCATATTTTCAAATGCTACACGATCATAGGCTAAGCTTATTGATCAAGGACTTGGAGATAAGAATGCATGCGGGGGGAACACAACGAGATGAATCAGTCACAACGATGTGTATTCAAGTCGGACCCGTGGGCATTTCATTTGGAGTTATTTCATTTCTGAGAGTGAAATGATATGAAGTAATTTGGGAACATCCAGCTGCACCCTACTGTTCAGTGTCACTAGAAAGTGCCCGCAAGGCACTTCGAGTTTGTTCGAAGAATGGGGAATGGTGACTGAAGGCCGCGGAGCAGTGAGCGCTCGAGCACTGCACCAAGGTCCCAACTTCACCTGAACCTGGCCATGGGAAACTGACGACAAATTGTATCTCTAGTCTATCTGAGTCGTCCATAATTTCATCGGTCCTAGTTGGTACATCTTGCAATTACATGCGGTAGTGCGATAAGACGATTCCACCAGAGTCCAGCGTGTAGGACAACACAACCTCGTTCCTGGCTTGTCTGTTAGTAGATTTACACCGGGTTCACAGCAGCAAATTGCCGGACACCCTGTCGATAATCAGACTAGCGTATATATAGCACGCCCTCGCTCACGGTTCATAGCCAGTTCACATCCGTTGGCATGGCATGTCCAATAGTCATGCATCATTTCATCCCCCAGTCCCATTGACAGAAAATTTATCGCACACCGTATGAGAATTCTACCAAGGATAACATATTAAATCTCATGTTCCCGTGTCCGTGAGCTTCGAACTTCCCCCTGTTCCGCCCAGCCGCGCCCCTTCTTTTCCTGCCATAAATCCTTCAAGAACTTGGCCTTTGGTAGAGCCGATCATTCACCACCATGTTTAGCAGGGAACCTCAGTCACCAGGCAGCCATTATCCAGCAGAGTCCCGCCCTGGATCATCAGCACCGACTATTGATGTCTCGCTGGCGAGTCCATCTTTTGACTACGCTAGTTTGAATGCGCCGTTATGGCCACACCGTCTCTCCGCATCATTTTCAGCGATGGCAGACCAGATAGCAGCTGCATCACAAGCACTCGCGCTTGTTCCTTCTACGGCATTTAGTGGCAATGACATGGCAGCTGAATTTGCATCTCTGAAATCGAAACTCGCGTCGATTGAGAGCACACAAGAGAGCCTCGCTGCTGAGTTTGCTGCTTTGAAAGAGCAGTTTACGCACCTGAACACGGATAAAGGACCTGCATTGGAAGAATTGGACAAGAAGATCGAGGCACTCAAGAAGGTCGTGGAAATTGAGTACGTCGCTATTTTAGATGAACTATATGGAGGCTGAGGTACCTTTTCTGTCCATCCCAGACAACAGCGACTTCCTGCGCGTTTGAGCAACTCTCGGTGTACAGTGTTGAACACGAAACTTAAGGCGCCCGTCACAAACGAGGGCAAGCCACCGCCGAACTTCCCTGCTACTAGGGGAGAATTCGAGCATATTACAAGTCAGTGCATTTTTTTACTTGGGTTTGGAATGGTCCCCTGATTGCGTGGTGTCATTTAGAGGAGCGCTATGAGGGTATTCTCAAGGCTTATGGTCTGCCCATCAAAGGGGATACTGATGCCAAGCGAGAAGCTGTTCGTATATTTGTCGGCATCCCTCAAGATGGGCTCTAAGCAAGCAGGAGGAAGGATGCGGACCATATGATACTAGCACTGTCCATCAAATATCACAAGTTGCTGGAAGAACTTTGCTTGCTGGACGAGCTTTGGTCATTTTGGAGATTGACCAACTCGTGAGGGTACGGAACAGCAGGATCAAACCGGGTAGTTAATACTAAAATCAGTAGACTAAATGTAGGCTCGAAAAGTTCTGATTAGAATATATTATATCATAAATCTGACTTTACTAGGCAGGTGTGCCGCGATGCCGGTTGTCATTTTGTCACGACAAAGCTCTGCCTCCCTACTGTCCGTTTTAGGCCACTAACGCCAGCGATAGCCGCAAAATCTATAAAGGTATATACTTTCAGCCTTTCCGTTTCGTTAAGTATGCTAATAGATTTCTCTTTCTCTCATCTCTTTTTAGATGATACCAACTTTATCTATCTCAACACTTGTCCATGACTCCATTACATGCAGGCCGGCTCCCATTCATTTACGATACCGGCACCCATGTCATGAAACTTTGCAATGGATCATTATCATTATCACTGCCAGGATCATTTGCGGTTGAAACAGTTACGGCGTTACTGTCACTGTGACATGGGGGCGGGTTCATAAATTGCAAATTTGGACGCCTTGATCAATCATCCTTGTAAATGTTTGAGACTCCGGTATATTTTAATATTCTGAATTATTATTTTGAGCTTCTCTAGCAGAGCAGTGTTAGTCAAGGTGATGCCTTTCAGTTATAAATTGCCTATCGACTACAGATTACGTTTCTGGTCCGACCGCCCTTCAAAACCTTCTCGTCTACCACTTTTCCGCAACATGTCCCATGAACCCATTCAAACCCTCCTCAACGCCAATAAAGAGTGGGCGCAAAGCGTAATCAAAGACGCACCTGATTTTTTCACTCAGTCAGCCACCGGCCAAAGTCCCAAGGTGCGCCCATCGCATGTCTCATTTAACTCCATTTACGAAGGTCATTTCAGATCCTTTGGATCGGCTGCTCCGACTCGCGAGTACCAGAATCAGTCATCACAGCTTCCAAGCCTGGCGATATCTTTGTGCACAGAAACATAGCCAAGTACGTATAAACAACAATTCACCTAACTCTGAGGATCCATGTAGCTCATAACCGTCCCTGCAGTCAATTCCACCTCAACGATGATAGCGCACTCTCCGTCCTCACATATGCCCTCAAAGTAGTTGGCGTTGAACACGGCGAGTGTCTCATCTCTCACGATAAGGTTTTCATTCTTCCTCTAACGGGTATGTATCGTTTACAGTCGTCCTCGTTGGTCATTCCAACTGTGGAGGTGCTGCTGCTTGCTTGAAAGCGGTCGAAGATGCAGCAGCCGATCCCGGCGCGTCCCAACCCGACACCCCACTGACGCGCTGGCTAAGCCCCCTTATCGCGCATGTTCAATCCCTCGACCTATCTGCGTGCTCTGCGAGTGAGGCGTTGAATAAGGTCGTTGAATCCAATGTCATCGCACAGGTCGACAATATCTGCAAGTCGGAACCGATCATCACTGCATGGGCAGACCCGAATGCGAGAAAGGTCACTGTACACGGATGGGTTTACGACCTCGCCCGTGGACAAATCGATGAGCTCGTCTTCCGGGAAGCTCAAGCATGACGAGAACAGTTTACGACTCTTCCACTTTTTATGACAAGCTCCCAACCTTTTGCAACAAATTCCAACCTTCGCTGCGTTCTTCACCTAGATTTCCTCTAGAATGGCTGTACACGTCAAGCATGTGGTCAAGATTATTTGTAAATTATATGTGTAGCTGAAAAATATAGTTTCAAAGTTGGACTTTTGAAATTCGAACCTTACTACCTCTCATGATGCCGCATCGTCATTTTCTCATCAACATTTCTAATCGCTGCCCATGGAGACGTGAAGAACGCGACCCATGCGATGCTCCACAATCGATGACAGTGTGGCAACAGACTTTCTTGGACAACCGTTTCTTCCAGACACGGAGGTAAAGATAGATCCAACTTTCAGCGCTCAGCAATGATCAATTGGAATGGAAGCACGCTGACTTACCTGCGTTCCCACTGTACTCGATATACGTACTGTCGAAGGTAAGCTTTCAAGTTTTGGTGTGCTGACCTACTACTTACATGGATGCGAACTTCATTTACAGCTCAGCGTTGAGACTGGTGTTTCTAACGAGTCCCACTTCGAAAGCACTCAGGAGGCGCTCCTATTTAGTCATTCTGGCCCGTCTGATAGGCTTGGAACTTTACACCATGTAGCTAGCCTAGGCGGGCGCCGCCAAAATCTGTTCGGAATGATGGGTATAAATTTGCCATTTGTTTACAACAGGTCACATCAATCTGCGTAAGCTTTCTGGGCATCACTTGGCGATGAACAACACCTATTCTAGAATAGCTGCATAGGGAACGAGAACTCTTCTAGTCACGATGAGGCCCTCACCTACTAGTAACTCGTTCGGCCCTGATGTGGACAAGGTCGTACGTTGAAGCCAACATCATCGTGCGGGTTTGCAAGTCGGAGCCAATTGTCAATGCGTGGCCAGATCTAGGTGCCAAAGCCTTTGCAACGTTTGTATGCATTCTTCGTATAAATAGATGCGCGCCCAGGGTATGATCATGACAGGTCCACATGTCTTACTTAGCTTCCGTTTGACCACTCCCCCAGTGTGCAGATACCGCATGTATAAGATGCTACGTACGATCCGAGGTCTAAACATGAACCTAGTCCAAAACTTAGCTTTGACATAGCGTATAGGTGAACGCCGAGCGAACGAAAAAGAAAAGTATGCTATGCATTGAACAAAAATCAGACAAATGAGATCCTGTGATATTAGCAGACTAATTGGGGAAGGTGGGGGCAATGTGAACAAGTTAGCTCCGGATCGAAATCAAAGGGAGAACAACGCGAAATATCACGTATGTGCAAGAGCTGAAGCTAGTCCGTAGGTCAATGATGGTGCCGAGGAGGAAGCGAGCCATCCGAAGAGCTATCAATAAGCCCGAAATTAATGCGGGTAAGTGCGGTTATCAGCAGACAACGCAGCATTTCCAGCTGCCACCAGTCGAGTCTCCGTTAGACGCTTCACCACTTCGCCCACTGCTCTTCCTTCTGTGATGAGCAGAGGAAGGCACTCCCTCTCTCATAAGCATGCTTGCTCGAGTGGCAGCCTCGAAAACATCATCTACGCCCTCAATCTTGAGGGCAGAGCACTCCTTGTAAGCGCGCGCACCAATCATAGATGCTACGCGTTCAGCTTCAGCACGCGACACGAAGTTGTCAATATCAGGAGAATTGGGGGATGTCGGACGCAGGTCGGCTTTACACCCAACGAGTAGAATTGGGATGGTTGGGCCACATATGCTCCGAACTTCTTCGATCCACTAGACAGGACGGATCAGGGATCGACGCGCGCGCCAAGAAAATGTGTCGATATCAACCTACTTTTACAGATACGTTATCCAGAGAATCTGGGGTGTCGATAGCAAAAGCAATTAAAATAACATGTGACTTGGAGTAGGACAATGGTCGTAAACGCTGACGCAAGGAATGATGAGCAAGCGGAAAGAACCGGTGATGAAATATCAATATCTTACTTCATACTCTTCTTGCCCTCTGCATGACACAATCAGTTAGATAAAGAGAAGTCCAGTGCAAGAAGAGAAGACACAAACGCAGTATCCCAAAGTGCCAACTGCACAGGTTTACCATCTAGCCTGATTTCTGCGACGTAGTTTTCAAATATAGCTGAGGGCGTCAACGGGTAAGCAAGTGCCGGACAGCGTGGGTCTCCAAAGGGTGCTTACTCGGTTGCTTAAGATTGAGATTAGTTGTATTCAGTAGGCACATGTCACAATAGTTTAGACTCACATATTCCTTTGGAAATTCTCCGAGTGCAAAAGAGCATAATAGGGACGTCTTCCCACAAGCACCTGTGAGTGGTACCTCGAGTTCAGCTGGCCATGTCCAGAAACAAAGGGCTGCGGTTACGTGCCGTCACCGACGATGACCAGTTTTCTGCGAATCTACGCGCGAGGCAAACAAGGCACCGGAATGTGAGACTTGCGAGCCAGAACTGGAGTAGAGGAAGAAAATATGCGTACTGGGTTTTGAGACGACATGAATGTTGCTGGGCTGTGAACAGTCAGATTATTCGGACTAATGGAAGACGGAGGCAAGCCTGCGCGCTAGCCGAGATGAAAATCAACAATTACAAGGAGCGTTAGAAAACAAAAAGGCGTATAATGAGTATTGTGATGAGAATGAAGCCAAGTAAAGAAGAGAGGTGAGAAGCAGAAGAACACGGTGACTGCGTTTGACCGCTGGCTTCTTGCGCGCGGGTTGGGACCACTTATATAAGCCACACAGCACCGCATCCTCTAGTCTGACCATACAAAACCCAATTGCAGAGGAACCGCAGCCAAATACTATTCACACTGGTACTATACATAGTACCCATTCCGAAAATGAACTATCCACAAGTCCATCGCATTTATCGTGCTAGAAATCCAACTAAAACATACAAATTGTACAATATGTGAAATTGTCAAAAAACTCAAGTGAATGGAGAAAAGGGATACACAAGGGATTGGTCAACCAAAGTACATGAGATCACTGGACAGCATATGCTGCCTATTATAGCCATCGTCAACGGAAGACCGAAAGGCATAAAGGTTGAAGCTCACCTTAATCTCCTTCTCAAATTTCTTAGCAACCTTGGAGCGTTGCACCTTCTGTGCTGCGGTAACGAGGCCACTTTCGGGCGTCCACTCCTCGGCCGTCAGAACAACGGCTTCTAGAATCTCCATTGGTTTGAAGCTATTCTTTTTCCCGATACCATTGCACTCCTTGAGCATGAGATCTTGCACCACTTTATTGGTGCATAAATCCGATAACGGAGCGCTCGCATCTGCGGGGATAGACTTGGCTTCAAGAGCCTGACGCAGATTGACCTCATGAGGGATGATGATAGCAATGGGTTGTTTGGCTTCAGCATCTGCGTATACACAGATGTTCGCCACAAGATAGCATGACTTGTACGTCGATTCTAGTTGTTCGAGGGCTATGTACTGAGAAGCGGTAGATTAGGAAATCTGCAGCAAAAGAAACAACTTGACGCACCTCGCCACCCTGCAGCTTGATGAGATTCTTGATCCTGAAATGAATGCGTATCAGATGAAGAAGATTGTCCAAGAGTTCAGATTACCTGTCAATCAGAGAAAGGGTTCCATCAGCATTCCATTGACCGACATCACCAGTCCTAAGCCAGCCATCCTTAGTGAAGATCGACTCGTCGTTGTTGAGGTCGTCCCGCTTGTAGTATCCTTTGGTGACCGACGGTCCCCTAATACAAACTTCTCCCTGGGGAGGATTGTTAGTCGACTTGTAGCCCGCTTCAGGGACATCCAGGAGCTTTATTTCAGCTGAAGGAACAGGCAATCCAACCGAGCGATATTGCATGAGCTCAGGGGGCAAAATGGCGCACATCCCACAAGATTCAGTCATACCGTAACCTGCCCTCAATTACGTCAATATGTCGCGAATGGGCTTGAGAAGTTACTGACCTTGGAGCATGGTGACGAGTGCAAGGGACAAGAACTCCTGGGTTTCTTTGCTAAGAGCAGCGCCACCACTCAATGCGAGACGAAGCCGCCCTCCGGTGGCCTGTTTGATGTTATTGAGCACAGCAGCATCGGCTAGTTGGCTAAGGCCAGGAACATCAGCCTTCTTGGCCGCCATCGCCCCATTGAAGATGGTCTTCTTCAAAGAGCCGCTAGCGTTGACCTTACTGGTAATCCCCTTACGGATCTGTTCCCACACAGCGGGCACACCAACCATGATGCTGGGGCGGAACGTAACAATGTCACCCTTGCATTGGCGCACGGATGCATCTGTAAGAGTCTTCACGCGGCCGTAGCCCGTCTTCATACCGACAAAGAATAAGATAAGTTCCACGATGTATTCAAGAATGTGGGCGAGTGGGAGATACGCCAGGAAAGTGTCTTCGGGACTGAGGTGGTGACCAAGAAGCGTGTAAACGGCACCGACAGAGGCGATGACGTTGCCGTGAGTGAGTACCACACCCTTGGGAGCGCCGGTAGTGCCACTGGTATACATAATCAGGGCCACATCGTCTCTGGACGGCTTTCGCTCCGCCAGACCCTCCTCAGATTGCTTCGCGCCAATCTCACGCAGTTCATCAATGGAGAGAATGACTACGTTTTCCCTGATGTTGCGGATATCATCTAGAAGCGATGGCTTGGCTTCACCGTCATAGACTATGAGCCTGACCGATGGGGTATTGGGGAGCACATTCTTCAGGGTCGTGAGTAGGTCAGCATTAGTGAAAACACCAACGCAGTTTGGCTCGTTCAATGAATGGGTGAGTCCAGATTCGCCAAGGGTATCATAAGCAGTAGCCACAGGAGTCGAAATTGTCGTGCACGCATGAGACATAAGCTGCCAGTTTACGCTATCTACGCGTCAGCGATGAAAGATTTCGGCAGCAAATCCGACGCACCTCGTCTGAGCATAGATATTGAATATGTCATCCTTCGTGATTTGATGGTGAAGAAGACCTCGTGCAAGAGCCGAAACTCGCTCTTGGACGTCCAGGAAACTGTGGTACTTATAGTCACTGAGCTGGAAATACTTCCAGATCTTCTTCTCCGTGACCTCCTTTCCATTGACCATCTTTTTTACTTCTTTCTCTTCCTCGTGAATTTCGACGATATCGCGCCAACCCACAGCATCTTTCGTGCCGTGTGTTCGAGCAGCGTAGGCGATAACATCTGGAATGATGTCGATGCCCTCGAATGGCTGAGTTACAAGGGTGTCAGCAGTGTTTGCCAGGCGTCGAACTGGGCTGCCATCCTCAGTCGTAACCACGATAGAGCCTTTACCGAAGTAGTTGCGTTTGGAGGTCATGATGAATCGCTTCCGTCAGCACAACAAGTGCTAGTTAGAATTTGATCAATCCCACTTCGGAGTACCAAAAGCATAGCATTATTCACGTGACATTTTGTTCGATGATCGGAGTTTGAAAATGGTTGATGGAGAAAGCTCCCTCCAATCGTGCTTCTCGGACGAAAGTTTCCTGGGCCCTGAATGTTTATCACGTGAGCATTTATTTTCAAATGAGTCGAGGGGGCGAATTTATACCCATCTATCTCCAATCACATGGTTGTCGTAGAACTTGGCTGTTCTCGAATAATACATTGCAGGTAATACATGTCGATGAGATTTCAGCCTCAGGTCGCACTTGAGGAGAATACGAGAAGCTCAGGAGTCAGGATTTGTGTTTGAGCTTGGACCTTGGTGACTGAAAAATGTGATAGGCCTTCTAGGGACCGATCATCCTGATTTACTAAAAAAAATCAGTCCTTAAAAAAAGAGACCGGAAGATAGACTGCTCACTAGACTTGAACTCACTTCTATGACCTATGGGCACTGTAGAGGTTCGACCTGATCCGAGTGTAACCGACTGAACATTAATTAAAAACTGACTTGCTATAAGTGTGCGAAAAGTGTTTTATGAGCTACGAGTCTGAAAACGATATCTCCTTATCAGACGGTGAAAAATAATGAGAACACCCCTTTTTATGCTGCACCAGCACCAACGATGTGGCTATCAGTTGGTCAGAACGGGAACGAAAAATTGCAAACAGCTCACTTCTGGTAGACCATGCCGCAGTAGTGAATCTGTGAGATGATAATCATGAAAGGGACAGCAAGGAAGTTCCTCTAAATCAGCTTAATGCCGAAGCACAGAAGTTCATTAGGCAATGCGTCGAGAAGTCAGGTCTAATCATGTCGTCGCACAGGAACCGAAAAGACCTGCAAGCTCCGGTGCAGATTATCATGCCATGAGATCTCACGTGTGAGCTATCAGTCAGTGTTCGGGTGCTGGGCAGCCTTGTTATCAAACATATCTAGTAGCTGATTTAGCCGTCTCTGGTGCGTTGATAGGATCTGGGGGAAATACCTCGATCTGCCATGTCACAAAAGGAGCAATGCGCACGATGGTGATTTACTAGCAAGCACACCCATCATCAAGATCATTTATTATCGAACCAATTGTCTGGCATGCAACGTTAACTTTTACCTGCTTCCAAAAAAATGCTTACAATCAGTATTCTATATGATGGTGCGCGTACGACCCGAAAAACGGGCGGCCTTCTGAAGTTCTAAACCGCACCGAGCTTGTTGAACCATAAGTCTGTCAGCCTTGCTTGCAAATCAAAACCCAGGTACATGACACTTAACTCATGATAAAAGCCCCGGATTCCGCCTGTACCGAGATATGAGCAGCACGTTTCAAAAAACGTTAGCCAGTTCTTCATAGCTGCATGGGGTACCCGTATGATACAATCCTGATCTATCAATTAAATAATGAGTTGCCGACAAATCTGCTGCTTGATGCAACAGAGAAATCTTAAATGGTCAAACTTACTAGTAACATTCTGAGACTAAGAAAATGGAGATCGAGACCTGTCAAGGCGATAACAATACAGACGTCATATTTTTCAATCCCCTGGCAGTAATTCCGAGTCGCGTGAGGAGATGAAAGCTTAAGGATGAACTTTCAGAAAAAAAAACTTTCCATGTTTTGGCAAATGTAGTAGGATTCAAGGGGAAAAAGTTAGTAAACGACCTTATTTTTAGATGGTGACCAGAGGTTCCAATTGAGATTTCTGTCGGCTGCGAGCCCTTGCCTGCCAGTCTTTTTACCCTATGAACGACAAAACTCGAAGACCCCAGAAGCATCAGCGCCGAAAATTATTACGCGCGGCAGAAGCCATGACATAACTCGGATCAATGGTACGTTATCCTTGATCATTCAGGACTCAGTCAACGGTGTTAGCTGTTGCTAATGGTACTTTAAAATTCACATACTTGGTTAGTTCATGATGATTTGGTCTGCTTGAATCGCCAAACAGAACTTATCCTTTGGCTAGCTGAAGTGAAGTGGTACCTTCTTATGCTATAGTGTATGACACGTTCATTTCTTGGCTTTAACCTTGAAATGGTGTTGTAGATGCGGTGCTTTGGTAATTGACAGACTTGGCAGGTGCCGCGCATCAACATTTATGCGAGATATTGACCCAGCAGAACATACACAAACAGGTCATATTAATTGAGTGGTAGTGGATAAGTATAGTAGTAGTACAACAACAAACTCATTAGATCCAAAACTCCGCGTAATATGAGCAATTATTTACAAAATAAAAACAAGACATGTCACAGAATGCCACACGTTAGAATGCTCCTTTCTCAAAAAGTGGCACAACGAGACACTCGCGATTGGTGACATCGACCCCGCGGAAGTACCCTGTACAATAGACCCTGTCAAGCTTGCTGTCATGAAGGTGACGCTCGGCACTCACTCGGGCTGAGATAATACCACAGTACGGTTCCCTGCACGAAGTTTTCCAGTGCATGAAGGTATCTTCCCAGTTCAGCATCCACGTCGGCACCAAACGACGGAAGCTGGCTCTTAAATGTGATGTAGTCGTCCACGCGTTGGTTCAACATCTCGGTGAGAATGTTAATGGCTTCCTGCAAGCCGACATTGCGTTCATGCATGATGCAGAAGACAAGGTTTTGGTAATCGCCGTCAGCTTGTTCTTTCTGAGGACAAGTCAGTATGTTTTAGTGGTCAATATCGGTTTTCTCACATTAAAAGAACAAAGATCCTGTTCCAAAAGGAAACGTGAGCCTAAGTCAAAAGATCAAATGAATGAATGACAAACGTTCGGCCATGTCATAAGGTCAGTTGTCGCGTCTGACATCGCTTTGATTATAGGATTTTCAAAGACAATATCCGGAAGGTTCAGGTCAAGAGAATACTCGACCATTGCTAAAGTGACATTTTCAGTAACATGTAGGGCCGAGGAAACGCGGAATCTTCTCACCTTCTACAAGAGCGCCGCCGATAGTCGCGCGACGCATGAGAATGAATTCGTCAACCGAGGGCATTCGGTCTTCAGAACGATTACGAGATTGTGATACTTGAGAGCTACTCCACGCCTCGAATGCCCTAATAAACCTGAATGGAGTTCCGTATCAGAATAAAAGTCCTTAAACTACAACATTGACTTGCCGTTGATAGGCTCCAACGGTGGATGTCCCACGGAATCGCGTTAGCAAGCTAGATAACACATCAGTTACGTCATAGGGTGTAATGACAAGAATACATACTCGTACAACATTGCAGCATATGGATATTGTGGGCGAGAGTCATCTGGGTTTGTGTAAACACTAACGGAGATGTCATGTCCAGCTTGCACTGCGTCAGGTTTTGACTGCAGGTCGCCTTCATCAGAAAGATCGTCGGTCTAAAATTCAGGATGTGAGTCCACGGAACTACATGAATGGTGACTAGCTTGTTCACCGAAAAAGCCCAGAAAAAGAACATAATACAGGTTTCAAGATGCATGCAGTCAGCATCTGGAAAGCTTAATGCAGCAAAGAGATCGAATTTGCCGTAGTTGAGGAACTTTGATTTCTTCCTGTCATCGTACACACTTATTCTAAAAGTGTGTGTTAGAGCAAAGTGCAAGTCATGGAGAGTGAATGATACACACTGATTGAACCATGAACGTGCTGCACGGTCTGCCCCGGCTTGGTGAGGGTTGACTCTGAGCTCGCAGACCCGGCCAGTGATGGCAGCTAGATCCTGAAGGTAAAATTGTGGAGGAAGGGATTCGAATTGTTGCATGAGGAGAGTGTTGCACAGAATATACAGTTCAGGACTTGCTGAGGATGGGTACTTGGGTTACAGTGAAGTAGGAGAAGAAATGGGGCCCTTCTTATTGAAAACCGAAAGGGAGGGATGCTCATATCAGTCCTGTCCGAAGGTGGACCTCTTAAATGAAAGAGTATAAAAAAGACATAATTTGAGGAGGCGACGCCCACACCATCATCAGTATATCACGACACATTACACGTGAAGGACGACCCATTGGCACCCTTGATTGATTTGCGATGTTTCGGCAAGTGGATGGTGTCTTGGAGATAAGAAGAGTGTAAAGCGTGCTGACATGTCAGTTAGCTCTAACTGATTTGAGTTGTGCTGGAACGAGGATGAATGAGGAAATTGTGAGATATTTTTTGATTGCGAATGGCACGGAAGGACTCACCAAAGATGTCTACGACGTTTGAGGCGGGACGTATGGGCTCACGTTGTCTTGTAATGCAATCTTATTCTTTGATCTCCTTTATGGATTAAAGGAGATTGGCGACCTGACTCTCCTTAGCATACCTGGCAAGGAATCTAGATCTGACGGGAATAGAAGTGTAGGTCCGACTTCTCCAACTTCAAACGCGGATGCTGACAAGGCTCGGTTGTGGTTTACGCCGCATTATAGCGAGAAAAACATCGACAAGGGACCGTGCCAACCAACCAGACATTTTGATGGAGACCAGATGCCGGGATGTGTGAACGGCATAAGAAGAACACGAGGCAGCAACGTGCCGCCAGCGTGGTTTTAGAAACTTCTTTTCGGTGAACAAGTACTAGTTTCACACTAACGCCGGACGACGTGATCTCAAAGGCCTACAACGTCGAGACTGGAGGATGTTGAACCACTATTCCGAATGCCGATTTCCCACTGGTAATTATACCGGTAATATACATGTCGGCGGGAATTCGGACATGTCTCCCGCACGAAAGACTCGAACATGGTACTACATGATACCAAAAATGTGGGGTGCACACGGTTGACATCCGTCGGTACTTAGTGCGCTGCCGTTATGTATGACGATGGCTTACCAGCGTCGGGGCTCGGGGTAGATCGATCTGTGCCGAATCTGTGTGGTCACCTCCAGGGCAGCAAAATTCAGATTGATGATGACCTCGACACCTTTGGAATAAACGCCGATTCCGGCTATATATCATCCCCCTGGTCTTCTGGCAGCAAGCTAAGCTACCTTTGGTCTAGCCTATCCCGCACGACACGGGTCTCTTACTAGAGGCGACATAGGGGTTTGTCTGCATATGTGTCCAGTTGGCAGCAGCGATGTTGCTCGTGTGGACGTCGACCTCCATCTATGGATATAACCATCTACTCCGGTATCATCGCCCAACGAACCACTTGTGGAAGTGTGTCTCAACCTGTTTGCTTCGTGCGGAAAGTCCGGGAAGAACTCTGAAGGAATTGCGCAACTTCGAGAGAGGATGCCGATTTGCCGCGACTTATTTGGAGGTCCTATCCCTGCAATAGAAATCGTACTCTTTCTTTAGTACAAGTAATTATAAGGTGGGACATTTGAATGACCCCATCATGGGCATGGAATCGAACTAGAATTGAGTGAGACACCAGATTGAAGTCACACAGCCTGAGTGCCGCAGTCTCGGGGTTTCAATATTGGCCAGTGGCCCACTTGAACTTTGCATAGACAATCTCATCCATGATCCGAATCTCGCACATCCCTCGATTTGATAACTACAATCATTTCAAGTAGAAAATACTTGCGCTTTTGCTTGAAACCGCCTTACTTACTATCTGACATGCTGTGGGTACACCGAAACTTCATTGAAAGAACACTCTGCATACCTTATCACACCCTCGATGCAGACCGTTTCACATGTCCGAGACTCCAGTAGCTTGGGCCGACCCTGCCTGTACCCCGCGGACTTTCAAATAAGTCAGAACATATGGACTTGGACTCCATGAATTTACATCCGATTCGGATCACCTCAAGTCAAATCTCATGAGACATGGCGTCGAATTCATGAGCATAGAGCAACATATGAGACAAAGTGGCGTCGTATCGCAAAATCGTCGCCACACTATCATATGCATATGGAGATCTCACCTGAAACCATAAGGTATGGACACATATTTGCGCGTCCGTGATTCAGGGCCTACCGTGACCGCACAAAGACTTGCAACAAATCAAAGGCCCAAGTTACTTCTATCGGTTAGTGCTCATGGTAAAATGAAACGCCGTGGGTCCATCTATCATTAATCGTGATCTAACCGGTCTATCTTAATGATCAACTACATTAGCGAGTTTCGCCACATAGAAAACTGTCCCGCACACAGCTATACTTAGTTTAGTACTCCAGCTGCACGGCTCCATGTATCGTCTATCTTAAGAATGAAAGGAAAATAATAATGCAGGAAAGCCTGTCAGCACGTCAGGGCACGTCAGGGCCTCTATAGCAACGTCAGTCATCCATATTGAAAAATAAAAACGTTATATTTTGACCCTCATCTCAAATAAGCACATACCTCGGCAATGCTCAAAGTCGCTTACATTCACCGCGTACTCGGCCTGCTCTCGAACAGTGCATATTGCATGCATGTGCGATCATCGGCACCCGTCTACATGGGCGCGGGGATAAAATACCTACTTTGCTTTGTCCAGAGGATTCTCGATGCAGTCGATGATCGCCCATGAGGATCAATCGCGATCGTTAGCCGATGGTCAAAGTGTAGATGCCCTGTCATTCGTGGAGGAAATATCCATCGAACCTGAAGGTACAGGGACCATGCCTGCTCGGGCAACTTGGGGCCAACGGATACTGCCAGTCATTTGCACAACAAAGGGACTTCAGGACCTGTTGTTAATTTTTGGGCGGGACCCGTCTCAGCCATGACCCCGCAGAACACTCACATAACTATCGGGCTAATTTATCTACCGAACCTCGGATTGACCAAAGTTGCGTGAAGCATAGCAAACAAACTGTGCGTAAATGCCCACAGCGAGACATCACAACGCACACCGAGCAGGCGCAGTGCTCGGTATATGATCAGCTCCATACTAGACAGTCGCGGAATGGACATTCTGAGCATGAGTAAAAAATTCGTGTGATATCGGCGGATTTCCTGACGGTGCCAAATCCCTACCCTGCAAATTCTGGAACACCTTGAAGTTGACGCCTCATCTGGGAATCTTCACAAGCAGCTGTCATGAAATACACCTTGATTGTGGTTTCCTGGAGAACTGATGTGTAATCCGTTTGCTACGGAAAATTTGTATTCCACTAGCTCGAAAAAGCTAGAGTTCGTTGTAGGCAATACAGTGGGAAGTGGACAACATACGTAGACTGGCACTTGACTGTAACTTTAACATGTGATTCAATTTCATAAAAACGTATCACATCATGTGATGGAAGTTTACCATGCAACGACACAGATGATGAGCTAATTGGTAGCCTCGGCCAACCTTTGCTCTGCCTCCTTGAAGTTGATGACGTTCCAAATTGCAGTGAGGTACTACATGCGTGTCAACCGTAATCCTCGAACAAAGAGAGGGACACGTACATCTACCTTGACATTTTGGTACTGTGAAAGGAGAAAGATCAATATGGAATATATCTCGATATTTCTCAAATCATTGCGTACCTGCAGGTAGAAAGCCTGTGAACGGCTAACGTCAGAGGACTGTCGCATCCTGATGAGCACCCGCACTTACATGCTCCCAAATGTCAACGCCGATAATGGGTGTATGAGCTACGTAAACATGTCAGGGGATTATACAGTCAGGCTTCGGTGGCCGCGTACAAAGCAAAGGATCTTGGTTGGCCGTCGTAACTATCTCAAGCCTGTTGGTGGCAGGGTTGTAGCCCTTCGCACGCCAATGTCAACAATATGAATGAGGCAATCTGTAAAACGTCTTACCAGCCATCCCCATCCACTCCCTTGGATAGCTGCGGTAGCGGCATTGAACTGTTTTTTGAACTCTTCCACAGATCCAAAGTCACGTTCGATAGCTTTTTTCAGAGGACCGTCGGAAAGGTTGCCACCGTCAGCATTGGGAGGCGAAAGATTCTTCCAGAATAACGAATGGTTGATGTGGCCTAGAGATGACACAAGGTCAAGCGTTCAAAACAAGAAACCTCAGGCCCTACCGCCGCCGTTGAATTTCAATGCTGACTGTAAGGCAATTTTCTCCTTAACAGAAGGGGTTTGCGCATAAGCTTGCTCTGCGGCATTGAGTCCATTGACATAGGTCTGATGATGCTTAGAGTGATGGAGTTTCATTATTGTCTCGGAGATGTATGGCTCAAGAGCCTAAACCATTATACTTTAGGTGGGTCCTCCGTGCTCACATATGGAAAGATACTTACATTGTAGGCATAAGGCAACTCCGGAAGAGTGTGAAGAGACTTGCTGGTCGCAGGAGCGGCAAAAAAACGAGCCAGAGAGGGCCGCAGAGCAGATTTTGCGATGGACAACATATTGAGTATTCAAGTGAGAGCTCCACCAACTCAAGCGTCATTCTTTCGAGGCACAGCTGACTAAGACGAGCCCAGGCTCTCACTGACTCCTCACACGGGGATTCCAATACTGGCGCTGTAGTATTTCGATCAATTCGACACACCTTTGTGACCGTGACATGATTTTGGGTGCTTTCGACGGGGGGGATCATATATTCTAGTTTTGCACACCTCTTGGTTTGGGTGTTAACCTATGTCACTGATATTACCAACGACGCTGCTTCAGCACCGTCCCTCCAATAACTATTATTACACGCAGTCGTGGCAAGCTGCTTGAAGTCCATCGATTTTGAAGGCTAACAGCTCAGTCTTAATTATCAACTGGTGTCACTGACATTGTCAGAGACGTTACATGCGTTTGCATATGTCGTAACTTTGAAACAGCGATAAACCAGATTACTTTTTTTTCAAAAAAAAATAAATGTACGCAAGTTCGGGATAGGCTGTGGAGCAGTGCGACAGGTGGAGTACGCCCGACCTCAATAATGCACTTGAATCAGAATCAGTTCACGGATACCTGGGGGTATATCAAGCCCAGTCGATCTCAGCCGACGTACATCAAACACGCATATACCATACCGGGGAATACGCCATATTGTGTGATCATACAACCATTTCGTACAGTTCCGACTCCTGTAACTACCTCGACAGATATAACATTAAGGTCTAGCTAGAAACAAACGGATCAGCAGGACTGCTACCACAGCATGATAGTGAAACATACGCAGGCAATGATTTGAGGTAATTTGAAGAACAGCCTCGAATAACTCCGCCTTCGCTTGTAAACACGAAAATTCGTCCTCCTTCTTAGAGCGCTCAAAAGCTTCTTTTGCCTTCCTCTTGAAGGGTTCAAACGGTACCTTTGCCGTCCAAGCAGGCAGATTTCCTCGATATAGATAGACAGCAGTCCTCATAGCTTCGTCATATGCGCAGGCCGCAGTAGCCACAGCGTCTTGATATGCGCGGGCAGCTGTGGCCACAGCTTTTTCATATGCCTGGACGGCAGCGCTCACAGCTTCCCCGACAGTAGCTGCATACGGATGTGCCATGTACTGCTCCAGAGCGACATAAAAAGAGGGATCAGACATTCGCTGGTCCTGAAGATATCGCCGCTTGTCAAAAATATAGAAAGAGTGTTCGAAGATGATGACAGCAGCTAAATGATCAACAAAAAGCAGGATCATAGCAAACGTTGCCTCAAAATTACCAGAAATGAGCTGAATGATGTTCTCCAAGCGCAATGAGCCAGAGGCCTGGCAGATTCGCGACATGAGAGTTGTATTACAATCTGTGACCAATTGAACATACCACAGAACGTAACCTAGACTGTATCTCAACACAGTGATTCTCGTGAAGCTCCTACTATTGAAGGATCAGCAATGCCGTTCGCGAGCAAGGCTCCAGACTCACACGCTATTAAAGGATGTGGTATTCTGTGGTAAGCAAATCTCGAACTCGAAGGAAGATCGGCACACTGACTGCCTGTCAGTAAATGAGGAATGCCATCGGTGAGCAAAGCTAGAATGAGAATGACGATGGAGAACTCACTTCCTGTCAACAGGTCAGTGATGTTATCGGTGAGGAAGGCCTGAGCTTAATGGCAGATGAACATACTCACCCACTGTCAAAAGAGATCAGCAATTTTACTAGTCAGTAATGCACCAATTCGACCGCGGATCAATGAGTAGATGCGAAAGCTTACCGGTTCCTGTGTCGCACTCAGAGAAAAATTTCCTTTCACCCTCTGTGAACGCCCTGCTTGCCTGGTCCATTGGGATGCAGTACCTATGTTGAAACCGTGAGATAGCGCATTTTGTAATTTATCAGTTGCGATCACCAGATAGCATGAAGTTGATCGCTTATTCTGGTTTCTTTTGAACGGCTCGTGATAAATTCCTTGACCTTGTCGAATTCGGATTCGCTGCCTGCCTCGAAACCACGTGAATCGTGGAAGACGAATCCTGGGTTGCTTCGTAACACCATTTCATTGCTGATGTTGTGCTCTCCGCGCTGAGAGCACGTCAGTTCATGTCATGAACTAAGAGCACGCCTTACCTCTCTGGATGCATTTATAGTTGCAAGATCGATCTGATGTCGATGGGTCACTACCGTCCTCCTACTAGCATTGTGATGCTCACCTTGTTCCCGGCGCTGTCATGTATTTCTGGGTTGTCCCGTGTGTTGCAAACTCTCCCAAGGATGGTAGTTTTTCCTGCATTCGTTCTTCCTATGATGAGGATTCGAAAGCGACGGATTTTTCCTCTTATCCTTGAAGGATCCATGGGGGAAGGTAAATGCGAAGGAGAAGCGTTGGTGTAGCATTATAATGATTGCAGTGTGAACTCGGTGAAGTCAGTCAGCATCTAGATGATCTAGAATCAGTGGGTATACGCAACTGTGTACCGCATGAGGCATACACGAGGAGTCAGATATCGGAGTGATTTTGATCATTCGGAAGTGATGGAATATCTGTGTTGGGTCACAAGGATCCGTAATAGTGGACAACGCGGAGACCGTCCAAGCGCCTGTGTGCTAGGGTAACAGTTGGTCTCTGGTGAGCGCTACTTCACCGTGCTTCTATGGAAAGCGTCCAATTCGATGTGATCTTTCAAACTTATCGACCATTCCCAAGCGACCGATTTCATCTCTTATCCATAAATGTGACGGAAGCGTTGAACCCAGCAAATACCCAGCCCGAAGCTAACATAGTGAGCAATCAGCACGTTCTTGTGATGCACACGTTTTTAATGCAAGGTGTTTACCAGGTGTTTTACGTTAGGCACCAATACTTATTCACTGGGCGTACCATCATGATGAGCTTGACACACGAGAGTACTCCACATGGCGAATTCTCTTCACGCCATCGAAATGCTTTCTTGTAATTGCCCTCTCCGTATGTGAATGTCCTCGGTGAGTCGGGATGATCATAAAGTGCCGTTCTTGATGGTAGAGATAGGTGAATTTGACCCGAATTGTATGTCGAGGTTTTCGGGGTCGTCAAGTATTTGCAAATTGCGATCTTTCTTGTTAGCAATAGCTCTTATCGCAGGCGTCCTATACTTAAATAATGCATTCTAGATCATCGAAGTAGCTCACTCAGGGTACTCTCAAACTGCACCATGGCTACACCGACGTCTTCCTCACATCTCCCCGTTCATGGTAATCATTTCTTTTCATCAACTAGTATCATCAACACCGCTGAATATATCCGATAGGTATCACCATCGATTTCACCAGTTCGAGAACGAACATAGAATCTGCTGAAGTACGCATTGACAAATTCAGTTCGCAAATTGAACGCGATGCGGGAAAGAGTTTGCAACAGAAGTTTTCTCATGGAGATTCATTTTCCTTGCACATACAGTACAAGAAATACTTTCGGATGAAGATCAAAAACATTGATCTGAAACCAGGTGACATGTTCCGCATATATAGTGTAAATGAAGGACAAGGTGAAACAATAATAATCGCACTCTTCCCTTAATCACTCACTCACTCCCATATGTAGAATACATCAAGCATCATATAAAATTCAGGATCATCGTCGCCCTTTCTGAAGTAAGGATTCACGTCTGCCATCAACCCGTCTAAGTCGTAGATTAGCTTGATCAGGCTGAGCTCCGACCTACTAGCTCTGTCATATTCCAGAAATGTCCTCGGTGAGTCGAGATGATCATAAAGTGCCGTTCTTGACGTTAATATTCCCAAGGTTCCGAATTCTGGTGATAGGAAAGGTATCTGGCTTTCTCCGATCTCAGCACAGTGTTAACGACATGCTTTTCATTAGACTGGCATCGGCAAGTCATCACTGATCAGCTACGCATTCGGAGTGGACAAAGGGGTGGGTTGAACACGACACCTCAATGAGCACAGCTACTCATACTATCAATAGATCATTGCGGATGGTAAGGCAGGCGCTGCCGACATCGAAGAGGGACTCGAGTCACTTCGGAACAAAAGATTTGTTCTCCACGATAGCAAAGGTTTTGAGCCGGGGGATGAAAAGAACCTCGAAACTGTTCGAAATTTCATTGTCCATCGGAAGGGAATGTCTCCGGAACATCAGTTGCATGCTATTTGGTAGGGATTCTATCTCGACCATTCCGTCGTGGTGGACTGACAAAATACACGGAAGGTTTTGCTTCGAGATACCTCGTGCAGGCGGACCTTTGCTAGAGAAGGGAGCGGAGGACTTCTTAAGATGGAAAAGGAGTGAGATACTGGGAGACGGTAAATAACTAATCTCTCGGCTATGTTGAAGCTCACACTTTGTTGAAGTTCCCGTTATCGTCGTTTTTACCAAGTACGATATGCTCATCAGTCGCATGAGACGAACTCTGGATGAAACTTCTCTCGAACTGAGCGCCGAAGACATCAAGAAACACGTCGAGAAAAAAGCAGACACCGAGGTTCAGGATAACTGCGTTGAACCGCTAAGGCAGTTTGCAGGGCCTGATATTCCCTATGCTGTAGTCTCTAGTGCGTGTCAATACTTGAACAGGCTCATGCGTGCCTCTAAAGTATAATATTGCAGCTAGAGAAAACTTCAGGAAGACACTCAACAACCTGATCGAAAAAACCGAACATTGCGTCGATCAGCATTCTGCTCCCGACTCTGAGGCCGCAGTGATGACCTCCATCGCTCAGCGAGTGCATCCTGGACTCAAAATAGATGCATCGATCAAGTGAGTCTTGCTTGCTTCATTCTTATCTCGTGATTTACGCAGTGTCAGGGTTGGCAAGAAAAGTCTGTCCTGGTTTTGCGTTGATAATTACTGAATACAAACAATTTTTTTTTTCATTTCTTGCAGGATATTTGAAGCGCTTGCATCATGCGCGATGTTCAAGAACCGCCAGATGGTGCATTGTCTAGGTGTGCTTCACACTGACATCGTTGACGTGTGGAACTTCGATGACCCTCATCTTGTGAATGACTGTCTTATTTGTCGTCGTCGTGTATCCGCCATAACGTGATTTGCGCATAGTACTTGCACAGCGAAGATTTCAAGGTTATAATGAGGAACATGATCAATAATACAAAAGTTGAACCTACACCTGATCCCGTCCACAACATGTAGGCTGGTTTTTTACGTAACAGATGAATTTGTATCTCATTGAATGTTTACAGAGGTTCTTGGTTGTCCATAGTGAGCGCTATTGCTGGTATCGCGGCCGCCGTGGCCGCAGCGGGACCTGCTGCACCCATCGCAGCACCAATCGCAGCAGGCGTCGTACTTGCCATATATGTTGGCCAAGTCTACCAGACATCGTACGCACCCACTTTTTTCGTGTGAAAAAGGATATCCACACTTCTTTGCCAGCCATGCGGTGATTCAGAGCTCCATGGCCTACATCGCCCACTTGACGCTTGTGTTGCAGACACTCTATCTCCTGTCAGAAAGTCGGACACTCACTCTTAGGGCTATTGAGCTCGCGTCTAATGCCTACGTCACCTCTCCAATGAAGGGAGAAGTTTTCACTCGGATTCAGGATTATGTTACGTCGTTGACCATCCTGGAAGTCGCGGATAGAGGTACCATGGATAAAATCATTGAGGTGATACAATTTTATAAGATCGATGCGGCACAAGTGTCCGAACTTCGGGATCAGATCCGCCATGTAGATTTGTCGGTACTGGACGAGTCATGAGAAAAGTAGAGGTCGTAGCACTCGGTTATTTCTTCTGTGGATAGTTTTGCTGGTGAGCAGGTGTCTGAATACTGACAGGATCAGATGGTGCTCGCTTGTACCATACAACTATATCTATAACTTGTCATAACAATGTAACCTGTGATATACTGTGTTTTATTAACGCCCTGTACTTACCACTATGACTCAAGCCCTCCAATGTCACGGTGCCAAGGTACTTTAACAATCCGTAAAAACTTGGCCTGATGCTCCGCGCGAAGCTGTTTCACCTTGTCGTTCTCTTGCACCACACATACAGAATCGGTCTTCTGGTTTGAAAACGTCCTCGTGCTGGTCTTTAGCCCAAATCATTTCTTGCATCGCACATGCAAGGGAAATGTATGCCCAAGAGAAATTTTGCTACTAGTATGATTAAACACAATAACAGCTCAATATGGGTACAGTTGTCAAGGTCGAGTGCTTACAATGGACGGAGAAAACATCTGTCGCAAAAACCTTTCCTATCCCGCTTTTGATTGGCATGGGAGGCCTCAGGCCAATCCGTACTTCAGCAGACTCTACATTCTTCTCCGAATTGCTGAAATCGACGGTGATACCTATTGGATATATTCAGTTGGATTCGTGATTCTGCTGATGAAATAACTTGTACCGGAGACGTGAAGCGTCAAGGGAACTAGCCAGTCCTTCATCACCGCGGATTTTTCTGGAGGCCGAATGTAGGCCGTGCGTCAGCTATGCCGAAGGGTGGTATCCTTGTGTAGCACCTAGACTAGCTATTGACGCTTACGCCCAGCTCGTTATCATAATGAAATGAAAAACATGTGGGTCCGAGTCAAAAGGTGTGCTCGAGCCGGTTGTACCAAAATATGTATGAAGGTTTGGAGCGATCATACTGTGACTGATTCGAATTGAGAGCCTGAGGAAGCACGGTCAATTAACGCTCGTAAGACTCGGAAGCCACCGTGCTTCTTTAAAAATAAAGACAATTTCTGGGTGAGTGGCACTGTAGCATTCTAAATGGCTATGATATCACAACTTACATTCACAACTTCTAGTACAAGTTACAAAACTTCGCGCTGCCACAAATTCAATTTACCGCTTCGGATGTAGAGTCCTTCCAGAATAACGAATGGTTGATGCGGCCTAGAGATGACACAAGGTTAAGCGTTCAAGACAAGAAGCCTCGGGCCCTACCGCCGCCGTTGAATTTCAATGCTGACCGTCTGTAAGGCAATTTTCTCCCTAACAGAAGGGGTTTGCGCATAAGCTTGCTCTGCGGCATTGAGTCCATTAACTTAGGTCTGATGATTCTTAGAGTGATGGAGCTTCATTATTGTCTCGGAGATGTATGGCTCAAGAGCCTAAACCATTATACTTTAGGTGGGTCCTCCGTGCTTACATATGGAAAGATACTTACATTGTAGGCATAAGGCAACTCCGGAAGAGTGTGGAGAGACTTGCTGGTCGCAGGAGCGGCAAAAAACGAGCCAGAGAGGGCCGCAGAGCAGATTTTGCGATGGACAACATATCGAGTATTCAAGTGAGAGCTCCGAGTCCACGAACTCCGCAAGCGTCATTCACAGCTGCTGACTAAGACGAGCCCAGGCTCGAGCCTCAACCATTCGTATTACTGAATCCGCTCATCTTACCTAGCATCCTGTGCCATCTTGAACCTCCTGCCTCAGATGGTCAGTCATCTGTCTGAATCATCAGCCTAACCAGCAAGTGCTTTCGGTACCATAATCACAACGTACCTCAACAAGCAAGCGTCAATGCGCCTGCAACTATAAAGGACTTGGCCCTGCTAGGTCTCCCAGTCACCTACACTAACATATGTCCTTGCCGCCGACGGTCTATTGAGTACGTGACGTACGTCCATCGAGCTGTGGGCTCTTCAAAAAGTGTTTGTTCACAAAGCACATCGATCATTTCGTGCATATAACGTCAACATATTCAACAGCTATCACAGCACCTTCAAGTTCTCTGAACATCCATCATAAATTGGCTTTTTGTGCCATATTCTGCAACTCCTTCGACAAGTTTTTTTCGACACTCGATTTGGTTTGTCCTCTACCACCGTCAAGGGCATTTCCAAGGCTTCGAGTCATCACTATAGTGGTGTGCGCCACAGAGGTGAGTATATAATAGTTTTCATGTATTTAATACTCGATAGCACTGACCTGCACTAACAGAGGAAGGACGTATACGGGAGCTTGACAATCAAACTACACGCTCTTGAACAACAAGGTGTCTTTCTCCAGGATACAATGACTGCATTGTCTAGGCTGAGGATGTCCATGCGATAATGGAGAATAGCTCACCTCCTCTGCGTTTCACTGCGATGCTATCTAAATTTTACGACATGTCTGATTCATATTTATATCGTTGGCACCATGTGAAGGTGTACTAAGGATTCTGAAGTAACGGTATGTCTGTATGATGAATACTCCAAGGTCCTGATCTTTTTGACCCATTCAAAACTGTTACGCCTCGGGCTCGACCACCTAGCTGGGCCGAAGAGAGTGCATCCTTGATTCAATCACACGCTCAAATCTGTGTTACATAGATCAATGACTACATGATTTCGTAACACGTCGCGGGTTTCGACACTTCGCCTCTTGCAAGATTTCAATCAGAAGCAGATCTGGACCTGGCTAGAGCGTTCCAGAACACTCTAGAATATCGTTCGAATGTGATTTCACTGGCGGCAAAAGGTGGTGAAATGTCAGTCTCCCCTCTGTGTAAGGAGCTCCTTGTTTTTACAAGCAAAAATACCCCCAAAATCATGTTGGAGATAAGTTGCGCCACATCATCAATGGCTGAAACTTTCCTGGGGCTCAAGTGGTCGCGAGCGTAACACTGGTTTGGAACTTGTGATTTCTGGTTGTTAACATCACCTGTGCAGTAATCGCAGTAATAGCACACAAGCAAATTGTAGCAGGTAAGCTTTATTAATCGAGTGAAAACACACGGCTCATTAGACAAACACCAGAGGAGTGGATAATTTCTGGCACATATATATGCAATTTTATAACTGGGGGGGATGTCCAGCTTCTGATTTCGATGATTTGGGTGCTCTACAGTATTTGGGAGATCCTCGCACTGTGTCTTTCAGTCTGGACATCTGCGAAATACCTCCGTGACCTGCGACAATTTGGCCCATTGACAGGATCGACCACCAAGGACTGTTTCAGAGTGTTGGCAAGATCCCACGTGCTTTATTTTGCAAGGTGAGCTTGTAATGTGAATGTAATCATGTTTTTTGTTCAAGTTCCACATGTGCTAGCTTCGTTGGTGTCTTTTGCCTCAATCTTTCTCCAGACCTTTTGGTGCGCCAACCTTTTGCTAATATCAGCTTGCAACCACTGCTCATGATCTATGTAGAATTCGAATTCTATTGGAGCTCAGATAGTGAATGGAGCTGGCCAAATTCTATTGGTCGTCCAGATCTTTGTGCTGGGACCACGCCTCATCCTCAGCGTTCGAGAATATCATGCCAAGCTTGTGGTCAACTCTGATGCAGAAACTAGCATGAGTTCGATTGTCTTCCAGGAGCGTGTACATGTTTCAACTAGCAATACGGTGTAGAGAGATCTGCGAGGAGACACAACTGGTCGAGGATCCGGATCTGTTGTAGTATTTATTTATCACATAGTGTTTCAAAATAGACTCACGAACCCTCGATAGAGGAACTGGTAAAACTAGGTTTGAATTTGGATGCTGAGTGCATTCCCAGAGGTTTATATGTTGTGTAAAATGGAAAGAAGTTCAAATAGCCTCACTATCATTGTCACTATGTTTCCACATTGGCAGAAATTGTTGTTCACTAACATGAAAACTGTCAGCTAGATATGATTACAATTTTCGATGTTGAGTGAGTGGCACTATAGCGGCTATGATATCACAACACCAGTCATTACATTCACAACTTCTAGTACAAGTTACAAAACTTCGCGCTACCACAAATTCAATTTACCGCTTCGGATGTAGGGACGAAGCTCATCAACTTATCGCCATTCGCAAGCCACCACTTTTCCGTTTCCTCATCCGCGTCATGTCCATATTGGATGTCGCTCTTCGTCTTATCAGCCCACTGATTAGCATTGCCATCCAACACAAGCGTGCTCTCCTCGCCGCGCGCAACGCGTAAAGCGTCCTCCATCGCCGCACGCATCTGGTTATCGCGCTCTTCCTGCTCTGGTCCGTCGGGTTTGTGGAATATGAACCGGTTGAGATTTGAGGACGTCTGCGTCGCGGTGGCACGGTCGTATCGGATAGACTGGTATGCGTAAAGTAGCGGCGTGATCTGCGAACGATCCGAGCAGTGTGAGAATAGGTTGCCTAGGACAGCAGCATCTTCGATCTGGAGAAGTCCGATATTAGCACTCGTTCTACTGTTGGCAATCCTCCTTACCGCCATGGCTGACCCTTGTGCGCGGTACGGCTAGGGAGGATATGACACTCAGTATAAAGCTATTTTGATCGAGAATTCACACAAACCAGCATTGGGTGGCATGAGTCGCCCAACAAGGCCAACTTGCCATCCTTGTGAATCCACGAAGGCAGTGGGTCTCGGACCATCAACTTCCAATCGAGCGTTGTTGGAATAAGGGCCAGAAGTTTTTGGATACTACCTCCAGTGTCACCGGTTAGCATGAGTAGTGAGCGCATCAAAACGCAGTCACTGACACACTGTTCCATCCTTTGTAGAACTCTCTCATTCGTTCCACATTGCCTCCAGCAGTCCACGATTCTATACCCCCTTCAACGTCATCAGGGTGCATCATGACGAGGTTATATTCTTTCTTGGCACGCTGTACACTCACATTAGCTCCCATTCTCCACTATGTTGACCAAATTGCTTACAATATTATAACCAACAATATGACCATTCGGACCCATCCATATAATCGATTCCGTTTTCTCCACCAGTGGTCGTAGGTCATCATCCTGCAATAGTAACTCGGTCGGGATGAGGGCTCTGTAAGCAGAGTCACCAGTAGCCTTGGGCGCATCGGGCCCGCCTATGACATACTCCCGAGTGATACTTTTGACTCCGTCGGCGCCAATGAGTATGTCAGCGTATACGACCTCCCCAGATGCAAGGGTCACACTAGGTTTTGACGGGTCCACGGAAACAACACGGCAATCGACACGGATGTTACAGTATGGCTCGGTGACGTTGTAGAGCATACGGTGGAAATCAGCTCGCTGATTTAAACTGGTCAGGCAAGATCGGTGGATCAGGGAAAGCACTCAACGTGTACGTGGTAATAAGGGGAACCGTATTCCTTCACGAACGTCTCTCCGAATGGCGTATACCCCACAACTTCATCATTCTTCCCTGGAGATAAACATCAATCAAGAACGCCAAGACATTTAATCATGACTCACATCGTCTGATGCTCAAATTTTGTGGTTTGACGCCAAGCTCCTCGAGATGTGGGCCGAGACCCCAACGCTTTAAGAGACGCGAGACGTTAGGGCTGGCTTGGATGCCAGCGCCCACGTCACCGATGGCGGGTGCCGCTTCAAGGATGGTAACTTTGTGACCTGCCTGTGCGAGGCAGTATGCAGCAGCGAGACCGCCTAGACCACATCCTATGACTACGATGTCGAGAGACAGGGAAGCTCGTCTTCCATTGTATAGATGGTCAGGTTGGAGGGTTGAGTCAGCCTGCGATGCGCAGAAGGTCAGTAGGTAGTCCCGTGTTGATCGGTCTCGCGTTATCACTGACTGTTTGAGATTCTTGGGGGTCCATAACTTGAATGATCAAAGATGATGGAGGGGGCTGAAGTGTGTGAGTGAAGGATTGATATAGTCTAGTAGGATTTACTATTCAGCCGCCTTATATCGTCACCGAGTCGGTTCCCCTCTGATCACTGGCAGACTATTAAATGGCGAAATCAGGTCATATCGATTCAATTATAGAGTTTCGCGTTAGTCCTCGCTAGCTTCGCTTTCGTGGATCGGAAGCAGGGTTGCTTGAAGATCTGAGCATTGGCTCTTTGAAACAGTGAAGGCAGAGACTTACTATACTTTAGCAATCGCTGGCCCAGCTTCCTTCGAGTTGAAGTCGTCAAGGTCGGCGTTGCCATCAATGCCATGATATGGTAAGCTCTTGTAATTTTCATTTTCAAATTTATTGTTTTTTATCAATGGCTCAGGACAAGACGATTTGACTCTTATTGGACATAAGGTGGACGTCGAGAAGTTGGTTGACTTCGCACGCGTAGCACTGTCGTAATGTACCAGCACAGCTATGAAAGCAAACTCGTGACCACGACAAGATCCGTCCAATTTGTCTCTGATGGACAAAGAATTTGCGAACGTGACAGTTAGAAAATGTCTGGACAAGACACTGTGCAATTCCACAGAGTTACAAGAGCACCTACAACGTTCATCTTCGAAAGCGATGATTGATTTTGTAAAAGGGACGCTCAGACCTTACAATGCTTATCTGCAACTTATCTGATACCATATTTGTATGTAAGTGTAATCAAACCAAAATATGTTCCATATGCTGCCGCAGAGTGCTGTCCAGCTGCCAGTGGTTTATTGATCATCCGAGTCTCCTTAACGCCATGAGAAAGAACCAAGAATGCAACAACAGCACAAGGGAGGACATTCAAATAGACCTGATAGCAGAGTCAAGAGTCATAATGTCTTGTCGGTGAGGACAGAGAAAAGGTGAAAACGGTCAGCAAATGTTATTACCATCATGAGCGCACAAGGGGCCTCTTTGAAACTCGGAAAATAGCGATGCATAAAGATTCGAGAACGGACATTCGGGTCCGTTATCAGCCGCTTGGCTGAATCGGGCTAGAGGTTTATTACTATGTAGACAAGCTGGCAGCAATCTTGGCTGCAACACAGGCAAGGCATGTGGACCACCATATCGGATTGAGCAACTAGTGAGACAGATGATGGGAAGATACAGAAGGGTCACCATCGACGGCGGGATACCTCCCAACGATAGCGGATGGGATGGCTTGCGAGAGTGAATTCAGGGAGAAGATACCGACAAAGGTTGTGTAGCATGCTGGGAGCTTTCGGCCTTTAGGACCGGCGGCGGGAGAATGCACAAGTCCGTGGAGTAGGGAGGCCCTAGGGAGCAGCAGGTTTCAGAGATGGGTTCCGTCCGAGTCTTTTATTCGAATAACAGAGAATTAGATCTGGCAGCCAAATGTCACAAATAAGATACCTAGTATTTGAAAATTCTGTGACAGACTTACCGGCCGCCATTAGCCGGTCTTTCTGCAAGCTTGACTCCAGAGGGTGAGTCGCCGAATGACAAAACATATCACTGTTTCACGTGCACATTGACATGAGTGGACGTGGCTGGCCCATCAAAAGCATATACATTGCGTGCAAGGATGTTTTTGGCAAGCGCTGCAACTTGAAAGGATTTCGAAATAAGTGATTTCTCACCACCGCCAGCCAACGTGTCCATCGTCACATGCGTAAGCGCCAAACTGCGGAGAATTTCTGACACAAGTAGAGCGAAATGGCCTACTAGTATCGGACGCAGTGCGCCATCGTTTGATGCCGATACTTGATTTCACGGGAATTCGGAGTGAGCTAGCATATATAGCTAGCGTCGCACGCAAAAAGGAAGACGTGGATAAGAACTTGAGCTTGAACTTTTTGCCTTTGAAGTTTTGCCCCAGAAATTTTTAGATGGAGTCGTGGGTTTCACGAGGAAGCTAGCATATATAGCTAGCGTCGCACGCAAAATGGAAGACATGGACAGGAACCTTGAGCTTGTAGACGTACAAGAGATAAGTTTAACTTTATTCAATTGTTACATAACGTGTCAACTTGAAGGCAGAACAATTCATCCCGAGGAACATTGTACAAATTCAAAATGTTACAAGGTCGGCTGCTCAGCGCTCAATGCTCAATAAGTACAAGTGCTAGTGTTGGACAACGCTGCAGAGCTAAAAAGCCACCAGATGCTCTTGTATCAGCCAACCGTCAAAAATGAAACCAATACAAATAAACTAAAAGATGCCTATAAAGTTAGTGATCGCGATTTGCAGAAAACGCTTGTCTTGGCTTGACTTCTATCGAAGGAGCGAGGGTCATAAGCTTCTTCCCATTTTCTAGCCACCACTTTTCTGCCTCCTCATCCGCATCGTATCCAAATTGAATCGCGCTCTTCGTCTTATCAGCCCACTGATTCGAATTGCCCGTCAATGTATACATGCTCTTCTCGCCACGTGCAACGCGCACAGCGTCCTCCTTGGCTGCGCGCATCTCGCGATCACGCGCCTCTTGCTCTGGTCCATCGGGTTTGTGGAAGATGAACCGGTTGAGACTCGAAGACTTCTGTGTCGCAGTGGCACGGTCATACCGGATAGACTGGTATGCGTAGAGTAGCGGCGCAATCTGCGAACGATCCGAGCAGTGCGAGAATAGGTTGCCTAGGACGGCAGCATCTTCAATCTAGAGAACTCTGGTATCAGCACTCATTCTACTGTTGGCAATCCTCCTTACCGCCATGGCTGACCCTTGTGCGCGGTACGGCTAGGGAGGATATGACACTCAGCATAAACTATTTCGATCAAGAATTCACACAAACCAGCATTGGGTGGCATGAGTCGCCCAACAAGGCCAACTTGCCATCCTTGTGAATCCACGAAGGCAACGGATCTCGGTCCATCAACCTCCAATTGAGCGTTGACGGAACAAGTGCTAGAAGCTTTTGAATACTACGTCCCACGCCAAGTTGGCATGAGCAAAAGGTGGGAATCAAAACGAAGTCACTTACGTAGTACTCCATCCCTTGTAGGTCTCCCTCATTTTGTCCAAATTGCCTTCAGCAGTCCATGATTCTATGCCCCCTTCAGTATCATCAGGGTGCATCATGACGAGGTTAAATTCTTTCTTGGCACTCTGTTTAGCCCTTGCATTAGCCCCTTGGGATGTTAGCGATGTTAAGCGAACAGTCGGCTTACAATAGTATAGCCGACTATGTGTCCCCCGGGGCCCATCCATATATTCGATTCCATTTTCTCCATCAATGGTCTCAGCTCATCGTCCTGTAGGAGTTTCTCAGCAGGGATGAGAGCTCTGTAAGCAGCGTCTCCAGTAGCCCTGGGTTTATCTGGCCCGCCGACGACATATTCCCGAGTAACACTTTTGACTCCGTCGGCGCCAATGAGTAGGTCAGCATATACGACCTCTCCAGATGCAAGAGTCACACTAGGTTTCGATGGGTCCACGGATACAACACGACTATTGATACGGATGTTACAGTATGGCTCAGCGGTCTCGTGGAGCATACGGTGGAAGTCAGCTCGCTGTTCGAGGCTCGTCAGAAAGAATGAGTACAGTAAGGAGAGTACTTACATGTAAGAGGTAGAAAGGGAAGCCGTATTCCTTATCAATCAAATCCCCAAACGGCGTCCACCCTATGACCTCGTCGTTCTCCCCTGGAGATAGGCATTCAGAAAGAGCGTCAGAACACATCGGCGTAACTCACATCGTTTAAGGCTCAAAGCCTGGATTTTAACGCCAAGTTCCTGAAGACGTGGGCCAAGACCCCAACGTATCAAGAGACGCGAGACGTTGGGACTGGCTTGGACTCCAGCCCCTACCTCGCCGATAGCTGACGCTGCTTCGAGGATGGTGATGTTGTGACCTGCTTGTGCGAGGCAATATGCAGCAGCGAGACCTCCCAGACCGCATCCTATGACTACGATGTTGAGGGGTAGTGAAGCTCGCCTTCCTTTGTACAGATGGTCTGGCTGATGGGTCGAACCGGCCTGAGGCATTCAGAAGGTCAGTACATAGCTTCGCTTTGATCGGGCCCACGTTACTACTAACTGCTTCAGATTGTTGTGAGTCCATCGTATCACTCAAAGGGCAAGACTTTGGAATGGTAGAAGTGAGGATTACAAAGGGGGCTGAAAGTGCTTTACGATTGATGTGGATGGACTATTGATATAGGCTGCTAGGGAGAACCAAAACGTTCCTTTTTTTTGTGATATCGAGCCAATCATCAGGAGTTCCGCGCCCGTATCCGTGTCGTTTTTCTTCCCTCGCGGGTTCTGTCTCCTGAATTGGAAGCAGTAGTACTCTCTTACTTGAGGACGTTAGCACAAATCCTTTGAATCAGAGGGCAAAATAGATCATCCTTTCTAGTTGCTGGCCGATATTTACTTCCGGGCGGCCGTTGCCGTAAAGATGCATAACTGGAAACACCTTGACAGTTAGGTCTTGGTCCATGTCTAAGTGATTTGTTATCCGATACACTCCAATTGTATGACATGTGGACGCACATCATGTTATTAAAATTGTTGAGTAAGTTCGTCAAAATGTTTATCCAAACTCTCAGGCACATACTCTTCCATTGGTAGAGGCCCGGGAAGGTTTTAACTTAGAGCTAGAATGCTTTGAAAGACAACGATGATAGGGGTGGGTGAAACAAGACGGTTGCAGTATGGTTGCCGGACTGTTGGGTATTCGATTAGTAAACCCATGCTCAACGGAAGGTAATGCGAGGGACATTGAGGGGAAGAACGAATTACCACAGTAAGCATTTAGAAGTAGGAGACTCCCCGTGACCGAGGAGCAACGAAGGAATATCAAATCTGTTTCACGTATAGGGCCGACTATGGACGGGCTCATGAAAGAATAAGCCTAGCTCGTATATCTATTCCTGAATGATGACAGGCGTGAGCGTTTATGACTCGTGAGGTAGAGTAAGAAACTGTGCCACTGTCGCCGGTGGCAGGCCCGATCTCTGGGTAACCTATGCATAGTGCAGGAGATAAGATTGAAGGGTGGAATAAACTACTCAGAGGTTAGCGCACTCATCTCGGTTCAGGACTCCTTACAAATGCTATGCTCGATGTGCAGACACCATCGGACGTACGAGTAATTCGGGGATATAATGATGTTAAATCTGAACGCTCGGAATTTTTGAACGTCGATGACCGCGGAACAGCTTGTACATCTCTTTCCATGTGGGTTTATGCTAATGATAGCGAATCCAGAGGCTCGTTAGTGCTAGTTTAGCACACTGTGAGTGAGGTCACAAACCTTGAATCTTGACCACGACACAATTCATTAGACGAGTTGATTCTTCCAGAGGTAGTAGGTAGAGATATTTTCGTATAAGAAGGCTCGACTGTCTTCCTTCTGTCAGGGAAGACTACCTTTATGAGTTACGTGAAGCAAACAACTTGCACCGATAGGTCACCCTGCTGAACCTCTTCATACACTTGGAAGTGTGGATAGAAATGCCGCCCGAATAGTCATTTTTGACGTTGAGTGTTTGCAAACCCAAATGCCAGTGATCCACTCTGATTCCTTTTCCAATGCTCCCACAAATCAACCAAGTACTCTTTTCCCAGTAAACAAGTGTACCAAAGGCACAGACATGCCAAGATTCTGCGAGTCGTGGAAATAAGCTTGGTGACCGCGGGATCGAATAAGTTTAATTTTGTGTCACAGACACCCAGTGATAACGGGATTAAATTAGTTGCCAGAGTTCTGCAATTCATGGAGCAAAGCAAGCTTAAGTTGGTGCCACTGCATCTAGACGTGGAGAAAAGTTTGGGTCAAGTTCAAGTTGTTGCATCTAGACGTGGTGAAACCTGTCACCTGACTACCGAATTAAGTTAGTTTGACATGACGTTGTTACTCACGAACTGCCTCTGCAACACTGGCAGTACTAACACTAGTAGCTACTGCAGGTCAAAAGGCAAGTTCTAATTTCATTAATTGTGTTTACTTATTGGATTAGATATCACAGCAAGTGAGTACTATGCTAATGCACCTTGACTTGAACTCTCGGACCAGTCGCAATCCGCCTCAATGGAATAGCCAGACAGGGAACGACAACATGCTTGCTAAGTTAGCTCTAGCGGTGCTGGCGATAACTCCAAATGATAAATGATCAAGCTAGGCGTCACGATCCGGAACTTTTCATGCATAATGCATGACCAACCAATGTTCCCGTGGAAAGAACTGCAGTAATAACACAATGTTTCGTGTTTCTGGCTATTCGATTTTAGCGACATGGTACTTGGCGAAAAAAAAGATATCTAAGCCAATATAAACACGATTAATATTAGCAGAACTAGCAGCTGTTGGCTCATTTGTTTAAGGTGGCTGGCACAGCTTGCGTAAGCCAGCCAATCACATTCCAGCGCCACTGAGAAATATCTCGTATTTTTTTATTTTATCTTTCATACTGTACAGCCACCTGATATCTCTTGGATGTTCCACCATCTATTTTTCACGCCCTCATGGTGTCTTTTTGCTGTTTTCAAAGGGATGAGTTACTCGATCGAAGATCGTGGAGATCAACCATTCTCTGCTCCTCACTATCCTTTCCCGCCGTACGCAGTATCCGCCGCTGAAGGTTGCCGTTTTGCATGATTGCGACAATCACAATGGCACGCTGTCTCATGTGAGTGACTGTAACCCTTCGTAGTTACTCATACATGTCTTGTAGTCTGGTCTGAATTCATACACACGGGTCTACTACCATACCCGTTACTACCCGCCCATACTCGTAACCCCGTTTGTACCCTTGGGTGTACGGGTGCGGATGCGGCTTCGACACACGGGTTTAGCCGTGTTAATATTTGCCTCAGGACAGAAGTTTATAACGTACAGACGCTTGGTTTCAACCTCAATTAACTGTAACATCCGACCACTAGTTTCCTGCGTATGAGTTCAAGGCGACATGGAACAAATGATCCTTGTTCGCAAGAGCGAATAATCGTTCGATCGCTGCTTTCGGCTCAGGATGAGCAACCATCTTCCAATGAGCCTAGAAATTCACAATAACATCAGTACGTGCAAATTCATGATAATATCAACGTCTACCTCCACGCTCGACCACCCGCCGACGAGAATAATCCTATTCTCGTCCTCCAGAGTAGATCCAAACACAAGCATCTTCTTGGTCGAGTCCGAGATCTTACCGAGGATGTCGAACACCTCTGCGCGATGGCTGGGATCTTTGAGCGTGATAACGAGGACCTCTGTGACAGGCTGCTCTAACGCGATGGAACGGTCGTTGAAAATGACGTGATACATATTTAACTCAGATCCAAGGGCGGGTTTCAGAACGTCCCCAAGAGGACCGTACGATGGGGAAGCCATGAACGCATGATGGTGAGCTAGGCTATCCCAGTCTAAAGCCAGGGCATGATAGGCCTCCTTTCAAAGACTAGCAAAATGCATAACACGTACTGAGGAAGACATACCCTGTAGATGGGTTCTCGATCTGTATCCCAGAGTAGGCGGGCCTGTCGCGATAACAGCATGATCAACGTGTCCAATACTACCAGTAATATCTACCAACAAGAGAAAAACCATACGCACTTGTGAGCACCGTCAGCCTTTAAAACTATGTCGAATGCAGGGCGTAACATTGAGACATCATTACGAAACTTCTCTGATGTGTCAAAGATGAGGATTTCAGTCGTTGGGATAGTAGACATGGTTGCGGGGGAAGTTCTGGAAAATGTTCCTTACAATTTCCCCTAAATATATATATTCGGGAAGTGCCACCTGGGCCTGGCAAAAACTACATAGGAGAATAAAATAGAGTTAATTCGCTACGGTGACAACGAGCTAATATGATTCAAAATCTATGAGAAAGGCCGTCACTAGAAAGAAGAGTGGTGCATACTAGCACCAAGGATTCTGATATTAGCATGGTATATGACTGAATGGTTGATATTGAAAAACACAGTGTATCAAACCACAATCGGAAGTAACTATTGTTAGTGCCTTGAATGATCAGCTGACCCAGGGAATCACGAAGCGGTTCGTGGTCCGTTGATAGTGCGGCGGGCAGAACTGACAAAACTCCTCGGTAGAACCAGGTGGCAGGTTCAATACACAAGTATGTGTGAGGATACCTATTATTGTCGTACGAACTGATATAGTAGACTCGTGATCAACACGTCTATCGACAGCTTACCTTATGATCTAGTACAGACAGGTCACCAGTCTACGAACACAGGTACGTGTTACTTAACTCACTGCTATTCGGGATTTGAGATCAGCTTGGCCTATCCGTCCGAACATGTGATCTAACATGTAATGACGGCGAGTGCTCTGCGGATACTATCTAGACCTACCAGATTCAGCGTCTTTCAGCCTTCGAAGATGCATCTTCGGAGATCTCGCCATCGATTACTGATAAAACAAGACGCACATGTACGAATCATACATACTATAAACTGAATGAGTGACTATCTTTGTCTTTGCAGTGCTTGATCTATACATGGTCATCAAAAATTCTTGGCACGTTATCGATACGTTGAGTCGTACAGGCGTACCAAGTCTACATGTCGGCTCACTTGTCCGAGAAGTCTAAAGGCCTATGAGTTCGTCTAATAAGTCACTCTGACAGCTGTGCTGTCGTGCGGGAGAGATAACAGTTGGGCCTGTGCCACAGTGCGATGTAGCGGAAACGTCATATAGACTTGGTGCGGAGTTATCTGTGACTGCGATCATTCAGCGACTTCCCGAGTCAACGAGCGACAGTCCGTAAATTTCGGGTGCTGGGCGCTTGGTGATGAAATGAATGCAACAATATCATGATGGCGTTTCCTATGTAGGTGCACGCACAATACATGATCCTTGCATGGCCTTTATAACCACTAGGCATCATCACCGACGTTGACCTTGGACACACCATTAATAAACCTCAATAGAACCACATGTGCCATGTGTCATACCTACTACTATTTTGTCTTGATAGATAGGAGCGACTGCCTTCCTTCTATTGATCTGCCTATGGGAGACTGATGATAGCAGTCTCCTACATAGGTCATGATTGGTACACGGCGAGCATTCTCAGAGCACCTCATGGTCCTATATGGGCTGAGAGGCGTTGAATCTTGATCGGTCACACAACTGCTGCAAAAGTCACTCACATATCAACACCAATGAAAATTGTGACGTGAATTTGTTATCGAATGCGAGTGAAATTTCGAATGAAATTTGGGACTTCATTTGTGTAAACAGTCAGTGCATGGATACAGCAGCAATCCTTTATGAACTGTTTGAAATTCATAATTGGGTTTGTGTCTGAGCGAAGATTGAGCGCTTCGCTTAGAAGAAATCACGATCGGGTTTTGCCGTTTGTTCCGCTACCAATTTAGGTAGAGGGATTTTTAGAGTCATAACATATTACCTCGCGAGGTGATTATAATCATGGGGTGGTGAATTCATGGAAGGATGCCACGTAGGGCGACCACTAATTTCTCAAAATTCTCGTGCTTTTATCTGCTGAAACACCAAGGTCCAGGTGACTGTGCCGCGGCAGACAATCTCCTCGGTTTGTGCCAGCGTTCAAAATTTGATACGTGCAATATGGTCAAATCAAGTTACTGCGTTACACCTCCTGATCTGGATGTTTACCGCACGTCCTACCTAAATTTGTACCGAGTCTGGGCATGCTTTCCTAGTCATTGTTTTGCCGTCCCTCATAGCATTGCATGAGGACTTTATGATACAATTACATGGTTTGAATTTGACTTCAGTACTCCTACCGGACAACTCCTACTTCCCCGTGAAAGGGGTCAAGGTGGTGTGAAATAGATGGTCCTTGTTGGCAAGAGCGTACAACCGTTCAAGCGCAGCTTTCGGCTCAGGATTAGCGACCATCTGCCAATGTGCCTACAAGTCGACAGCATCAGTACGTCGAAAATCGCAATAATATCCACGCGTACCTCAACGCTCTTCCAACCACCGATGACAATAATCACGTTATTATCTTCCAGCGCAGAACCAAACACGAGCATCTTCTTGGTTGAGTCCGAGAGCTTGGTGAGGATGTCAAACACCTCTGCGCGATGACTGGGTTTCTTGATGGTGAGGAGGAGAACTTCTGTGACAGGCTGCTGCAATGCAATGGGATGGGCATTAAAAATCACATGGTACATCTTCGACCAGCCCCCATATGCGGGTTTCAGAGCTTCAAGCAGAGTCGCGTACGAGGGGGATGCCATCATCGCTTGATGGTGCGCTAGGCTATCCCAGTCTGAGGCCAGGGAGTTATCGCCTGCGCCTTTCAAGACAAACGCGTATCACATACTCATGAAGACGCAGCCTTTAGCAGGATTCTCAATCTGCATTCCAATGTATGCAGGCCTGTTGCAATAAGTATGAATAAGGCGCCCTGTATCATCGGTCACATATACTAGCAGGAGAGCGACACGCACATCTGGACACCATTGGACTTCGAGACTATCTCGAATGCAGGTTTCAAAATGGAGCGGTCCTTGCGAACTGTCTCTGTAGCGTCGAAAATGACGAGTTCTGTGGTTGGGGTAGGCATAGATACAGGTAAAACTTTGGGAATAGATGCCCTTACAACAGCCCCTCTACGTATAAATACCTTGGTTGGCGAATTTCAAACTTTCATAGGGCTCGTGTTATCCAGAGTGATTCTATCATCGGACGGCTCTTGGACGTGTGAAGAATGACACATATAGCCTACTATAGCCAACCAGTGGGATCAGTGAAGATAGCATCAAAGCAATCGCTGGGCAAACTATGTCCATCACACCCGCAGCACCAGCCGTCCTAGAGTATAAGGCTCTGTCAGGTCGAGGAGGGGATGCTAGGGAGATGGATTGGCAGCAGTATCGATCTGATAAAAACTCTTATCAGGGGGATACTGATGAACCTAAAACTTATGACAACTCACCATCCTGGAATTTAAAAATCTCCGTACCTTCGCCCGGATCTTCAAAAGGAATCGACTATGCAATCAGCTGCTATGCATATGCATGAATGGCAGGTTGTGGGTTTAGCCATGAAATAGGGTCCTCGGCCCACGGGTAGCGGCCCTGCGTTCATAGACTCGGATAGATCGGACAAAGCATCAGGCCAGTCAGAGTTAGAAGGTGCACGCGCGACTCACAAACATACGCCATGGTCCTTGTCCGTTTCTTTCGTTCTGGCTGGAGACTTGCTCGACTGGAGCTTCATTATTACACACACCTAGCGCCAGTCTGCCGGGAAGCCCAAGTATTTGTTGATTTGATGGCATTGTGTGCGGCAGAGCTTCAAAATTTGAATGACTATTAATGATAGACACAAATTCTAGGTGTACGATCACCAGCATCCATGACGAACGAACGAAGACCCTGGGCAATGTATACACGTAGTAGGAAACAAAACTAGTGTTTACGAAATCAATAATTTATTAGATAGCTACCAAACGGACTCATATGCATTGAACCTTGCTAACGCAGACCGAATTACATAACAAAGGAAAAGCTACGGTAAGTCGACAGTAGAAAAACGAAAAAGAATGATGCCACGGTGGGTCTCAAGAAAGTCGAAGGTGCGAGTGAGCGAAGTACGACGAACTCGACAGGAAAAATATTGAATGAAGGAGAAAATCATTCAGCTGGTGCCGGAACATTCCGACGGGCTCGCAGCACCTTTACAATTCATCCATACTACTGTCGGCACTCGTCAAGCACTCGTTTCTACTATCAATGACTATGCAATAGCCTGGGCAATGAGAATGTCCTATAGCAGTAACCGAGGTCTAGCTGACAAAGTCGGTATCATTAGGCTCGACTCTTGAGAATCGAAATTTTCAAAAATGCTGAAAATTGCAAGCGTCGACTGCGCGTGCATTTGCGTACAGCTCTTTTCATGTTAGCAGCCGCCACGGACAGCGTCGGGGATATCATGTCATTCTTCCGATAAGTATATATAAGTACGAGTACCGGTCAGGAACCACGTACATAGCAGTATGACTGAGCAGCTCCCGCCATATACTACACTCTCTCAGCCAGAGACCGAACCACCGCAGTATACTCTTCCAGACACCTTCAACATCGGACGATGCAGCACGCATCACCTCGTCCGCCCGGATCAGCTCAAGGCCCATCTTCAGCTTCTGGCAGCGTTCAGCCACCTGAAGCAGCGGGTCGTTGCCAGTGAGAACCTTATCGCAGGATTAGAGTCGGACAGCGAGAAGCGTTGGGTATGGTTCGTCAATTTGGCCGTTGAACGGTGTGTGCCTTATTAGCGTTCTGCGTGTGCTTGCATCGGTAACTCACTGTGCTGTTGGACCGCAGGTTTGAGAGGTGGTGTTTGACAATCAAGCAATCTGATACAGTGGAGCATCGTTTGCCTCCCATTGATGTCACTATGGTGTGGCACGCCTATCTCCTGAATCCGAGGCAAGCATATCTTTAATTCATCATGAACGACGAACTGAAGTTTTTCGGTCACATCGCAGCTGGTATGCGGAAGACACCACGCGGATCTCTAAGCTCAAACCTCTCGCTCATTTCACTGATTATTTTCCTCACCTTCTCGTACGCCACAACACTTTGAATAATCTCCCGAGCTCGCTGAAAGTTATGCAAGGCTAACCCTGGCCTGCTAACCACTGACGCACCACAACATGAACGCGTTTCTGTTTGGGAGCGCCGTACCGAATTACCGTATGACCCATTCGCATCTGCTGCGAATTTCACACACAAGTCTATCAAGTGCCCTTGCTGTCATCGCACTATTATTTCGCGTATGTCCTCCCTTGTGCCTGCAGGCCATGGGAATCTATTCTGACTACCAGCCACAGCATTTTGGCAGCCTAACGGGAAGGGATACTCCCAGAGCAACTACAGCATCGAGTGTGAATGTACTCAGTCGATTACTAAAGAACTTCTCGGCCTCTATAAATTTGCCAAAAACGTAGTCAAAGCAACAGCGCCTGATACATACTTGGCGTGAGTATTGCGTTGCCTACCATCTTGTGCGACATCTAACATAATTTCATATACATAGCGGAACTCTTCATACACCACGTAACGCCTATGACACTGCGCGCGGAGACATGATCAAGAAGCGCATCCTCAACTCGCACATCATTTCCAAGAACAACAAGGCAAGTGATCCCGCGCGCCAGATCCTGATAAACGTCCAGTATGACGCTGCGCGCATGCGTACCGTGCTGGACATGTATTTGAAGCCGATGTTGTATGTCCTATTTTGTTGAAATGAATACATTCATTTTCTGAATCGAGGGACAGGTCGAGTAAGATCATGGGTGCCTACACGGACGACAGGGTGTTTTCACTTGATTTGGTCGGTGCCGTGAGTAGACCCCTAACGTTTGATCGTATTCAAGGACTGATGTACGAATATAGGTCCTCCGGCAAGCCTCATTTGTGAATAAGATGGTCAACCTTGGATGGACCGAGCCAGGATATTTTGCCAACGAGGTGGATACAATAGCATTGCAGCATTGCGTAGCTCGGTATCACGCGTGCGTACTTGCTTCTTTTTTTCTACGAACCGCACAAAACATCGCTCTACAGCTTTTTGAACATCATGGCAGAGTCGCCTGCTTCGTTCTTCGTGCCTACGCTCGATATCGATCTCGGGTGGCATACTCATCAACTCATGGCGAGTCGGTATCAAAGCGACTGCCTCTCGCTCGTAGGACGATATGTTGATCAGTAGGTGTTGTCACAAGTGCAACGAGGAACACAAATAATGAATGCGCATTTTTTTTTTAGCGATGATAAAGTGGAAGAGGGTCAACTCGCAACCTCCTTCGACCTCACTTGTCGTGCTTGGAACGTAAGCTATTGTCCCTAGGAATTCGACACCCTCATTAAACTTCTCTAAATCATAGGACCGTTATCATGTACCCTACATGCACTGCGGGTGTCCACTACCGGGAGACACAATCGGCCAAAAGCTCCGACGCCTCCTCTCCTCTCGAGTCACTGACAACGTGCTTTTACTCCCTACCAAGTCTGACGCATGTGCTGCTACACACCCAAGCGACCACAACGCCGTGTTTGCTCTGCATAACATGTCCGCAAGCCTACGTCACCGGAAGAACCGCGCACGCAAGGCAGAGATGCGGAGGCAGCGTGCAGAGCGGAACGGAGTGGCTGTGAGGAATGGGAATGTTGATCATGGGATTGCATTTTTATATCCTGTGCCGATGTTCTATTACTACAGTGGTGGATGCGTTGCTGCTACTGGAGCGGTGGTGAATGGAGGTTTGGGGTGTGCAGTGGTGCGTATCGTAGTGCTTGGAGAATGGAATGAGGTGTGCTGATATCAGACTTACAGGGGGCAGGCAGCTGTTCGATCGGTGCCTCAACGTGTGGTGGGTTTAGTGCTGGTTGTGGAGTCGGTGGTGGTGGTTTTGGAACCAGTGGATTTGGAGGCGGTGGTGGCTGTGGAGGCGGAGGCGGAGGCGGAGGCGGCTGTGGTGGAGGTGGAGGTGGCGGGGGCTGTGGAGGCGGATAACTTAGACCTGCAATATTTTCTTCAAACCTAAATGCCTCATAATGTAAGCTTACCTGTGTTTGTGCGTGGAAGTTTGATTGAATCATATGAAGTTACTTACTCCCGATATAGATTGTTGCCACACACCTAACTAAATATGTATTGAGTTTGGGCACACTTTCCGAGACGCCGTTTCGCCTTCGCCACGAGGATTTGGGATACAGAAATTTATAAGGTACAATTCCATAATTTGAATTCAACTGCAGTATTTCTACCAGACAGCTCCTACTTCCCCGTGAAAGGGGTCAAGGTGGTGTGGAATAGATGGTCCTTGTTGGCAAGAGCGTACAACCGTTCAAGCGCAGCTTTCGGCTCAGGATTAGCGACCATCTGCCAATGGGCCTAGAAGTCGACGGCATCAGTACGTCCAAAATTGCAATAATTTCCACGCGTACCTCAACGCTCTTCCAACCACCGATGACAATAATCACATTATTATCTTCCAATGAGGGACCAAACACGAGCATCTTCTTGGTTGAGTCCGAGAGCTTAGTGAGGATCTCAAACACCTCTGCGCGATGACTGGGGTTCTTGATGGTGAGGAGGAGAACTTCTGTGACAGGCTGCTGCAATGCGGTGGGATGGGCATTAAAAATCACATGGTACATCTTCGACCAGCCCCCATATGCGGGTTTCAGAGCTTCAAGCAGAGTCGCATACGAGGGGGCCGCCATCATCGCTTGATGGTGCGTCAGGCTATCCCAGTCTGAGGCCAGGGAGTTATCGCCTGTTGCTTTCAAGAACAGCACAGGATGTGACACATACTCAAGATGACATATCCTTTGGCAGGATTCTCGATCTGCATCCCAACGTAGGCAGGCCTGTTGCAATAATGGTATGATTAGGGCGCCATGTATCATTGGTGATATACACTAGCAGGAGAGCGACACGCACATCTGGACACCATTGGACTTCGAGACTATCTCGAATGCAGGTTTCAAAATGGAGCGGTCCTTGCGAACCGCCTCTGTACCGTCGAAAATGACGAGTTCTGTGGTTGGGATAGGCATAGATAGAGGTAAAGCTTTGAGAAGAACTAGTCTTTGCAACAGTCCCTGCGTATAAATACCTTGGTCGGCAAATTTCACACTTTCTTAGGACTCGTGTGACCCAGGGTGATATTCGTGGTGAAAGTCTCGTGATAGCCCATTATCGCGGACGGTTCTTGGACGCCACTTAATATTTGTCGTCCCCGAGTAACGGACTTTGTCAGCTTGAGGAGCGGGATGCCAGCGAGATGGATTGGCAACTTGCAATCTTAGCAAAGCGCTCTTATCAGGGGGACACTGATGAGCCTAAACACTTATAACAACTGGCCTTCGGGATGTAGAACTCTCCGTACCCTCGCCTATCTTCAGAGGAAATTAAATTATCTATCGATCAGCTGCTACCCATATTGATAAATGACAGGTTGTGGGTTTAGTCGTGAGGTAGTGTCTTCGCCCGAGGCCGGCGGCCTTAGGTTAGGTTAGATTATAGACGCTCAGATGAAGAATTAGGTTAATGTTTAGAGGGTTATTTTAGGTGTATGCGTGACTCACATAGTAGGGCCATAGACTCTATCCAATTCTTTCGCTCCGCCGGCCAGAGATTTGCTCGACTGTCAGAGACATACGGATGAGGATTACACAGACCTGGTACCGGTCTGAAAAGCCAAAACATACATTGGTTCGATGTCATCATGCGTGCAGAGCTTGAAGACTTCATTGACTAGACGAAGATCTTGTGCGATCATCGGCATCCGCGACAAATGGAGGAAGGCCCACAAGAATGCTGTTGGTCACTTGAAGCACTATAAGAGTGATGCTATTGGTAAGGATCTCGCCGACCTGCGTGACGATAAATCTTCGGTTATGGCAGATCCAGTTGGCCAAGCGTTGACTCGGATTGACGCTCACATCGACATTTCCCGTCGCTTGCGCCTGTGTACAGTTCTTTTCGTGATAACACTCTTTATGGTCCATCGATTTGAGGATAGTGCAGTAAGATGGTGTAGGATATCTAAATTTGGTTCGTAGTGCAAACCCTGTTCAAATCAGAAAGCTCATTGTCCCAGCACTTTACCACGCTCTGACACAGTAGCGACACTTTCTTCGGATGTCCTTGAAGATGGTTGCCTTCATTGATTACTCCAACTCCACTTGCGCTCTAATTCCATTTTAATTTCCATACTCTCCTTTCGCGCCCCAATGGCTTCCGCGTGCTCTTTTTCATTGCGTCGTTGGCATCCAAAATGCTACACCTACCATGCTCGAATCCAAAAAGAGATTCTGGACGATGGATGGCCTTGGATCCAGAAGACACTGACGGCGATCTGTGGCCTCTTGATGTTTCAACTTTCGATGCTGTCACAGTAGCAACCAATCATTTTTTCTGAATCAATCTAATGGAGGCTGATGCAAGGATCAAATCCCACACTCTCACCATGATGGTAGTCGCTATGTGAGATGCACTAGGTCGGATGGGATAAAGTCTATGTCTACTGTCACACCCCGAATAGCAGGTCACCTTGTTATCTGTTTAGCATCTGCCACACCTAGCATCCGCACTCACTTGCGTCGCTGATACTTGGTATGTCCAGGACTTGTGTATCGTCACTATCGTGTTGATTGAATGCTTGCTCAGGCTGTTGACAGTTGCGTTCTGACAACTAGTACATCCCCGGTCAGCGAACTGGCCCGCTCAAAAATGCTTCAAAAAAACATGCGCAGTATATTGTTTGCTCTACGTGCATGTTACATCCTACATGGCATGCTGGTCATGATTCACATCGTGCTTGTTATCTTTTCTATACATCACTGGGAACACCACGTAACTTTCTCTTTTACATCAACAAACAATGATTTCTGGCCTGTGGTGCTTAGTGCATCATTGCAAGCGTTTTATACCGTACGTATCAACAGTGTCCACCTATATTTTAGCGATACACCAATGATATAATTTGATCCAGATATACACAGCTGTCCTGCTCTTCCTTACTCAACGGCTGGTGATTTCGAGAACACTTGTACGTCGTGTGAAATTGACTGCCGTTCACGACATCTCTGGCGCATGGGCGGGCCTTGGCTCTGCACTCAGCAGTGTTTGGCGACAAACTGACATCCCCGCCTCGTGGTGGACGACTTCTGCTGTGGCAGTCTACCTTGCGAGCATAACCGTGCTGCATATCACCTCTTCCACTCTCCTACAATTTCAAACATTTGAGTTAAATTTTTATGATGATGCTTTTATGTCCACAGCACTAGGATGGCCAGACGATTCATCGTACGGCAATTTCTCACACTTGGGACCCATTGCTTCATCATTACCAGTTGTCAATGATTTGACTGGACTGGCGTCTACAGGATTATCAAACACCACACTTTATGACACCTTCACTGTGACAATAAATGGTACAGAAGGAAATGCGACTGTGAACGCAACGACAGTAACCTCGAGTTGCGGATTGATTCCAAATGTGACATACTCTGCGAATACCAGCACGGCGATCTTTCCGTTTGGGTTAGATTCTTTTGTGCTCAATGCGAGCATTCTGAGTCTTTGTTGGTAGTTGTGTTTGACATGATATTTTATTATGCTGAAAACATCTACAGGGCCAGATCAGATACATATAATTCCGTGGACGGAATATGAAGATTCCGATGGTGATTTGGACGGTTCGGAGGTGAGTGTTCTGTACTTTGCGCCTACTATGGAAGCTGAGTAGCACTCTGACTCTAGCTTGATGGTATCTATCTTATGGTCTCCACATTATTGGGAATCGACCCTTCAGTACAAGACGAGGTTGCTGTAAACATGACTTGGGGTGCGTTTACTTCTTTGTAATACAGTTATGATAACGATACATTCTGCAGTTATCTCCGACATTGCCACTCCATTTGTCGTCCAGGTCTATTTCGTGCATTGCTCGCTGTCAGCAAACACTATACCCGGGACGATTGACATGCAAAATAACACTCTACTAAGTCCTACATTCATATCACAGCCATCCACGCAATGGGAGATAAATCAATTTGCGTCGTCGAATACTACTTGGCAAACACAAGTGCGTTATACGGCCCTAATTTTGAGGGGTTATGAAAGTCCAATGACATACTGTCAATTGTAGATCAGCAAGGCTTTGGCTACCTCGAACTACAGCAGCGGGATGATATTTGGAGGAACCAGTTCACAAATCATCGAACCCTCTATTGTGGATGAGTACGCCCAAAAGTGTTCCTTGAGTGCACGGCCGCATGTCTCACGTACGGCTCGACTTCTAGGTATATCATGTCACTTGTAGGCTTGAATCTCACCGAGGAATATATACAATTCCTAGACGACGGTGCTCTTCCGATTTCGAATTTCACTTTGAGACCGGGTGAACTAGAATTCGCGATTGCAAAAGCAGTTGCACAACTCATCTGGCTAGGTAAGAGATACATTTAAGCATTGACCTATTCTCACTCATCCCGTGATATCTGATTAGCGGAACAATTGGGTACAGCCAATGGAGGAATTGACCCTGGCAATGGGTTGGTCAATCTCAACCTAGTAGACCTAGTTCCCCGAATTGCCCTACGCCTCAATGTAAGTGAACTGCGCAGATATTGTTCTTAATTCACTGATGGAGCATTGTAGATCAACATTCTTCCTGTGAGTTCGTGGTGGTATATATGCTGTGACTACTCATCGAAAATGGTTCTAGTTGGCTTTCGCGGCGTCTGCATCGGTGATCATGTTGGGACTCGCGCTACATATGACCCGAGCGTTCGATGGATCGCACTACACTCAGGCTGCTATCCCAGACACAGGTGTACTGCAACTCTTGTGGTTGGGTCATCGTTCAGCGTCTATCAACGAAGTTCTGGAATATGTGCAGCATCCGACAGAGGCCAATCTGCGGCGAGCAGGCATGATAGATGTTTGCCTTGCGAGAACATTATTTGATGAGGAAGAGTTTGGGAGTTCAACTGCTAGTGACAGTCTCTCTTCTGATGTCGACCGCCGTCATGATGATGAGATGTGATTTGGGTTTGAGAATAAATGGGTGGTGGACTGCTGCTTATTTATACCATATGTTTTATCTTTACGTGGTTCGTACTGCTCTGGTTCTTTCAAAAAATACTAGGTACGTCATAAATGCAGGAATACCTGCTTGTCTGCCATCCAAGATTGATAAAGCAACTTGCTGCATGCTTTTGAGGTCTTTTTGGATTAATTGAGGTATGTATGATATATAGTCCATCTCTTGGTTCCGATCTGCATTCCAGCTTAGGCGTACCTATCACGGTAATGGCGCGACGCGCTCCTGTTAATATTTACTGGTCAGAGAACGACATGCACATTTAGATACTATGATACAGCCTTTCTGAGTGCAGGCCGAGTGGTCGTCACGAGTAGTAGGATTCAAGATAAAGAAACACTGGTATGTGTGAAGCTATTTTACAAAATAATAGAGATCCAAGAAAACAACATATAGATCCACGCCGTGCTAGCTTACATCACTACACTGGTAATGAACATCCTGGGGTCCACAAACTACTCATGTGAACATGTATTTAGGGAGGAACACGCACATCTTGACAACGGCGACATTGTTAATTTCAGAGTTTACTTTTGAGATTCATCTTCTGCTGAGCTGCAGCTTGCCCGCGTTGTAGCATAGGTCGAATGTAAGGCTACGTCGACTGAATAAATATCAACCAAATAACGAACAAAGACTTACAGCATAAGCGGGAGTAACTTCATCCTTGTTCATCGGCTCCATCTGCACTCGTTTCCAGAGTGCTTCGTAAACGCGGCCATCGGAAACTCCCAATGCGCTATCAAACGTAGTCAGTACATCAACAGTACAGATATAGCTTAAAAGTACCTATCTAGGGACCAGTCCGAGAAACCGAAAGCATCGGTTAGACCGATGGCATCGGGCAGGACTTCAAGACAAAGGGCTTTGACGGCTAAACGGAGATCCTGGGTAGGGTCGCCAGCACCCGTGTGACGAATCAAACCAACCGAAAGGAGGTCCACGAGCGCGCTTTCAGCACTCGTTAGTAAGTACTGTGAAAGTGACGCGATGATTCAGAATGTTTGCAGCGACGAAGATGGCAACTCACCAGCCTATAAAGGCGGCCGACAGCCCTCGCGTCCTCTGAAGGTAAATTGGTGAGATTGTTGATCATCTCACCGACCTGCGCGGCAATAAAAGCCTCCGTTACGGCTTTGGCCAAGCGCTGATTGATGCTCGCATCCACATCTCCACTCGCTGGCGTCTGCGTGAAGTTCTTGACCATAAGAGCAGCACGCCACTCTAGAAGAAGGACAACGCTGCGGACATCGTGCCAAGTTGACGCGGTGACTTGTGGAGGGGCCTCGCTGGTTGTGGACAAGAGACGCAGGTAAGCCGATGGAAGGGGAAGCTTGGTAACAGCCGAGGCTGACGAAAGCACAGCTTTGCATAACTTTGTAGCGGCACGCACTACTTGTCCGTCAAGGACGAAGTTGTCCCCTTCAAGCCTAGGTATCTATTCAGTATCAGTCGACGCTCAGAAGGTGGTAAACACACGTTGCGGTAGGGAGGTATTCGATGTATAATCGCCCCAGTCCAGCAAATGCGCTGTATCCATGTCCACCCATAGAACGCCGAGCGGTCTCAATATCAATGATTCCGTTTGTGGTAACGAAGACTTTTAAGCCGCACAAGAGAGCATGCATTTCTGCAAGGGAGGAAGTGTCTCGGCTTGCGAGCTGCTCTTGCATCTGAGTCAACGCTTTAATCTGACCATGGTGGAGGTGAGTACTTGCATCAATGCATGAAGAAATAGAACAAACCGTGTACCTCCCGAGCTCAATCAACACAAATGCCCTAGAGAGGATGGGCAACAAGCGGTAGTATGTTGAAGGGTATGTCAAGACTTGACGTTCGAGTCCCTTTACATCCGGTTCGCCTTGTCTCCGGACAGTCGTGTAACGAATGGCGACAGTCGCAGCTGCGAAATAATCAGCCTGGGATTACACTGGATGCTTGGAGCTCTACCTTTGGCTATGGTCCATCCGGCCGATGGTATCATGCTGGAATATCATATCGTTAGTCCTGCTGAGCAGAAATGCAGAGAATTGACAGACGTTGCCCTGATATACATCATCTGGCACGTCGTGTCAGTGATATCGATATCAGGACCAATTAAAGAAAATTACTCCTCCGTAGCTGAGTTTTGCGTGAGGAGGTTGGATATAGCCACCATCTACTGTGACCTCAGCAAACTTCGAGAACATGTTCGTCCTGGGTATCCGTACGTGATCAAATCTCGCGAAGCCCTGATCTTGCGCAGCCATGCCTGTAAGGAGTGCATCAAATAAAGCACTGTAAAAGACTTGAAATTACACTTACCTCCCGCAGCTTTTGGACCAATGTCGCCGACAGTGATTCCTTTGAGAGGTTTGTGATCCTCTGCAAAAGCATTCAGTGTTGCTATAAACCAGGTGACGCCCGGGCAAACCTAATGACCGCAGTTGCACGAAGAAGAGATGAGGTCCCATATCCTTCCCATCCGGCAAGATCAACTTTGCTTGGACAACACCATGAGTTGCGAACTTTCCCAGAGCACCGATCCACCATTTAGTGCTCGTAAGACCCGGAGAGTATATCTCGAACTCTTGGGTTTCTGGGATATACGTCGAAGTAGTTTCTAGGCGAGCTACATTTGTACCGTGACCGAGTTCGGTTTGAAAATAACACCTAAAGATTCCTAGTGAGTATAGTTCAGGTAAAATGACTGGAAGCCAACATGCCCCAGAATCCCCTTCTCATACACCAAGTCCCAATAGTTTTCCATTAATGCGGGAGATCCTTGACCGAGGAAGACGGGCTGGAATGCTACACAAAATATGAGTGTGTTTGCGTGAAGAATATAGGTCTGCATACCAATGTCATGTAGTGAGCTCGACATCACTTCTGAAAGAAGTGACGTGGCTGTAGTATATTCTTCTTTAGACCAATCATGCATTCGTTGTAGCTCATTCAGTCTATTCATTATGGCGGCAGCTCTGATGTATTGATCTGTCCGCCCCAGAAAGTCCCTGAGAGAATAAGTCGTACGACAGACAAGCAGACGGCTACCCACCTGTGCTGTTTGTCAAATAAAGGTTCTTGCACAAGAATCTTTTCGAGGCGTTCACGCATATCCCACACATTCTGTCCACCTAAGCGAAGTTAGGGTATTACAAGGATTATGATGACTTAGATTGTTCACCATATAGATAGTTTCTGACAGTCTGGACACTAATGGAGGTTTGTGAACGAGCTGTGTTCATATCAGCAGCTGTTTGTTGGTTGACATCGACTTTTGGTCTAGATGCCATTGTCTTTGTGCTGCCGAGTCTAAAGGATAATCAACGAAGAAATGAGAGCGGGTGATTGTTTCCACCGGTGTAATACCAATTACAATGGTCGATTAAGGTGCCGAAGCCTATCAGAGTAGGGCCCGCAGCGGACGCACACTAGTCCTCATTTGTGTGACCTTTGATGAACTAAGATAGACCTCGTTCATACACCAGTTCATCACGTGACTTAGTGTGACTTTTCAACAAATATATATATAACTTATTGTATACAAAACATAAGCGAAATCTGTTCCATGATTATGTGCGGATAGTCTGTAGCAGGCTGGGCATGTATTTTTTATGATGTAATGTAAGAAACTAATGTAGGAACGTGACTAGAATACGAGTCTCAGCATGTTGAAGAGAACCGCTGAGGTGTAAACAGAGTGAAACAACGAGAATATAAGCTATAGTATAGAGTCCGGGATGCCAAACGACGAGAAAGGAAACGATGACGAAGTTGCTTCCAACACACCCCCTCAACGAGACAATGAAGAGACCCTGTTAACGTGATCCTGTCAGGTCCCTCTTAACATGAAACGAGCGCCAAGCCGGAGCAGTGAAGAACAAAGGCGGGGCGCAGAAGAGCCTTCATGAAGATGTCAGTCGTGTTTTGGTGTGTCAAGAGCCACACGGGTATGAATGTTCCCTCTTCAATATGGCGCCTGATGAAATGATAGTGCAGGTCTATGTGCTTCGTCCGGATGTGATTCACAGCTTCTTTCGACAGGGCTATTGCCCCTGCATTGTCTGCAAATAACTGGAGCGGTAGGGGGAGAGAGAGATTGAGGCATTGGAAAAGGGATTTCAGCCACAAGCCATCCTGCACAGCTGCAGTGAGTGCCATGTATTCCGCTTCGGTGGATGATAGCGCCTGAGTCGTCTGCTTTTTCACCGAGTGTGAGATAGGGCCGCCATTCAGAAACCACACGTATCCAGAAATCGACACATGATCTTCTGAGCATGATGCCCAGTCAGAATCGGAAAATCCCCGAAGGTCTGCATTGACCCCTGCTCCCCCATAGTGCATGCGTAAAGTGACAGTACCTGCTAGGTACCGCAAGATGTGTTTTGCGGCTGCATGATGCCTCGGTTTGGGGCTCAAGTTGTGTTGTGCGAGTCGCATCACAGCGAGGGCTATGTCCGGGTGTGTATACATGGCAAGGTAGAGGAGCTTGCCGATGAGCTTCTGGAATTCTGTGGGCAGGTTGTTGACATGAGGAAAAATGTCAGCTGGATGACTGAAGGGGAAAGTGGGATCCATCGGTAGTGATACGGGATTGCAGGTGGTCATGCCATGCTCGTCGAGCAGGTGGAGGATGTAGTCTTCCTGGTGCATCCAGAGTTCATGTGTCTTGTGATTGCGAATGAATTGGATACCGAGGTACTTAGTGACCGCGCCGAGGTCAGTGATCCCAAAATGTTCTGCAATTTGAGCCTTGGTTCGATCCAGGAAAGCACGGTTATTGGACCCTGTGAGACCATTGTCCACATGTCATGTGATGATGCACATTATTCTCACCCCCTCACCGTTAACATGGTCGAAGATGAAGACAGTGTAGTTGGCGTCACAGCGAAGAAAACCAAGGCAGACCAGCACATCTTTCAGCAACTCGTACCAGTCGTATGCTGCCTGCTTCAGGCCATACAAGGAGGAGAGTAGATGGGCGACTAGATGCGAACTGTCTGGTGCAGAGCGCTCGAAACCAGGAGGTTGTCACATGTAGACATCCTCCTGTAGCTTACCCCAAAGGAATGCACGTTGGGCATCAAAGCAATCTAGCTCCCAGTCGCACTTGGCTGCATGCGCTGCAAGCACACAGATTGAGGCGGACTTGGCGATGGGGGCAAAGGTGCATCCAAAGTCGATGCCAGGAATCTGTGAAAAGCCCTGTGCGACTAACCTTGCCTTGAAAACAGGCCCCCCCTTCAGGTCTTCCTTGAATTTGAGCACCCACCGGCAGCCAATGGCTTGTCGCTCCGCAGGTAAGGGCATCAACTCATATACATTCATCTCTGACATTAGGTTGATTTCCTTTCTCATTGCAGCCAGCCACTGATCGCTGTCTGGTCGTTGTGTAGCCTCATCGTAAGTGGCGAGTGGGATGGCAAGATCATAGCCTGGTGTGAGGGGATTGTGACGTGTGTCACTGCGAATGGACAAGGATGCGACCTTGACAACAATGAGGTTCACAATGACCTCGGGAAAACCTACCTTATCGCTGTCGGGCATGATGGCATCTGGGTCAGCGGGTGGAGGAGGAGGAGGCCCAGGCATGAGTGTGGGTGTAGTCACAATTGGTGGGTCATCAGTAGTGTCTGCAGAGGGTGGGGGAATGCTGCTAATACGCACTGTTCTAAGCTTGCATTGGCATGCCAACCTTGCCTTGTCAGCTGCGATACGATCATTGAGGAGGTTTCCGTGTTCAGTGGGCACCGGGATGTGGCTGGAACGATGGAGTATGGGCACTGGAATGCGGCCAGAGTGACAGAGTATGGCCACATGGGGAGGTGCAGCAGGGATTGTCGATGGAGGAGGAGCTGCAATGACTGGGGCTGATGGCTTCTGGACAGCGGTGGGGGCATCATCTTCCTCGTCACTGTCTGAAGAGTTGGCCATGTTTTCGTCGAAGATGACATCACGCAAATTGAAGAACGCGCCGGTGGATGTATCACGGCAACACCAGGCCTTCACGCCGGGCGGATATCCCATGAATAAAGCCTTTCATGACCGTGGGCCAAGCTTCTCCTGCAATTCCAGCGGAATCTGAGCGAAACAGCGTGCACCAAAAACACAGAGATGACTGAGGTTAGGTTGGATGCCATGCAACATTTCATATGGTGTCTTGCCCACAGGTAAAGCTCATGACTCTGTACGGTTAAATAGATAGCACACGGTGAGTGCTGCCTCACCCCAGAGAGAAGGGGGCAAGTGCGCAAAGTTCAACATCACATACATATGACCTTCAATCATACGCATCACCCTCTCTGCTTTACCATTTTGCTGATGAGCATATGTGGCAGAGCATTGATGTTGAACTCTGGTTGTGTCGAGGTCTTTTGTGAAGGCATCATTCAAGAATTCCCCCCGTTGTCCGAATGAAAGACTTTCACACGCGTTCCGGCAAGGTTTTCCCAACGTGCCCTGAGCGACTGCCAAGCCTCCAGTGCCTGATCTTTCGATGCGAGTAGTTGCAGGTCTAGAGCGTGTGTGTGGTTGTCGAGGAATATCACAAAGAAACATTTACCATGAGGAGTTATGGTTGGTATCGGGCCGCAGACATCTGAGTGTATTAGGTCAAGGAATGTTTTCACATGTTCGGTTTCTGAGGAATGAAAAGGTTGTCTCGGGTGTTTTGCCATGATGCATGACTCACAGTGAGACAGAGGTGCTGTGGAGTCGATCGTGATGCCCTTCACAACATGACTGAGATGATTGACGGCATCTTTGCCGATGTGACCGATACGCGCATGCCACAGGTCAAGGGTAAGAGGGACATGGGCAAAGGCAGAGAGCTCGACCATGCTCGTAGGGATAACTGGAGATGATGTGGGAGGTATGAATTCGAGGTCTAATGCATATAGTTTTCCAGTTGCAGGAATCACCCCAAGGCGGTTGCCATTATGGACGAGCTCACAGGTCATGTTTGCCTTGAAATTTACATCCCACCCCTTTGCGTTCATGCAGCTCACCGAGATCAAGTTCAGCATCGCATCCGGCACATGTAAACAATTCGAAAGTTTGATGCAGAACCGGTGTTTCCTGATGGACAGCCAAGCCATGCATGTACCCCATCCTGTTGTCTCGAGTATCCCATGGTTCGCAGTGCGAACAGAGACTGACTCTGATGTTGAGTACGTGTGAAAGAATTGCTTGTCCTTAATGAGGGTAATAGTTGTTCATGAGTCTAGGATGGTGGTGAATGGGAGGGCTGTAAGGCATGAAACGTTGTCAGGAACTTCAGATATTGATGCGAACGACATGTCAGACATGAGGCTGCTGAGCCCAGTTACAGTGGCCGCGATGGCAGGCGTGGGAGCAGGCATAGGTGCGGCTACAGGAGCGGAGGTGGTTGCAGCTGCTGCAACGGCGGAGGTCTTCTTATTCCTCATCCAGGGTGCTTGGCCTTCCATGCCACCTCCCTTACCATAGCAATGCGCGTGGTCGTCGTTGCCCTTATTACACCCCGGCATTGTGCAAAAGACACCATCTGGGTTGTGTCGGTGCTTACAAAGACCAGTGATCAGGTTGATGGTGGAGTTGGTTGAGTTGGAGGAAGCTGCGTTAGCATACTCAGAGCCTGGACGGGAGTGAATGGCCTTGGCGTGCACATGTCATGCAGCCTCGGCCATAATGTGGGAGACACAGCTGTCAACTGTGAAGAGTGAGGGTGTCCCCGGTGTCGCTGTCATCACCTCGTTGTGCATTCTCTGTTCAAGCATTGACTTGAACTGTTGCCATATGGGCATATGTGGAAGTCTGATTAATAGACTGTATATGGTGTCGCTGTCACGAAGAGCAGTGCCTGAGTCATGAAGACGTTCCCAAAGCACAGTGTGCTGTCCGACGTAGTCAGTGGTATCAGCCGAGTCTTTCATACGTAATGCGTCAAGCCGCTGATGGAGCTGATACTGAGCACTAGTATCCATGCGGTTGAAATGCTCCGCCAACGTTTTCCATGCATCGCGGGCTGTGACTGTGTGCGATCATGATACTAATGCTCCTACAGATGAGCTGATGTGACACGTGATGAGATCCTTAGCTTTGATGTCCTCCAGGAGCCATTTACACATTAGAGTCCTGCTTAGCAGCGGTGACGTTCAATGGGTCTGCAGGGACAGGCATGGAAGATGGGATTCCGAGAATGTCCATAGGGTCAGGGTTCATATTTACATGGCACCATAGGTCTTCACATGCAAGTGTGTATTGCATCTTTGTCGACCATCCAACGTAGTTCTCCGATCCCAACAATTTAGGTATGTGATCAAACTTCCCCATCACGATGCCGCTGAGGAGAAAGAATGTGACAGGACTGACTTATGAGAGCGGCGGGACAACACAGACAGAGATTTCGTTTAATAGTCTTTGTGAGGGTTCAGAATAAACCAGGGCTCATAACCTGTAGGAACGTGACTAGAATACGAGTCTCAGCGTGTTGAAGAGAACCGCTGAGGTGTAAACAGAGTGAAACAACGAGAATATAAGCTATAGTATAGAGTCTGGGATGCCAAATGATGAGAAAGGAAACAATGAAAAAGTGTTACGACTTGGATGGTATCTGTTGGCGACGCTCAAACAGAGCTTGTGTCGTCAACGGTCTGTGGACGTCCTTGGGCTAGCCCAAGGTTAGGGGTCGTACTTGGCGTATCTTCGGCAAGTACGATTTAACGCCTATGTCCAAATCAGGTAGCTTATGTCACGCGGGTGCGAGACGATAAGCTATATCGGCCTAGGCTTACGACACCCGAAGGTTAATCATAAGGATCGTCGTTAATTAGAAGGACAGAAGTCCGACTAGTTAACAGGGGCTTTGCTCGTCGACGAAGTCGATGAGTAAAGGTCGAGACTATAGGCTTATCTGCGAAGAGCAGATAAGAAGATAGAATATAGACTGCTGGCGAGGCAGAAGGATCACTCTGGTGAGAGTAGGAGGTCAAGAACCAAGTAGATTCAAGTTAGGGAATATGGTACATGGTAGCGAGTTTATATAGAGGACAGGGAACGTATTAGTGGATGATAACTCGTACTACCGGGAGAGGCAATCGGCAAAGGGCAAGACCATAATGGGAAGGCACGTTCGATCTAGGTAGAACGTGCTGGATAAGAAAGTGAGTCAAGGATCGGAAAGAGAAGTGAAACGCGCAGGGGCACGATCGTGCAACTGCGGATCTAAGTATAAGTCGCATGTGCGACTGCGCATCGAGTCAGAGAACAAGAAAGGGAATAGGGCAGAGGGGATGCGTCGTGCATCATATCATAGGTTACCATCCAGATGGTAGTGGCAAGGGGACTGTCCGCAGGATCAGTCATGTGGTGAAACGGAGCATGGGTATGCTTCGTCAGCGAAAGGGTCCGGCCAAATGTACTGGCTTTGCTGAAGCAACAGGTAGAGGGCGAAAGGGAATGCGAGGATAACTAGGATGACGAGAGTAAGGTCGGGGTAAGGGTATGACGCGAGGGCTGATACGAGGAGTATTAGGAGAAAAATGGTAGGGGCCCAAGCGTCTAGATGTTCTTGTAACAAAAAGTTGCTTCCAACAACTAAGAGACAAGTAGGCTTTATATTGTCAAAGTGAGCACTACCGGTGTGACAGGCATGCTAGGCAGTCACAAATGGGTCACTGGTTACCAAAAAGCCTACTCTTCCGTCAATTGGCTGAAAATGAGAATTCTGAGTAGACCATTTTGATATTGCAATGTGTATCTACAATATCATGGAACAGATTTTTCTAATTCTAATTTGAAGTTGAGTTATGAGCCAAAATCATGTATTCTAGCCTCAAGTCACATGATGAACTGGTGTATGAACAAGGTCTATCTTACAATGAGTCGTAGGTGCCCTGTTACATCACCAAAATTATTGAATCCAGACATCACATGATATATTCAATTTTCTGACACCACCAATTATATATCATAATGCCATGTACGCGCCAATTCCCAACGACGCCAAACTTCAAGGTATGAGCAGTTGCAAAAACTGCAGGATGTTATTGGGGATAATAAAGTGCATCCTAATATTTAGGGTAATCACAAATAGCATGAACAGTTGGTGGGGGACAAATGTCCTCCTCCTCCACCACACGAGTGATGTGCGAGGGCACCTTGTTCAAGAATGCCCTAGAGAGCAGAAAGTAAATAGGTGATCAACAGGAAGATAAATGACTTATATGGGGGTGATAAGACATAGAGAGCACTGAGGGAGAGTGTATTTAAAGCCAATGGCAAAGGTTTCAGATGTGACAGAAAGATATGACCACACTGCGCAGGGCAAAGATGACACAGACAGATGACATGAACGCAAGCTGACATAATGTTTCCCACAGGATTTTTTGTAGAGAAAAAGATATTTTTTGCCAACAGAACACAGACTTGTAATTGGGAATACACATGATATCCGACATTTGAAATATTGTCCTGACACGATGACATCAAACCTACCGTCTGTCAGACACAAGTCATCCAGTAGAGTAGCTGTCAGCCAGGTATCAGATATATCCCGATACATCCAATGTATTATATAGAATGATTTTAAATATATATAATGAAAAATGAGTGAAACTGAAGTAAAGTATTTAAAGGGCGCCAGAGCAAGTGTCAGTATGGAAAGTGTTCATGAAGTCACTCTAGGGCAGTGCCAGAGGTGGCATGGGGACATCATGTTCGGACTATGTACTTAACTGATGCAACTGGACATGACTATACAAATTATTTAATGTCCGCTGGCAAATTCCCATCAACTCTTGATGTGCTACACTTGATCTTTGCAGTCATCATTGTCAACATCGATGTCTCCATCCTGTTTGTTTGCCTCACCACCATCATCAGATTCATCGAAAATTGTTGTTGCATCACATTGTATAGTGTGCAGCATTGATGTATTTTGTAAGACAAAACAACTTATCACTCTAGGTCTTTCTCTGCAGTGTGATGCTGCAGAGAATGGTAATGTCTCGGAAGATAAAGATCTCTGGGCTAGTCATGATAAGCGACTCTTGAAAATGTAAGTCACTTTTGAATCTCACCATTAACTGTGTTATGACTTGGATGGTATCTGTTGGCGATGCTCAAACAGAGCATGTGTCGTCAACGGTCGAGGATGTCCTTGGGCTAGCCCAAGGTTAGGGATCCTACTTGACGAGTTTCGGCAAGTAAGATTTGACGCCTATGTCCAAATCGGGTAGCTTATGTCAAGCGGGTACGAGACAATAAGCTATATCAGCCTAGGCTTACGACACCCGAAGGTTAATCATAAGATCGTCGTTAATTAGAAGGACAGAAGTCCGACTAGTTAACAGGGGCTTTGCTCGTCAACGAAGTCGATGAGTAAAGATCGAGAATATAGGCTTATCTGCGAAGAGCAGATAAGAAGATAGAATATAGACTGCTGGCGAGGCAGAAAGGATCACTCTGGTGAGAGTAGGAGGTCAAGAACCAAGTAGATTCAAGTTAGGGAATACAGTACATGGTAGTGAGTTTATATAGAGGACAGGAGACGTATTAGTGGGTGATAACTCGTACTACCAAGAGAGGCAATCGGTAAAGGGTATAACCATAAAAGGAAGACACGTTCGCGTCGAGACACAGGCGAGGTAGAACGTGCTGGATAAGAAAGTGAGTCAAAGATCGAAATAAGAAGTGAAACGCGCAGGGGCACAATCGTGCAGCTGCGGAGCTAAATATAAGTCGCATGTGCAACTGCGCACTGAGTCAGAGATCAAGAAAAGGGAAAAGGGCAAAGGGGATGCGTCGTGCATCATATCATAGGTTACCGTCCGGACGGTAAGGGCAAGGGGACTGTCCACAGGATCAGTCAGGTGGTGGAACGGAGCATGGGTATGCTTCATCAGCGAAAGGATCCGGCCAGATGTACTGGCTCTGCTGAAGTGACAGGTAGAGGGCGAAAGGGAATGCGAGGATGACGAGGATAACAAGGGTGAGGTCGGGGTAAGGGTATGATGTGAGGGCTGATACCAGAAGGATGAGGAGAAAAATGGTAGGGGCCCAAGCGTCTAGATGTTCTTGTAACAAACTGAATCTTTTCTTGCTCCATAGGTCACCTAAGGTCCAAGAATGATATAAGAGGAACTTTGCTCAGCTGCTTCAACTCACTCTGAGCTTGAAAACCTTGGCAACCCTCAGAAAATCTCAGAACTTAATGCCATCATCAAGAAGGTGAGTATATGTGCATATACAAGCATGTTATGTACTTATTAAGCCATCAAATAGATACTACACCTTTTGTGAAGATAGAGATAATGACTTAGTGAGAGTCTGCACTCAAATGGTAGGGCATCCAGCAAAGGTAGTCCTAACTCCATCTCCTTCTAACTATGAGCTGACTCCAGGGTTAACTTGACTGCATCCACACTTCCTGTATTTCTATGGGCTGGAGACCCACCAGGTGAAGACTATGATGACAACAACATGTTTGAAGGCATATTTGATGGCTACTTATTGGAGTGGGTAGGCATTTTTTGTCCATGTTGTTTTAGATTGATATCAATATCTCTTTGTTTATTAGCTTATGCAGCACATTTTCACAAGTCCCTCAAGTGCATATGAGGGAGAGATGTGTGCAACATGCACCTGCAACACTGCTCTACATGGTAAACCAACACTAGCTCCCTGTAAATCAACGCAGGCTCCCCACAAACCAACTTCAACTCCAGTGCCTTCTGCTCCCATAGGCTCGGAACTGTTGTACTTAATTGCTTTGTACTACCATTAATTCAATGCATCACATTATTATATCTAAATACAATTGCAATGTCTGATATATCGGTACACTAGCTTAATGCCAGACTATAGTCATATGGCAGTCACAATATCAGAATTGAGTTTCCTAACATTGCCTTATATTGGGACCTTGCACTAGATACATATGGCAGGTATGGTGGCTTCAACATGGCAATATATGGCCATCTCTGGATTCAGTAATTTTGGTGATATACTGTTCTGACATAGCTCCACTCTCAAAAGCTTCTGAAAACAAGGTACATGCAAGGTGACATTCCTTAGTCATCCATGGACCCCAGCAACTCCTCCCAAAATATTCCTAAGCTAAGTAAATCTTAGTAAGTCTAGTTTGCTAGAATAGTTTAGAGTCTCAGCAAGGCTTTGGAACAATGCTAAATTGTGATGTACCTAGAATAGTTTAGAGTCTA